TAATTCTTCGATACCCTCAAAACATTTTCTCATGTGAGGTTATACTAATAAGGGATCTCTTGTCTCAGCCAAAATATTAATCAAATCATCATTTGATAAAAAAAAGAAACGAGGAAATTCTAATCTCTTAATTTCCAAATGATTCTCTAATCCTTTTTGTATTTCTTCAATCAATTTTAATGAAGTTTATAAGATATCCATTAAATTTGGAATCTTATCTAAATTTAATGCTAGTGGTTCTATTTCAACAGCTTTAGTAATTAAATTCCAATTACTACTTACCTTCTTGAATTTTTCACTCTCATCATATAATGTTTTTATGATATCTTCAAAACTGAAAATAGGTTCCAAATATAAGTACATACCTTAAACTTTAATCCATAATTCTAATATTTATTATATAAATGTCATAGATTTCTCCCATCTTATAGCATCTTCCTCCATAAATTTAATTAAAGGATTAGCTCTAATTGTTTAGGATTTAATAACATGATCATCCAATAAAGTTTAAATTTCTTCAACAGATTATCCTTACAATATGAGTACTCCTCTTCCTTTATAATTTAAAACAACCAATTTAATATTATCCCATTCCTTTTTCATTTTGGCTAATGCATTTTCTAAAGTAAATTCTTTACTTGCATTTTCTGATATTTCTTCCATATCATTAATAAATTAATCAACCTTTAAAGTATTCAATTCTCTTAAAGACACTTCTTTATAATTGAAAGATTATGATAGAATAGTTTAAACTGATTTCCAATGTCTTTCACGTAAACCTGGATTTGATAGAACTTCTAAAGTTTTACTGTGTAAACTCATAGCTTCAACATCTTCTTTAAATTCTCCCAAAACTCTAAATGGAATACTATTTTATCTAAACATTTTGCTTAATTTAACATTACCCTTTCTTTAATTCTTCAAAATAGTCTCTACATCACCATAATCAACATCCATAATTGGACCATTCATCCACTTTTTCTTATTTTCCATATATAAACCAATTGATTTCCACATTTCTGAATATGGTTAAATTTCAGTTTATAATTTAACAAAATTTTCAAATTAGGATGGATATCCAAATAAAGTTAATTCTTTTTATATTATCTCTTACATTTCTGCAGCAGCTTCTGCTAACTTCATTTCAAATTCTTCTATATCTTTAACATATCCTTTATATTTAGATCTTTCAGTGAATGTTTCAAAATTATGTATTTCATCGCAATATTTAGCCACTCTCTCTTCAAATTAAGATCTCTGTTTTTTAAGTTCCTCTTCTAATCTACCTCTCTCTATCTAATGTTTCTCTTCCTATTCAATTAATTCTTTATCAAGTTATGATGGTCTATGATACAATTCTTCTGATAACAATAATAATTATTCACTAATAACATAATCTTGTTTTAGTAAAAACATAACCTTAATAAATATGTCTGTTGTATTTGTCTTTATTTTTACTCTCTCCTAACCAACATCTGTAATGTATTTGTCCATGGCCTCTACATCTTCTGGTGTTTTAAGTGATCTTCTAATATATGTACTTATTTATAAATATCTATCTGATATAACTTTAGCTTAATCTATTAAAACAGATTCAAAATTTATAAATATTCTATCTTTGTATTCTTTAATCATTTATTTTACACTTGATAATACAGACTCACAATTTACTTAAAATAGAGGGAATTATATAGTTTATGGAAATTTATCTACTAAATTTTTGTATTTATTTAGAATTTCCATATACATTTTGAATTCTTCATTTGTAATTGCTTTTTTTAAGGATCTAATTTCTTTTTCATAGACTTTATTAAAGAATTAATTGAATTACTAAAATTATTCAACAACTTAAAGAGTTCTTTTGTAATGTTCACTAACATGTTTTAAAATTCTAGCTTCTTAAGCTAAATAACAACCTTCTTCAGTTGATGCAATTGTCATATATTTTTTTTCTTAATAAACTTCTTTTTATTCTTCAGATGCCAATAATAATTCAGGATGTTCTTTTTATTATTTTTCTTCCACTTTCACTTATGGCCAAAAAGATTTGAAGAACTTTTAAAAATCTTCTTTTGTCATACCTCCCATATCTTAATCAAAATTAAATTAAAAATTTCTAAATGGTACTGATTGAATTATCTCCTTTGGATTGTAAGTTACTTTTGCAAATTTTGGATGCAAGAATTTGTCAAATGATATAATGATACTTCTGAATGCATCTACAAATTCATTTTTAATTGATTCCTCATTTTCCTTTAATTTAACAATTTCATTTTCAATAACTAATTCTAATCTAATGAAAGGATCATAAGGTTATGAAAGTAACCCCCATTTCGGAGGTATAAATTCTCTATCTTTTAGATTTTAACAAGCCTATATTAAACTAATATAATTTATATCACTAATCTCAATATCATATTATTTAGGAATATTTATATTAAGAATGTGTTATTCAAAATGCTGTAAAGATCTATCTATAAAACCTCTCAACTATAATTATAATAAAACAGTAGCATTAGATGTTATTGCTTTCCTTTGTTCTTTTTCTAACTTTTTATATGGTATTTCATCTTGTTATTACTTGATTTCCTCTAATTAAAATTAAGACAACTTATCTGATTCTATGGGATTGGGATTTTATAACATTACATGATATTCTGTAAAGGCATTGAGTGCTTAACATGAATCTTTAAAGCGATCAAAATTATATGGTTAAGTTGTTTTAGATGCATAAAACTATTATGCTTCCTTTATAGATATATAACAAGAGTATTCTTCACCCTTATAAATGACATTATCTTCATCAATAAAATCTTCTTCAGGAATTATTTCAAGAATTGTTTATCTTAATTATTATTATTTAAACTTTGGACCTGTTATAGTCCATTAACTTTTATATTGCTTTTATCTTAAGAATTTTTACAACTTTATTATAAGCATGACTCCTCTAAACCAAACATGTTCTAAAAGACATAGAACATTCAATTTGTATATTGTTTAAACTCTTTAGAATTCTTAGAATGTAAAAGTATAGCCTAATCTAGCAACTTATTTCATCTTGCTTAAATCACATAGTTTAAAATTACTAAAATCTTAAATCCAATCTGATAATCCTTAATTGATAGTTGATATTAGAGTCAAATTAGATTTGCAAAAATCCTTACCTCTCTGTACAAAATCATGCCAATCTGGAAATAATTTCATATTGTAACCACCTTCTCTTGCAATTCTTTAAGCTGAATGAATAAAAGATCTTGGGAGTAATGTAATGTGTAATCTCTTTCTTTCTTCTGGAGATCTAAGTATATAATCAAGCATTGCTCTTTTCATATATTCTCTAAATAATTCCAATATCTCCTTAACAATAGATCTAGAACATTCTTCATTACGTAATAATTCTGGTTTTATTAAATTAAATGCATTTAAAATCCATTCTCTTTTAAATTTTGGAACTTCATCATTTTTTATATAATCTCCAGATATATAATTTCTATATCTTTCTTCTGATATTAGTACTTCTTTAAGAATGTTTTCTGGCCAGAACTCTCTATCAATATGAATATAATAATCTTTGCATAGAAGTGAAGGATCATAATTTCCATTCATTTCAGCTAAGATCTCATTAAATTTTCGAAGAGACAATTCCATCTAATCAATGTTTTCATCATTGTCATCAAAGTATTCTGGATACAAACAGAGAGATACTGGTTCTCTTGTCAAAGCATCACTTGCTCCTGAGTTAATACCTGTTTTATCTCTACCTTATTTTGGAAACAATTCATTTACAATAGCTAATTATATGGGTACTTCTCCATCTGTTTTTTCAGCAGAACTCATAGTTTTTTATAAATCTATTATTTTAAGTAAATGTTCTTTTTTTAACTTTGCTGAAAATTACATATAAACTCCAATCCTTTAGATTGGTGAATAATAACCTAGATCTCCAAATCTAGCAAATGTAGCTGCCACAGTTCTTTCATTTCTGTCAAAAAGTTCTTCATATGGTAAATCAAGAGCACTGAGATTAGTAAATTTAGTATAGATTTTGAAGAATGTTTATGGGGCAGTGGTTTTAGAAGATATAGGTCTTTGATGACTCCAATTACTTTAGGGTCTTAGAACTTATTAATCTATCATTTCACTAAATTGTTTTTTATTTTTTTGTGCAGGTTTTTATAATACATCAAGAGTAGCACTTTAGATACGATCTTATTTAATTCTTTTGCTTTCTACATTATCAAATGCTTGAGATTGAGGTCTCTAAATAGATGTCATAGGTCTTTTAGAAATAGGAGGTCTAGTTAAGGTTTATTGAGCAGATTATAATCTTTATTGCTATTCTTAAATAATAGTGAAGTCCATCTTGCCTATTGATGTTACAGTTTGTGGTCGATGTTGCTGTGTATTATTTTATCTAGAAACATCAATTGATTATTATTTGGATGGTTCATTTGAAATCATTTTACCTCCAAGAGATGATAGAAATTCGTAAGGTTTTAATGTACCACTAATAGTTTCACAATCCTATTAATATTCTGTTTCTTCTTTTTTGATAGCTGAGGAAACTCTTTTCAAACCAATAGTTGTGTTTTTACTTGCTTCCCATAAACGTGCATTTACATCTACTGTGCTAGAAAATGGTTATGCTATTCTATAATTGATGTATTTATTCATCATTACTGCAGGAGTCTAAATAAATTTCAAATTTATTTTACTTCTATTGTACTTTGTGGTCTTTAATGCACAATAGTCTATGCTTCACTATGCATTGGTTATAGAGTTGATGTTTTAGCTCTATTCTCATTCTCTTCGATAGAACGTTGAGATGCACTTTTACATTCATATAACTGCAGTACTTCTTCATGTTGGGCAAATGAAATTTCTGCCCACTCTAATTGTATAAAGTGTAACCATTTGGCATAGCAACTCGTTTGACAGCAGATGAAGCTCTATTTCCACTTGATTAAGCTCTCCGAGGATTCATTAATTAATTATAATATTCACTTGTATAAATTCTTCTTATTTATCTCTGGCATCTTTTCTACTCCTTTTTTTCTCTATTGTTAATATGATATGATCATAGGACCCTGATTAGTAAAATTGAATTATGGATCAACCAGGTTGCTTTTTACTGATGAACTCGCTCTTGTTGAGTTTTAGATCACTTGATATTGTTTTGCATAGTTCACTTTTGCAGATTGAAAAGGCTATCTCAATTTTTGATGTTGCTTCTAAGGAGTCAAAAAATTTGTTTTGTTACACATTGTTTTAACTTTCTATTCTAACTACTCCACTTTCTCTTTCTAGACTTCCTATTAGAACTTTTAAGTTTGCTTAATTGGTGTATCCAAATTCACTTAGATTTTACTTTACTTTAAATCTTTTTCATAATTTCTCAATTATCTTTAAAATCCATAATTTGGAAACACAACACTTCTCCTCTTTCTTACAAACTCAAATGCCTCTTAAAATAACCATCCTCTAGTTTTCATTATAAATGCTATCACAACTGATGCTGATCGTGAAACTCCCGCAGCACAATGTACTAAAACTCCCCCTCTTTTTAAACCTTCTGCTATTTATTAACTTGTTTCAGGAAATAATCTAGCTATATTTGATGATTCAATATCCAAAATATGATATACCTTGTAAAATTCATTTTTTAATTTACTTTATGGACCATTCCTCCTTCAGAATATGAAACATTCAATCCTGAAGCCACTGTCAAAACAGTCTTTATTCCCTTACCATCTAATAAACTTCTATCATAAGCAGCTGTGCAATCTCCCAACCATAAAATGTTTCCACTCTCTTCTAGTATCTAGTTCATTGATTGATACATCGGATCAAACATTCTAAACATTATTTATAATTTAATATAATCAATCAATCATTTTCTAATTTGTTAGTTTCATTTATTAAATAGAAAATTTCTCAAACTAAACCCTATTTTATACTTGATTTTATTTTTAACAGAAATTTATTATATGTACCCAGAATATTGTGTTGCTTAAAGACAACAACCCTACCCCTTACACAAAATTACCTAATCATATAATCCAGTCGTGCAAAATGAACCAAGACCTAGATAACCTAATGAAAATCCCAAGGATTATATGATCACTGCATACACTTCCATTAATCACGTTATTGATATATCTCCAACATCCTCCATCTATAGATTGGATCCTTTTGCCAAGTATTTGTGTTGTTGGATCAATACTGTTGGTCCTGAAGAAGTAAGTGCAATCCAAGAAAGAACTAAATGGAAACACCCAAATCTAGTTTCTTTCCTCTTCTTTGAAGAATAAAGTGATAAATTTAGTCAAAGTAGACAACTCAAAATCTTCTATGAATACCTCCCTTTAGATATTAAATAGTTAATTGATAAAAGATCAAAAACACAAGAATATGTACCTGAAGAAGAAATATGGAAGATGATTTCTGGATTATGTGAAGCTTTTATATTTCTTCAAAAAAGAGGAATCACACACTCTGCCTTGACATTGGAATCAGTTTATTTTGATGAAGAATATTTACTCTATAGAATTTAAGATGTTAGTCCTTTCAGAGCCAGAGCCCCACATTTATTTGAAAATTAATACAAATCTCCAGAATCAGGAGGTAATCTTAGAGTCAATAGATTTAAGTAGGATGTATTTGGATTAGGGTAAATAATTATTTATAATATCTATTAGTATGATAATATTATCTCTCTGTCTACTTAAAAATTGTGATTACATTTTCGAAACAGGAGTACTTAGTGTTGTCCATTTAAATGATTGTTTCGATTAATTGAAATAACTATATCCTGGAAGAGTTGATTCTATACTCAAAAAGATGCTTCTCATTGATTTTAATTAAAGACCAGATTGGTTAGAGATGTAGTAGTTATTAGTGAATTTAAAGGATATACAGTTAGCTAATTTTGATCTTGGTTTGTCTAATAAATCATCAATTTTAAATTCATCATTTTAGTTATAAAACTAATAATAGTAATAAGTTTAAAAAACTTTTGACTAATTAACATTAAGTTAAGAAAATAGAGAGACTATTAATAATAATAAATTAACAAGTTCTATCAATAATAATGCTACAATTAAGACAACAAATACTGATTCTGTTGACTAAAAACTTATTAATTTAAATAAAAGAATACAAGATACTTTATAAAAGAGCTTAAATAAAAATATTAGATGATTTATATTATATTGTTTTATACAGATATGTTTTATATAAATTTAATTAAAATATTAGATTTTTTTGAATGTTTCATTTTAATTTCTAATATTAAACTAATAGTTTATTCAATTTTTGATATTTTATTACATAATCCTTACTTTATTAAATATTTTGGAGATAAACAAGATTAAAAAAAATTAAATTTATATAAGAATTCTTCTATTCTACTATTTCTATAACTTAATTCATTAAAATTGAATTAATATCACATCAATATAAAATTTTAAAATTAAACTCTTATAATGGATAATATATAATAATAAAATAATAAGTTTTTATAAAATTCTCAAAAAAAAATAAATTTAAGTATTTAAATATAAGATACATTTATATAAAGGTTATCAAAATCAAGATTGATTGAATTAATAATTAAAAATCTACTTTAAGAATAAAAAACTTATTAATATAGATTCATTTATTAATCTTTTTATCTACAGTTTTCTACTAATGAATAAAATTGCATTTCTTATTAGTCAGGCTAATAGTTATTTACAATTTTTTATTAATATAGATTTTAAAGATTACATTAATAGAAATCAGGTTCTAAGAATTAATTATAGAATCTTAATAATTTGACTTTATTATATAATTGATCTTAGCTAAAACTCAAGTTTATAGATACTGTAGATTTATAGCAACCTAATTTATTTCAATAGAATGTTGATTAATCTTTAAATTCAGGGAAAAGATACTTTAGTTTAACAAATTTTTTCCTTGAAACTAATATAAACTATATTAATATATTTTTTTTCTTATCATTTTAATCTCTTTTTTCTGTATTAATTATAAAATTATTAAAAATAAAAACTTAAATCAAATGTATTTAAACAAATTAGACAGAATTGATATCTATAAAATCAGATATTTATGTATGAAAATATTTTGATATTCTATTTTTTTTCTTTAAAAATAAATATTATTATTTCTAAGATGTCGTATTTTCAACCTTCTAATAAGAAAAGTCCAAACTATATATAACCTGATATCCAACAGACAAATTAAATATAATAACATCATGGGCCATTGTACTAATAACCTCAGGTTTATTAATAATATTAGGGAGGCTATCCTCCTCAAGCAGGAATCTAACCAATTTAATATGGAGGAAATCCTCATAATTATGTAGTTGGGTAACCACCTTAAAATGTAGTCTATCCACAATATTAAGGATATCCTCCTACATTTAACAATGAAGCTATTTATCCTCTTTAGATCAGTACTTAACAAGAAAGAAATTTTAGGTTTTTTATTTTCCTATTTTAGTTTTAAAAACTTATTTCATGGAGGAATTATAGCAAATAATAATATATGCATATACTGTTTTCGACCATATACACTTATCTTATAAAGAAAAATAGGTATATCAACTTTCATAGTATTTCTATTACTCTTAATCTTTTTTTGGCCATTGTGTTGGTTGCCATTTGTTTTGAAGGAGTGTAAAGATAGATACTATTACTGTTCATCATGTGGAAAATTAATTTATAAAAGATAATGTAGTTTCAACAATTGAATTAATATTATTGAATCAGACATATTAATCACACATATTTATTTTTAATTATTAAGTCAGTTGTTAACATTCTTATCACTTATCTATGAAACTGTTGATTTTCAATTATATCAATGTTGATTTTTTTTAGTCTTATATATCTATAATAATAATTCATAAAATTTATAAGATTTATTGATCTTTTTCATTTTCTAATATTTTCCTAAAATAATGAAAGTTTTAGAACAAATTTTAGAATTCACTGAAATTCAAATAATTAATCAAGATATTATAGATATTTCAGAACATGAATTTATAAACTTAAGCTAATCTTTTCTATTCAATATTGAAATAATGTATGAATTAAAAAATATCGAAGATATTTAAGGTGGAAATTATCAACCTCTTAGTAATAATAAGTTTTGAATTTATAATATTCTAAGAATTTCAAGTAGAATAAAAATTTTAAATCTACTCATTTGCTAATTATCTATTTTTTCATTACAACTTAAATCATTAATATTAATTATATTTGAAAACAATTACGATAAAAATCGCATATTATTCTTAATTAAGAGGAATTAAAAAAGGTTTAAAGATACGATTTAGGTTTTTATATGTTATTCTTAATTTATCTATTTATTTATATTTCTATTTTTTAGATGTCATATTTTAAACCCTCAGACAACAACGCCCCAAATTATGTATAACAATAAAATTAATAATAACAATAAGGACCAATGTACTAATAACCCTAATAAGGTTATCCTCCATCATACGGAGGGTAACCTCCATCATATGGAGGATAACCTCCAGCATATGGCGGTCATCCTCCTTATTAGGGAGGCAATGGATAATATTAAGGATATCCTCCGAGTCAGGGACCCTATGCAAATTAAGTACCTGCTCAGGCTCAGGCTCCTTAAAATTAAACTAATATTAAGTTTATTTTCCATCTCTATATTTTAGTTTTAACTTTACACCTGGAGTAGTAGTAGCTAATGATAGTATATGCATATTTTGCCGTAATCCCTATGTTCTTCTCTCATCAAGAAGAATAGGGTGGTAAACTTTGATAGCAGTTCTATTATTAATATTAATTTGTTGGCCATTATGTTGGTTGCCATTAATCATTGATGATTGTAAAGATAAGCACTATCACTGTTCATAATGCGGAGTATTGATATACAAAAAATCATTTACCATGTGCAGTTGATTTATTATTAATTCAGCATATATATTTTTAAAGAATCAAAGTCAAAGGTTAAATTTCAAAATTTCATTAAATTACAATGTCATTATGTTTATATATTTATCTTGAATGCCAATGATTCTAATTAATAAATTTATTTATTTTTATTTTATGATCGAAACATAAAGCCCTTAGGTTAAGTTAGAATATTTCTTTGAATTCATTTTTAAATTAGATTTTACTGTTATCAGTTTAAATTCTAAGAAATTATAGCCCAAATAGAATTGGCATTTTATTATTAATAATTTTAATTGAAAACAATACTCTTCAATTTGGTTCTTAACCTTTCAATTCATTCTTTTAATTTATTTCATTTGGATTATACATAAATTAAAATCAAAAGTATTGGGTCGTTCAGTTTTTAATAGATTCAAAATGTATTAATATAGTATATAAATATTGCTTGATTATTAGTTCAGACATAACAAATATGTTATAGTAATCTTTGAACAAAAAAATTCGGAAACTGTACATTTTTATAAATACTAAATCTATATATTATGTCTTCTATAATATTTTTTTATTATTGAGAAATTATTGATTTCATAATAACTAATTGAAATTATTAATATATAGAAAGAATATAAAATTGATAGGATTAACACTTTTTATTTTTATGAATTTATTTATGTATTTATATAATGGGTGAATCAAAGTCCTAATTCTTTAAAATTTGGATTTGGTCTTGAGTATTCATTGGTTAAGAAATATCTAATATATTCTGATATAATTACTCTGGAAAATACTTTTTTGCCAAACCATATGAAGCATTCATTCTTACACATAATTAAAAATAATTTCTAGCATCTAAGCATTCTGGCACATAAGAATCTTCAAAGAGACCAAATTGATTCTTGCAATGTTAAGCCATTCTATCATAAAGATGGCAAGCTAATAATTGATTAGCCTGTAATAGTAAATATAATATTACTTTATATTCAACAAACTCAAATTTGAGATTATCCAACAACTTTACATGATTCTTTGTTAATGTTTATAGATTAATCATATTTCTAAACATAAAATCTATTATTAAATTTGATATGATACCTTCTTCCTCCCAAACTTCATTATAGATTGGCATTTTAGTTAATTTGGATATTTATTAATGAAATAAAAAATAAAGTAATTTAATTTTCGAAATTGGTTGATTTGTATTTTTTATAGATGTTTCAGTGTTTTATATAATTCCTCTTTTGTTCCCTTCTATAATTAAATAAATTTAAATTAATCTTATTGGGTTTTCCAATCATTATGGATTATCCATAATTTTTTTATTAAAAAAACTAAATACTTTGTAATTAATATGTCTACTTATTACATAGTATTATTAAATTGATACTAAGTTTTTTAATGATTAACTAGATAATTAATATGTATCCTTTTTAATTAATTTTATTAGAAAATATATCTCTTCATCCTACATCTTTCTTGATTATGCACTCAATAATAGTAATGATTAAATACAATAAACTATATACACAATAAGTTAAATTAAAATTATAAAAGTTAGTCTAAGCTATATAAAAAAAGATTTAAACTTTAAAAATTTATTATGAAAAAATTGATATTGAATTATAAATAATATTAAATTAAAATAATTCTTATTTAACTTTGTTTATATAGCTTAGTTACAAAATATATTCATTATGTGGCTATTTTATAAATTGAATCAGCTACGGCTACGAAGCCGAGAAGACAGCCTAAACACATTGAAAATACATAAATTTGACCTCCCAATTCTGAGGGTCTTTATTTCCATTCCCATCTAAGATAAAACATTAAAGGGAAAAAAAATTGAAGAACAGCTCCACACAATCCTCCTATGAAAGTTATTAAGAGAGAGAATTAAGGAATTCCTATTGTTAAACCTGCGATTGCTAAAACTTAAAGTAATCTTAAGAGAGTTCTTCTAAATAAATAACCTGAAGTTCCTTCTCGAGTAAAATTCTTTGCAAATTTCATTCTTTCTATCAAATGAAAAGCTGGTAATAATTACAAAGGTAGAGTTATTATTAAAGCAATTGAATAAAGAATTTGAAATGCTTCAGCACCTTTTCCAAGAGAGAACAGAATTATTTCATTAGTAGTATTTCCATAACTAAATGAACCTAGAAGTCCAAAAATCCAGAATTGCAATGTACAACCAGAGAAAACTATAGTCATGATTTTTGGAAATTTGACTGGTTCTTTCATAGACTTTCTAACTTCTAAGAGTGTTCCTATAGCTTCAAAAGAAAAGAGAGCCACTCCTATGACTAAAGGAAGATTTCTAAGTCTAGCAACTGGGATATCATTATAGTTGACCTCCTAAACAAGTTCAATATTAAAGTAAACAATACAGGCAATAAGGGTAATTATGATGAAACTCTTGATTACTCTTAAATATTACATTTGCAATTGTACTAAATTTAGTAAATAAAGTCATGTTGTTAATGAAAACTAGTGGGATGATAATGCACATGGCAATTGACAAATAGATTATTTGATGAGAAAATACTACATCTTAATGATGGTATATTGCAAATTCTAAAAATTCCATAAAAAATAAAATATATGATGCACAACATCCCCATTACATGATAATAATAAATAACTTGTTAAGGTATACATAATTTTCACCTAAGATTATGCGAGTTATTTCAGAAAAACCTAAATTGGGTTGATTGATTTCATCCACAATTCTTAGCAACATCTAATAATTAAGAGTATAAATACTAATTATGAGAATATCATTAGGATACAAATCAAAAAATAACAAAAGGAAGTGAGTAAATATCCTCCTTCCCAAAAAGTAAAGGGTGCAGCCAAAATACCTGAACCTATACAACATTTGTATAAATTAAGTGATGCTTAAGTAATTGATGATTTCATTTCCTTGTTTTTTGTTGTATTTTCTATTTAATTTTAGTTTGAAGAATCACTTAAATCTATTTCAAGAGGTTGAATAGATGGTATATTTTGATTGATTTATTCACTCATATATTTTATTAATATGTCTCACATTCATTTTTAAATCTAATTTTTAAAAAAATCCAAAGATTTTAATGAAGGTAACCATACATACTATTTTATATAGTTTAACATTTCTTATCCCTTAACAGGAGCTCAAAAGACAGTCGAAATTGATGATGACAAGAAATGGTAACAACATTTTATATATAATATTTAGCTCAATCTTTTTTGATAAGAGAATGGGTCAAGTTGTCGAAGCTGACAATCTAGGTGATGAATACAAAGGATATGTATTTAAAATCACAGGTGGTAATGACAAATAAGGTTTTCCTATGAGACAAGGTGTCTTATTTAAGGGCAGAGTTAGAATTCTCATGAGAAAGGGTCACAAAGGTTATAGACCAAGAAAAGATGGTGAAATGAAGAGAAAATCAATTAGAGGATGCATTGTCGGTTAAGACATTAGAGTCCTTGCCTTATAAGTTGTTAAAAAGGGAGCAAATGAAATTGCTGGACTTACAGATCAAAATGTTCCAAGAAGATTAGGTCCAAAGAGATTAACTAAATTGAGAAGATTATTTGGATTCAAAAAGACTGATGGTGTTGCTATTGTTTAAAAGAATCTTATTAGAAGAACATGGACTACAAAAGATGGAAAAAAGAGATAAAAGGCTCCAAAAATATAAAGACTTGTTACTGAATCAAGATTGAGAAGAAAGACTATCTAAAAAAAGACTGAATAAGCAAGAAGAACCAAAGCAAAATAAGCTTTGGAAGCATATAAAAAATTAGCTCATGATGTTCATGAAGCTCACAAAAAACACAGAAAAGCTTCTTCTGAAATCAAAGAATAGTCTAAAACAGCAACAGTAACATATTTAAACTAAATAAATTAGCAACCAAAGCAAACTAAATAAGCAGCTCCAGCTAAATAAGTTGTTCCAGCTAAAGATGCCAAGAAAGCACCAGCTTAAGTACCTGCTAAGACTGTTCCAGCCAAAACTGCTCCATAACCAACTTAAAAAGCTCAACCTAAAGCCCAAGCAAAGAAATGAGGTTATTATAAATGTTGTTTAAGTACATTATATATAAATAGAGATATTACTTATTAGATATTAAATATTTTTAAAATGAAGGCTCTTTTTTGTTTAGGAGTTGGAATGTTAATTACCTAAAAAGATAACACTGTACATGCATGGCTTTATAGAGATGATATTGGTGCCTTTTGGGGTATCAAGGGTTATGAAGAACAAGTCACAGAAGTAGGTACACATAGAGGACATATGTCATGGCCATAATACAGATTTTTGGGTACATTTGACTCTGCAAGTGTAAGAAGAGGGTATGAAACATAGTGATTCTTTAGATTTCTTGTTTTCTCTAGAAACTGTGGTAATTGTCATGGAATAGTGTATAAGAAATATGATGTTTTATTGGATAAAGTCTATAAGTAATTAGAATTGGCAGCATTGGTCAGCAATTTCACAATTCATCCTGCTCATCATCATTTCAAGCAATTTTACTATTAAGAATGGGATGAAAGAGATAGATATATTCATGACAGTACTCATACTCTTTTTATTCATTATTTTAGGAATCTACCCTCCTTACTTTTCTTAAGACTAAGCTAAAAATGCTAATGGTGGAGTTTGGCCAACAGATTTCTCAAAAATTAGACTCAGACCAGGAGGTGTCAATTACATCTACAATATTTTGACTGGTTACCATTACAAACCTTATTAAGGATTGGATGTTCCTAAAGGAAAGGCATACAATCCCTATTTTGATCATATGATTATTGGTATGGTTAGATAATTGCATGATGGTATGGATCAAAATATGATTTGAATAGGTCTTGTTGATTATGAAGATGGCACACCAGCATCTACTCCTTAAATGGCTTTTGATGTCACAAATTTCATTTAGTTTGTGTAAAGAAGAAGTGGTTTCCAAAGACCAGATAAGACTGTAAGATATTATATGTTCTTGACTGGAGTTGCTTTGATCTATCCTTTTGCTTACTTGAAGACTAGAGGATTTTATAGAAATAATCTCTCTCTTAGGTATTTAATGAAATATATGAAATATCAGATGGGAAATGTATGCAGTCAGAGATGGTGTATATTACAATCACTTTAAAAAAGGATGGAAGAACTCTAGAGCTATACAATTTAGAGGTCAAGTTTGGGCTTGATGTTATATAAAATATTAAAAATAATAAATATAATTTATTTATATATATTTCTGTATTTATAGAAAATTCAAATAAAATTTAATACATAAACATAAATTCAAATATGCAATCTCTATTTGTAAAGTGTTAGAAATGTCAACAAAGACCAGCTACTATCAAATGTTCTTAATGTCGTTATGGTTAAACATACAGACTATGTTATTCCTGTGATTCATAAATTCATAATCGCTCAGGTCCAATCGACTAATAACACAAAACAGAAATCATTCCTTATCAAGGTACATCTATTTGCTTAAGATAGAAATGTATCAAAAGAATTAAAATTTTGTTCCAGCTCCTTCTAAATTTGAACAATCAAATTAAATTAAAAAGAATGAATTTAAAGCTCAACCACCAACTAAAGATTATTTATCTAGCGAAACAAGAAAATCTGATTATTCTAAAACTATTGATGTTAATAGAAAACCAGAATATCCAGATAAAAAACATGATTATTTGGATAAAAAATTAGATAGCCATGATAAAAGATATGATTAGCAATCCTCAGGTTTTGATAAAAAATAGTATACATCCAATCAAAAACCTTAAGAAATTGATAGACCTAGTTAATCTGTTATTAATCAATTAAAAGATGAATAATAATAAACAGAGAGATTAAGAGCTGAGTTGAATATGGCAAAAGATAGAGAAAAAGATTTTTAAAAGCGATTGTAAAACTAAAATTTTAATTTAATATAGATCTAAGCTAGAATAGGATTATGAATCAAAACATAGAGAAGATAAATAAAAAATTTAATAATTATAAGATGAAAACAAAAACTTAAATTAAAAACTCAATTAAGCTAATAGACATCTTTAAGATGAAATCAATAAAGTTAGATAATAGTATGAATAATAACTTAACGAACTTGAATAAGCCTACAATGAAAAGGAATAATAATTGGAATAAATAACATAAGAATTTAATTTAGTAATGAATAATAACAATTATATAATAGGAAGAAATATAAAAAAAAATTGAAGAATTATAATAAGAATCAGATATGAAAGACTAAATTATTGAATAATATTAATAGTAACTTTAAGATATGTAAGAAGCAATTCAATAAATTCAAGAAGAATAAGCAAATAATAGTCGAAATACAAGAAATCAATTTTCATCTAATAAGAAATTATCAAAGAGTTAAGATAATGATAAGGATTAAATGATTTAAAATTTACAATAATAACTTGAAGCAAAAGATGAAGATTGTAGAAGATTAGAAGGTATTTTAAATTAATAACTATAATTTTAGAATTGATAGAAAATTTTAAACCTTTATATTAAAATTTAAGTGATGAAAAATAATAATTATAAGAAGAAGTTGATAAACTAGCAAATGAAAACAATTAATTTAGAGAAATCTTTAGTGTAATATATTACAAAAATTTAGTAAAATCTACATTTATTTGGAATTGACCCTGAATAATTGAATGAAGAAGGTGAGGAAGAAGGAGAAGGTGAATATCCTGAAGAAATTGCTGAGGAAAATGATGATCAAAATGATTGAACAATTTTACCTATATCATTTTAAATACAATTTTATAATTAACTTAAATTGATAAACATAGAATTTTGTTTATCATTATATCCTAATTCTTGAGTTTTAATTTCTAGATTTTTAATTATAATTTTATTATTATAATTATTCACTTATAATTAAATTCAACATATTCAATGGAAATTGATGTGAGCTTTGTTTCAAAGTTAGCCACTTTGTTGGACTTTATTTTGATTCTCATTTTTTGTATATGGTCCATAATTTATTGTATAGAATAGGATTTTTATATAATAAACTCTATTATGACCAACTTTAATTTAATGTATTATTAAGGTATAATAGATTAGGATTATGAATTTTTTACTATTGCTAGGTGAAACAAAAAAATAAGTAATGATGGAAAAATTTTATTTTGCTTGCAATTAATTTGGAAGAGGTGTATTCTGTTTATTGTATGGAATATTAATTTTTTAGTCTAGCTTTATGGTTATATGCGGAAAATAGTAAAACTGAAAGACATATAAGTTTGCATGATTATGGTTTATCTGTTGCAATTTGCACTACGATAATTGGAATATTGTATGTCATATAGCATTTTTTAGTATTTATACAAATCTAGTTATTTAGTTTGATAAAAGATAATTCTAAATTAAAACTTGATTATATATTTAACAAATATAATATTAAAAGTGTCATTAAAATTTACTGAGATTATAATCTATCTTAAGCATTTCTAAAAATCTTCCAATAAATTTCTTTAAATCTTAATTACTCATTCCCTTAGCAGAATCTTCAATTTTTTCTATATTATATTATTATAATTTTTACATGTATAATTAACCAAAGGTTATAGTTGATTGTCATTTACATTTTTAAAATACATGTCTAAAGCATTTGTCATATTTTTACAAGAGGATATCCACTAATCCATCTATCCACCACCCATTTATGTCTGAATTTCATCTGGATTCTATAGTTTTTTTAATCTTTTCATAGATTTTAATCTTTCATCCTTTGAAATAGTTTATGTTGCTTTAACAAATTAAGACATTCTTGATAATGGTTATTCTGCTTTTTTATTTTTTTCAAAAAATGCTTATAATGCTTTTCGAGTGGCTTCTTTAGAATTTTCAGGTGTTAATAAATAAGTTAATTCATTTTAGAATTCTTAGAAACTTTAAACTTTATTTCCTTTAGTTTAATATGTTTATCCAAATTCTGATAGCATTTTCATAACTTCAGTGTTAACATCTCTTTAATATGTTTCAACAACTTTTTTTAATGTCTAATAAATTTTAGTACAAGGAACTCTTAGAATTGGGAATTTTCCAATTTTTTCAATTGCTACATCTATTTTTGCAAGTGCTTCAATATAAATTAATTTTCTATCAGAAGGTTTTCCTTCATAAAATGTTAACCATCTATAAACAGTTTAAAAGAATTCTTCACTTAATAAATTGATTTAATCTTAAAACAACATGAAACCATCATATATTTCAACAAATGCTGTTATAATTTAGATCATATTTGAGAGCATTTCTATTAAATTTGCTTAAATTTCTTAGGTAGTCAAAACAATTGGTTCTATAGAAGGATGTAATTTAATTCCTGATTAAATTTTTTTAACTTCTCCATAAGTGTCTTATTATTATTTCAATTATTTATTCAATCCTTCTAAAATAAAAGAAGAATTAGCTAAGGAAAGCATATTCTCAATTTTTTATTATAATTCAGTTAAAGCATCTAAGAAATCAATTGAACTATAATAAATTGAAGTAATAGTTTTATCAAACATTAGAATTGTTTGATTTAAAGATTCAAATTCTTTTAATTTTTGTTCTAATTTATTTTTATAGATTGGAAGACTATTTAAAGATAACTTTTCTTTATACCTATAAAAATGAATTAAATAATTAATTACATTAAGAATTAATTATGTGCAACTTCTGCTTTATCTTTCAAAATTTAAATTTATGAATCAAAACCTAAACTCATTCTAAATTATTCAAGAGACATTGTTTTTTTTGTTTTTTCTTAACCTACTGCTTCAACTCCTAATTCATAGATTTTTCCTAATTTATTTTCTCCTTTTTCAAAAAATGTATCTGTTTCAGCAAGTACTGTTTCAGCTTCAGAAAATTTTTAATCAAGTTCAGCAGCTTTAGATGAATCCTCAAATTACTCTTTTATCATGCCAATATACATAGGCATAGCTCTTAAAATAGCATCTTTTTATTATGTTAATGTGCAAGTCTTAATTTTAAGAAAATTATTAACATTATTAGTTAAAGAATTTACTAATGAATCAATTGATACAGATCCTGGTTTTTTTGAATTAGCTATTAATAATCTACTATATTCATCTTAACTATCTTTAAATAATTATAATAATTATAGACCATCTTTTAAATGTACTTTAAAATAAATGCTAGTTTAAACATTTTAATTCATTTCAAAATATATCATATGATCTCTAATTTTTTTAATAATACCATCAAGTGTAAATCTTTATGGTTCTACACTAATTATTGTAGAAATAATATCATAAAACATTTATGAAGTCATTAAATATCTAGTTGCATTGATATGTTCCCAAATTTGATATTTAAAGCAATAATCATTAAGTGATGTATATTAAGAACTTATTTCTTATATTATTTATTTTTTAATCAAAATACTTTCTCTTGCTTTAGACAATCTTTCAAGTACTTTACTACATTATTCTTATAAATTGATTTATGCATTTGGTGTAGCAAGTGGTAATTATAAAGGAGTTTTTTAAGGAGTTTATTTAGTTTCATCATCTAAGAAATATTTATTTGTAATTTCTATGACTGCATTCTATATTTCAGTTGGTAATTTTAATTTAGAATCATAATATTATAATGGAATTTCTTAATCAATTAATTTTAAAATTTATGAAATTAGTTTTTTACTTTTTTCAATTAATTATAAACCTTCAGCTTCACTAATTTAATTTTCTAATATATCTATTGAATGTAATTTGCTATTTAATATTCTTAATAAAGTTAATCCAGATCCAATTTCACAATCTATCCAATCTTTAATACGAATAAATCCATATGGAAGACCTTCAACTTCACTAGGAAACATATTTTGAAATTTAAACAAAATATCCATATCTTGTCTAATTTAACTCTATCATTTTTTACTTTAATTCAACTACTTTATCTCTAAATACTTCTTAATCATCTGTCTCTAATGTTTATTTTTAGATTTTCATCTTATTCAATTAAACTTGTCTTAATTGTTATTCTAAATTTGGAAATTGAACATAGGTATCATATACATTTTACAAATTTTAGATTTTATAAAATAAATCTTCAATTTATAATTAAGCATGAAAGAGTCTAATTCATAAGAATTGTTACAATTTAATTTATTATAAAATGAAAAGTGGTCTTTTTTTAAGAATTTCATAATTAAATTTATTTGGATTTCTAATTATTTGATTTCTATATGTTGCATATTAATTTAAGATATAATTTTAATCTAATTATTCCACTTCTTCTTTGGTCATAATTTCTTACATTAGAGTTTTCATAATGAAATACTTCTTCTCTTGCATTTTTATTAAATACTATAAATTATAATTCAATTATACTTTCTATATATCTTAAAGAATAAAATCATTTTTTTATCTAAATTCTAAATATGGTAACACAATTAAATTTAATTTATTATTACTTATATCCAATTTATTATATAATTTTGGTATCTTTAATTTAGCAAAATCATATAGAATTTGTACAGCATCAACACCTTAATTAAATTGAATAACAAATTAAGAACAACTAGTACATTATTCTTCTTGTACTTCCAATTATTTACACATAATTTAACATGTATAAAATGAAGCATATTTAAGTTATGAAAATTCAATGCTTTATTATTATGGCAATTTTATGATAAAATCAATCATATTTTACATAGATACTGCAGGAACTTTCTCATTTTAAATTTCAGTAAGTTAAATAAGTTCATTTATTTTATTTAAATTTTAATTCATTATTTATTGTAATACATTTAATCTATCCAAAATTTTATTATATGATTTATCAATAACTATTTATTTTACTTAAGAAACAACAGAATATTTTGATAATTCTTTGACAACTTAATCAAATTATGAAGTATTTTCTTTTATTTATTATAAAATTGCTTATACTTGATCACATAATTTAATTGAAATTCTTTTAAAATTATCTTATGATTATGGCAATGTTTCAAGTGCAACAGGTAAAACTCTACCTTATTATTATTCTAATTTTATAGACTTTTAAGGTAAGTACAATAATTTTTATCGATAAATCATATTAACTGCAGCATTACCAAATTTTCCAATTTCTGTTTCTTAATAATTAACTTCCTTTCTTGTATTTCTATCATCAGAATCTTTAATACTCAAAACAATATTAAAATTTTATCTTGGAGCTCTATAATGATAAACACTTATTTAATAAGGAGTCACTTCCTCTTATTCTTAACTTGCAGCAGTATCTTATTCATCCTTAATATCATTATCTTTAATTTAAACAGGATATAAATCAACTATCTAAAAGTTTTAAGAAACAACAGCACTTTATTATTAATATTATTCTTTAGTCATTCCATCTGGTACAAGAAAAGTAGCTAAATTAACATCTTCATTTCTTTTATTTGATTATTAACTCATATCTACTGGTTTAATAGAGACTTTTTATGATGCTGGTATTGGTGCATAATTAGTCATATTAGGTTATACAAATCTAGATTTAGGTTTCTATTCTTAACCCAATTAACCAGACATATTAGGATTTTATCCTGCATTACCAAATGTTTTAGGTTATATTCCACCTTTTATACTGCTTTTGATTGATTATTTGCCTGGATCCATATCTTGAGAAATAATATATATATATATATTTTAATTAAATAAAAAATGTCTAGAGCAATTCGTAGATATGTGAATGCTAAAGAAGAAATGGAATACGAACGTGGATATACAGCTGAAGAGATGCAAGCTGCTAAATTAAGAAAGGCATTTGTTTAGAAATTTATTGCTGACTTTGACACTAATTTTTACAAAACATAAGAAGAAAGAGATTGGGGATATGTTGTTAGAAGAGAGTATTGATTTTTAAAAATACTATAAATTAGATATCGTTATGATGTGACTTATTCTTCTATTGTTGATGGTTGGGCATGTGCTGCAGCTGTTTCAATGGTTAGAATGTTTTAGACTAAGAGATTTTCATGGGCTCCTTATTTTGTTGTTTGGCCAATTGCTTATTTATACTTTTAACCAATTAAATTTTTGAAACATAATAAAAAATACTTTGATATGTGCAATTTAGGTGAAACATATTATCTTGGAAAAGAAAGAAATAAGGTTCTGGCTGAATGTAACAGAATATTAGATAGAGAGGATTTCTGATCCTTATAATAAACATAATAATAATAATAATAAAATATTTATTATTACAATAACATTTTATCATAGTCTTTATTCTTTTTTGTTTGCAGATTTGAATGAAAATTATAAAGAATTTATTTAATTTATAATATGTTAAATTACTTGAATGTTATCTAATTGATTATTATGTCAATTAATATGTTCACTGGATTGATTAGAGCAGGTTTGACTATAACCAGAAAGAAAAATCCTATTGATAACTTTATATTTTTAATGTACTTTTTTGCAATCCTTACACTTACAGCAGAAATTATTAATTTGTTTTTATGTAAAGAAACTTTTGATATACATCCTATATGTGTTGGTACATGGATAACATTTTCATTAACATTACAATAATCATTAGCATTTATGGCTATACTATAATTCTTAACTTTTTTTCTATTATAAACCTAAACAAAAGAATTTCTTGATGAAATGAAGAAATCTTAAAAATAATTTGTATTTTTTGCAATTATTGTGCCTATTATATTTAATTTATTAAATCTATTTGTCTATGATTCATATTATAGAATATTTTATCCACCAAATAATAGATTTTAAGTTATTGTATTATTTGCACCTTTAACTTTCATATTGATAATAATATCAATTTTTACAGGCTTATCTATTAAAATGCTTAGAATGTATTAATTAATAATTAAGTAGATAATAGTGCTTAAGATTTTACAATACAATTTCGTTAAAATTTTATTAAAACTCTTAAAGTAGCATTATTTACATAATTAATATGTTATACACCATTTTTATTGATTGTAATAGCAGCTCAATTTACAAATTCTCTTAATGTTTATTATAATATACTATTAGCTTTAATTAATACTTAAATATTATAATACAATTATTTATTTGGTTTGAATCCTTACATATAAAAAATTTAAGTTTATAAGATGTCAAAATTGTTAGGAATTGCTGCATCTGATATTGAAGAAAGTGAATAATATTCCTATGCTCATACTTAAACTTAAACATTTACAGAAACTTAATTAACAAATAATATAAGAATTTCAGGTACTCCATCAAAAGTTGCAGAAATGGCAATTTCTAGAGATTCATCCAACATTAAATCTGAAACACAAAAATAACCTAAAGTTTTTGGTTCAGAAAAGTAAAAAGTAAATATAATGGAAATGAAACAGAAAGCCAAAACCTATGTACCTAATTGAAATTAATATTATTCCTCTATTAATTCATTAAATAATTAATTTAAAACTTTAATGTCTTTAGTCAACATAACCAACATTGTCATTGATGATAAGCCATAGCCATTCTAAAGTCCTATAAATATTGATATTTACTTTGATGTTATTGTTGACATTGAAGATGAAATCGAATGGATGTATATCAAATATTTAAATTGTAGGCTTCTCTTTATTGGTTCACCTAAAGATGAGACACATGATTAAATACTTGATTAGTTCTCAATGGGACCTCTTTAAGCAGGAGCTAAACATTTTACTTTAGAATGTAATCCTCCTGATTGGTAAAAAATTCCCCAAAACGAATTACTGGGTATTACAGCCTTCATTCTTACTTGTTCTTACAAAGAAAACGAATTCTTTAGAGTAGGTTACTATATTTACACTACCTATACCTCTTCAGAGAATATAGAGAACGATCCCCCTAAAATTATTATAGAAGATATTTCACGTTAAATCTTCAATAATAAACCCCGTATAACTCGATTTGAAATCGATTGGAAAGGAATCAATTAAAATTAAATTAAGTCTGAACATATAGATAATAAATAATTTATGTTTTAAGAACAGCAAGAAAAATAATCAGCTGATGTGACTGAAGTAGAAGATCCATAATTAATTCAAAATGTATTTGACTCTTGAAAATATATATATATATATAACTAATTAAGTTAAAATATTAAAATATTAAAATTAATTTATTATTAATATTGTATAACTAAATAAGATGACTGATCTTTTTTAAGATATTCATCAATCCCATATTGAAAATATTATGATTTCTTCTATTCAATTATTTACTAATCTCTCTCGACCTATTAATTAGATGGTCATAAATAATACTCTTTATACTCAATAGTAGTAGTAGTGTATATAATAGAAAAGAATACATGTATTCTGAAGTAATTACATTTGTTGTATAAATGAGTAACAATAATTAATAAAGGTTTGTTTTTTATATGCAGATCAAGTTTTCGAATTTAAAATTTATAATAAAAATTTAACAGTAAAATTAATTTATATGATTGCATATAGAAATGGAATTTATTAGTGAACTTTAAAAAATGAAATACAAGATCTATCTATATTGGTGAATAATATAGTAGAATTTTGTTGATCTAGATATGCAAAAAGATTGTTCCATACGCAAAGATATGATTCACGGAGAAGGGAATATTATGATTGATGAAAATATCATAAAAGCTGGTTTTATAAATATTTTAAATAAATCAATAAAATATAATTCATAAATAGAGATACATAAAAAATTGAAAATATCTTAAAGTAATTAAAATTATAAATTATAAACCTTTATGAAAAAATTCAAGAATAAAGTCTAAATAGTAATTTGTATGCTTTCTCACTCTAATATAACATCTTGATCATAGTTACAAGATAATACTGTTGTAAATACTGTAACATTTATATAAATGAAGAAAAAGAAATAATAAAATCTAAATAATATTCTTTTATATATAATTAACTAATTATGTTTTTAAGTCTTATTATATTAAATTTTCTTATTTCTTAATTAGTTATTATATAATATTCTGTTTCCATTTTGAGATTAAAATTTATTTGTGATTCAAGATTACAAATTTAGGATCAATATATTATAAAGAGATATTTAATTTATAGATATAAAAATATATAAAAAAATGCACAAGCAAAATTTATATAAATAAGTTTATCAAAGATTTCTCACCTTTTGTTCAGTGATTTTAGTTCCTTTTATGGAGGCTTCATAATAAGATCTTTCAACTTCAAAATATATTTAGAAACCATCTACTCTTTCATTCCCAAGTAAGTATTATACCCATTTCTTTTGTCCAAAAAAGATTTAACCTAGTTATCTACCAATACCTGAGTGTTGGAATAGTTCATTAAAATCCTTAAAACTGTCATGATATCTAGGATTAGTCTTACGTTTGGAGATGAATTTTTAAACAACTGGACATCTTATGGATTCAACCTCAGCCACAATCCAATTCCTGAAGTGTCGACCAAAGGTATAGGGTACATTCTTGTATCGGCCTTGTCTTTTCTTTTTAATTGAGGGGCTTTTTAAATCGATTATATTGGGATCGGTGTCAGCCTCAGCTTAACACCAGTTATTGGTTAGCTAAAATTCAACTTAATCACACTCACTGTGTTATTATAGCTGGTCCTCCTCACTAAAACTATCTCGTCTAAGTAATGGACACATTGCCTTCATTTTAATTATTTAAATTATTATACGTAAAAATCTTAGTTCATAAATCATTTTATATGGCTATAAGAAATATATATATAAATAAAGAGGATTTATTATTTTAATGGATATTGAATATTGACACAATTATATAAACTCAAAAAAGGCTTCTACTTAAGATAATTAATGTGATAAAAAAGAGTGATAATAAATAAAACAGTTATATTAATATATATATTATTATTATATATTTATGTTTGAACAATAATTTATGGAACATCGTAAATCAAAATAGGAGTAAGTAGTAAATACGAAATCTCGACATTTAATTGTTATGAATTAATTAAAGAAGAAAGTATTGATTATTTGATGATTCACTTAGGAAGAAAATTGGAATAATAGATTTTATGTTTAAAATTAAAATAAAAATGAATCCGTAGAAAAATAGAAACCAAAGTAAATTAATAATACATCTAAATTAATTGAAGTTTAAGATTATTACAATATACCTGAGTTTCATAGGTAATATGAATATACATATTATTTAGATAGTTATTTTTGATGTGTTTGCAAACACTACCAAAAAATAATTAAGCAATTCAATTTGAAATAGAAGAAATGTAATAAAAGAAATCTCATATATAAGTATTATATAAATAAATAAATAAGCTTTGTATGTAAGCTGTTGAATCTAGAGAAAAATGTTTAGCATTTTTGATTAATCATATCTAATAATTTTAGGATTATCCTGGAGATGAATAACTATTACAAAAAAGTGCTGAATTAATAACACATTTAAGGATTCTTTCAATTAATGTAGTAGAACAAATTTTAGGTTGGAGATAATATTTAATGAAATTCTTAGTAAATATTCATTCCCATGAGAGTATTTCTCTTCCATATTTATACCTAAGAGAAAATTATTTAATTAAAGTATAAATATCATATCAATTTTTTAGATGAGAAAAGATATTTAATACATAACAAATTCAATACTATCAAATCATTATCAATTTTCAATTAAACCAGATCCATTCTTTGTTGCTATAACTAAACCAGCTGAAGATCCTAATAAAATTGTTTAATTCATATCCAAACCTTTATTAAAAAGAATTAAAAATTGTGAAATAATAATATAAGAAGAAGTATAATCAATTATTAAAGATGATAAATCAATACACAATCAAGCTAATTCAAAAGATCAAATTAAAATGAGTCCAGAAAAACCAATTCATCCAGGACGTATAAGACCTCCAAAAAGATAAGAATAAAGTTAAAATTAAAAAGTAATTTATATTTTAAATCATTTTTAGAGAATAATTTATAAATAGCATGATTAAAATGAAATCATTAATTCAATTCCAAAAAGTATTCCAACTAGATAACCAAATAAATAAGTAAGTGCTACACCTTAAAAATAAAACTCAGTTAAAGTAACACCATATGATTCCAATAATAAATAATAAGCATAAATAAGTATTCCATTATCTGAATAAAAATAATAACATTCAATTAATACAGCTGGACCTATAATTGATTAATCACATGGAATTACTGAAGATGATGATACATTAAAAGTTATAAAATGTAAACTTAATGATGAAAAAGTTATTGATCATTTAAATAATATTAATGAAGATTTTAAAAATTCATGGAGAGGAGAAATTTAATTAATGCAAAATTAATATGATTAATAAGATGATAGTTTTTGTTTAGGAATATATTAAAAATCATAATTATTAGCATTAGGATAATGTTATTTAGATTAATCTTTATAAGAAAGAAGATTAGTATTAAGTCATTTTTCAACAATAGATCCATTATAATTTTAAGAATTACTCAAAATTATTATTTAATTTATTTGGGAAATTGATCCTTGTTAAGAAATTAGAATGTCTTTATACCATTATAATTAGAATGATTCATTTTAAGCTAATAAAGAAATTACAACTAAATTAAAAGAATTAGGATTCAAATGGAAAGTTGTTTAAAGTGTTAATTCTGAAACCAGATTTACAGTAATGGGTATAATATAATATTATCCTAGGCATTAGAAGACCAACTGATATAGATTAACCAAAATAATTCGATCCTATATTTTTATAACATCTTTACCTCACTTGTGATAAAAATACAATATAAAACACAGATGCATTTACTTCTTTATATTGTTTGACAACTCTAAATACAAAAATAGATTTAGATAATGAAATAATTAATTAGCATAAAGATAATCTTATAAAGACTGTATAATAATATTGAGAATTAAATAGGAATTTGGATTTAAGGGAATTAAATTACAAGAACATTCAAGTGATGACTTTAATGCCTACATTAAATAATATTTTGAAGGTTTTGAATAACTCAATCTATCCAATTCTGAAGTTTCACTTTCATCAGATAAAGTTATTAGTAGTTTTTGTAAAGAATGTTATAGATGGGCAAAATGTAAATTAGCATAACATCAAAGACTTATTTATAATGGGTTTATAAGTGTTTCTAATGTTGATAATGCAAAGGTTTTCATGTCTGAATCTGGAAACATTAAAGTATATTTGATATCCTCTGATTAAAGTAGTACAAGTATTTTTGTATTTGAATGTAAATTATCAAAATTTATATTAGATAATGATGAAATTACATTATAATAAGTTTAATCTATTTTAAATTAATGTGGAGTATAAGTACCAATAGATTAAAATCTTTATATTCCATAATTCATAGTGAACACTAAAGTTAAATTTTCAGATAATGTAATTGGATTAGGCAGATTTAGTACTGCTTATAGACCAAAAATGGTTGATATCTAAAATGCCTAAGGTTATATTATCAAACCTCCATTTATATTTGGTAATTATTAATATAATGAATTAAGGGATCTTAAATGAGGATTTCAATGAAATCACAGGAATGCCTAATTTATTCTTTAAAGTTTAAGACACTCACTGCATTTAACTATGATCAATATTTTTTATATAATATCTTTGACCATCTTAAATTGTACATATTAATACAAAACAATTTTTTAATAGAATTAGAAACAACTAAAATCTTTTTAAAAAATAAAAGAAATTAATTATTTTAATAAAAATGGATTATGGTTATCTTTGCACAATAGTAGATCATTCTAATGAACCAATAATTGGATACTGTTTCAATTAAGAATGTGATAAACCTAAATAAATATGTTTTGATTGTTTTTCTAAATAACATTCTAGACATTAAAATGATTGTTTGAGATTCAATCAAATTATATAAATGATATCTGATTGCACTCTTATCTTACAAAATTTGGAATAATCAGAATAAATTAAAATGTAAAATATAATAGATTAATTCAAAAAAAATCTGAAATTCATCTCAAGTGAAAAAGATAGACTGATTAAATTACAAGCATAACTAAGAAATCAAGACTGTTCATAAATTCAAAATCAATTAGAATAATTAAAATAATGGAGAAGCTTTACTTTGAATAAATCTGTAAAAAACAACAATATAGGTATATATTTTATTCTATTTTTTAGGTATTTAATTAGATGAGATAAAAAAATTTGAAAAGTCTTTTGATTAGTTTTTTTAACCATATTTAAATTCTCAGACTATTTCAATTAAACCATTAGAATAAATTTCACAAAGTTCTATGGAAAGATAAAATAGTAATAAAACTTAAGAATAAAGAAATCCACCCTAAAATGTAAATTAAGAACAACTAGCATTAGAATGTCTAACATCAGGTTAAATTATAAATTTATTTTAGCTGTTGATTTATTTAAACAAAATAATTTCTAGGATGCTTTAAATTTTATTAATTAAGCTTTGAAAATTAATTCCGATCTTGAGTAAGCATATTTGATAAAGGGTAATAACAGTTGATTTAAAAATTAGGTCTTTCTTTATTGCATTTAGAGTAGTATGAAGAAGCAGTGGATTGCTTTAATGATTGTTTAAGATTAGATTTAAAAATAGAAACAGTTTATTATCATAAAGGTAAGAATTAGAAATTTAAATTAATAGGTTTCTGCTTATCAGCCCTTGAACATTTTGATGAAGCAATCTAAAATTATGATAAAGCTTTAGAGATTAGAGTTGATCCAGATTTTTATCTGAAGAAAGGTTATTTGTTATGCTAATTTGTAGCTCAAGCTTTATATTAATCATTAAAATACGACAAAGCACTTGAAATTATAAATAAAGCTCTAGACATAAACACTAAATAACAATATTTGTAATTGAAAGGTAATTTTTTTAATATAATTAAAGGGGCAATTTTACATAAATTAGGAAATTCTGCTTAAGAATTAAATTGTTATTTAGCAGCACTTGGATTAGATTAAAATTCATCCTCTATAAATCATAATGTTGGTATAAAATTCGCTTATCAAAAGGAGTTGCATTACATACTCTAAAAAGATATGAAGAATCTTTGAAATATTTTGATGCTGCTCTAGCCATTGAACCCAATTCACCAGATTCATTAAATTAAAAAGGTTATATGAATTATAATTTTAGGCATAACTTTACTATCTTTAGATAGATATTAATAAGCATTAGAATGTTTTGAATCTGCATTATAGTATGTAGAGAAACCAGAATATTTAACTAATAAAGGTATTTAATTATTATTAATTTAATAGCTAAAACATTAAACTTTCTAAAGAGATAAAATGAAGCACTATAGATTTTTGAATATATTCGTTAGAAATTTGGAGAATGATTAATATTAAAATATTTAGGATCTTATGTAAAAATAATTGATTGTATAATAATAATCATTTCATAAATTGTAATAGTTTTCTTTAATTTAACTTCAAATTAACTAACTATTGCATGTATTCAAGAGTAACAAAAAATATCTAATCATGTTTTACTAGACAGAATTATAGTGACATTGCATCAAATAAATTAAGATCTAGAATGGAAAGTGTTTCATATTCCACAACAGTCTTTTAAATTTTTTTTGATTATTGAGGTAGAATCCGCATTGAATTTTTATCATATTTAGGGAGTTGAGCAATTGTAAATTGAACTCTTTAGATGAGATTATCAATATTGTTATATTAAGATTATAATTTGATAAATCTAGAAATGAGATCTGCTTGACTCCTTTTTGGTTATATAATCTTTTATATTTTCTTCCAATCGAAGTTTAATTAAATAGCTTTTTGGAGTAATAGAATGTCATCTTAAATAGTGAAAGGAGTTTTGCATAAATTAGGATCTAGTACATTATTCCATCTATGTTTACAATTTGTTTTGTTCTTATCAAGCCTCAATGCTATTTCTAGCCAATTTAGCTATTAATTTCGTAATTGAGTCAACTTATTGTCTTATTCATTTGTCCAATTATCTTATAGATTTATCCAAAAGGCTTTAACTTCTTAAAGAGATTTATTTAAGACTTGTGCAATTTCAGGCCAGAATTGATGATTGACTCCAACTTTACAGATGGTTTTAATTAGCCAGTCTTATTAGAATTTAGTAAATGCATCAGTATCACTGTTAGTAAGGAGCAAATCATCATCATTTTCATGAAATATTTGAACATGATATAGAGTGATCATTTATTGTAGATTATGACAAAGTTGGGTGAAATTGAGTGATAAAGATTCAAGAAAGTCTTTAAATTAAGTTTAAGACATGATTGATATTTTGACAAGCTTCTGTGGTGCTTCCTATAATATATAAGGTGACTTTCTCTTAATAAATTATAGTTCATTTGATTGGCGAATATTGTTCATAAAGAATGTTATAAATTTTGTTTTTAATAGATATGCTTTATCAATATTCTCAAATTTATTATTATTATTTTTATTAGATCATCTGTTCTTCATTATTCAAGAATGAAGGTTAACCTGTACTTGCTAAAAGTCTTTACCATTCTCGACTGTCAGCTACAACTCTATTAGAATACTTTCCAGATAACAATTCTTCAATAGGAATATAAGCTAATCTGTTATTAACATGACCAACAGTAAATCCAGAGAAACCAGCCATTGCTCCATGAACAGCATTCTAAGCTAATTAAGTGCACATGATCTTGTCATGAGGATTAGCAGGAACTGTTCTGATCATATATGTAGGATCAATATGTTTAAGTGTAATACCCATTCCTTTGTTTTTACAATATTTTGTTAGTTCATCTTTAACAATTACTCCAACATCCTAAGATTTCTTATTACCTGAAGCATCAGTTTCCACAACATTGACTTTATAATCTAACATAGCATCACCAGCTCCTTCAGCAATTACAAGAACTAAAGTGCCCTTCTTCTTAAGTCTTTAATAACAGTATTCCAAAAGACCTCTATCTCCATATAATTCAAATTTGAATTCTGGTATCAAACAAACATGTGCATCTCTTGAGGCATTACAAGCAGACATAGCAATGAATCCAGCATTTCTACCCATAAGTCTTACTAATCCCACACCATATTCTGCACAATTAGCTTCAACATATGCTGATTTAATAGCATTGATTGCTTCCTAATTATATATATATTATTGTATTTACTTCAACAGCTGTTTCAAAACCAAATGATTCATCAATAATAGCAATATCATTATCTATAGTTTTAGGTATACCAACAATTGATATCTTAAGTTTTCTCTTTCTTAATTCTTTAAACAATTCTAAAACTCCTCCATGAGTTCCATCTCCACCTAAACAAAATACTTAATTAATTCCATGATTAACTATAGCTTCTACAATTTTATTTAAATCAAATCCTCCTCTTGATGAACCTAATATAGTTCCTCCCAAATTATGAATATTTTTCACATAATTTGCATCAAACTTTATCCAATCATATGTATAAAATCCTTTATATCCATACTTTATTCCATATATATCTTAAACTCCATAATTGTAATGCAATGACATATATAATTCTCTTATTACTACATTCAATCCTGGACATAATCCTCCACATGTTACTATTGCAGCCTATATATTAGACTATTTATACCTTCACTGTTTTTGGGTCAAAGAACAATGATTTACGTGGTCCTGCTCTCAACCATTTCTTTGTCTAATCTATTCTTTTACCAGGACCAAATACAGCTGTATTAATTACATAAGATCCACAATAGATAAAGGCATCATCTGGTAAGAATCCACCTCCTCCAAAGACTGATCTTAAATTACCTTCTCCTAATAATGGTGATTTAATATTTGGAAATTCATCATCCAACCCAAGTGAAAGATGATTCACTCTTTCTATATCACATGTTGCACTATTTAAGAATTTGATTTCATCAAGTAAAGGATTCTCAGAGTTTAATAGTGCTTCTGGAACTGGAGCCTATTTTGAGTTGACTATATTAATATTTAATAAGTACCAAAGGATCTTTTTCTTAAAGTGAGACTTCTAATTGGTTTAACATCTTCAACTATCTCCTTCTTGTTCAATCTATTAATTAGAAAATCTGTGATCAATCCAGATGCTAGTGTAATTCCAGCATAAAAGAGAGTGGAGTCTAAATGTATTATCTTATTTACTTGATTCACTCATTTAGATAAATTTAATTAAATAAATAATAAATCATAATAACATTTTTATCCAACTAATACTCATTTCATAGTAAAAATAATATCCATAAAAGAATATATCTTTATTTATGAGTATCCTTTTAATTAATTCTATTTTTATTAATATTACAATAAAATTCAAAATCTTATTCATAATAAGTATTTTTTTTAAAGCATACATCTATTTAGTCAGAATGAATTAAATAAAATAGTTGTTTAATTTTAGTAATTTAATTAAAATGTCAAAATAGAGATCTAAGTAATAGCAACCTGATTAGTCTGGCCCAGAAAAGCAAAGCTCTGCTTATCGTAAATTTTGTGATTAAGAACTCGTTTTACTTTAATAACAATATCCTAAAAGAACAACTGAAGAACTTATTAAATTGATCAATCTAAAATGGTTAGTGAAAGAGAAAGAGAAAATCAATAATAAAAAATACTTCTAATAAAATGGTTTTGTGATCATAAATGATAATGAAAAAGTCCCTGTACCCTAACCTCCTCCTCCTGTGATGATAATGTTTAATAATTTATAATGTCTACTAGCTTCCAAAAACAAATGAGATAACAACTTGAGATGACCCATCCTGAGTACAATGGAACATAGATAGATCGCACTATTAAATTCGAATGGGGTTCAAATTCGGCCTTAAAAGAGAAAGCAGCTGAGGAATATAAAAAGTTAAGACAAGTTAATTAGTATAAAATATGAATAGGAATTTGAAAACCAAAAGAAAGAATTCAAAATTAAATATGGTTTCTGGCCATAGCATAAAAAGCATTTAGGTGAGTAAGGGAATTAGATCCATCATTCCAGTTAATAGGCAAATCCATTGGCTTGCTTGCTCAACAAAAAAGTTAAATAAGAATGAGATCAATCAAAATGAGTTAAAAAATAATACAACAAACTACTTACAATCCAAAAACATAAAAAATATTAACAGTTCTATCTTTTAGTAATAGATATTTAGAATTACTTAATTTTAAAATTAAAATCTTTTTCTTATTACTAAAAAGAGCGCGAATTCAATCAATTAAGATAACATCTTATTCATTACATTCTAAAAACAAGAGAGAATGCTATTTTTGTAATTTTACTATCTTTTACATTTTCAAATACTCTCCTTCTTATATTTCATTACATAATTCTAAACTTACTTATTATCATATATATAGATCTTCATTTATAAATGAATTTTGAGTTTCCTTACACATAACTCTTCCTTAAACAAGCTAAAGAGTAATAGAAATAAAGAAAAATGCAAATTAGTATATAATTAAGCCATTTTATTATAAATTTGTATAAAGATCTATCAACTAAAAATACTAATAGAATTATTAACAAAAATGAAATATATTTATGGAAGTTCTAAATTATATTCTAAATAATGATGTTATTAATATCTATCAATAACAAAATAATTTTATTCTCTAATTCCTTTATATTATAAATTTATTCTAAATTAACATATAGATTTTGATAGAAGAATAAATATAGTTTAAAAAAGAGATTCCATAATCAGTTAGTTTTTGAGATGAAAATACTTTCAAAATAAGCTTTTAAGTTCTTAATCAAATTATCAATTAGATTTATGCATTAAGAGGTATGAATAAATAGTATATGTATTTTTAAATAGATTGTGAGAAAGAATTAAAAATTATTAATAGATATATATTTAAAAATAAGTATCTAATATTGATTTATTGAAATGATATAAGAATTATAGATCTAATCTAATTTCTTGATTTATTAGTATTATATAATAATAAGGATAATTTTTATAAAAATTATAATTAATTATAATTTTCATATTTATGTACAAGTTTATTACTTTTTTGATTAATAAAATTAAATGATTTGAAAAGAATTAACTTTGTATGTTAAACAATAGAATAAGATAATTAGTATACTTGAATTATTTGATATTAATGTAATTCAAAAATTAATGATTATAAAAAAATAAATAATATTAAGAATTAAAATTTATAAAATGAGGACATTAATGAGTAATCGAATAAAAATGATTAAAATAATTCAATTCTTCTTAATTATTTTTCTAGTTTGATATTAATGATTAGGAACTGCATTTTCATCATTACATTTAATTGAACCTTCTGAACTAATGATAATTGCAAATAGGATACCTATTTATTTTTTTGGGATAGTTTCTGACTTTTTGGATTCCTCATAATCTAGTTTTCTAGGGTTTGTTTTACATATATCAAAATCCTAATAATAATTAATGATTGAAATACTTCAAGTCTATTGATTTTAGTGATTAAATCTCCTTTTTCTTATAGTAATTCTTTTAGTTATTGAGTCAAGACAACATTAGCAATATATAGTCTCATATATTCATGTTAATAATTGATTCCTCTTTTTTGTTCAAATGATGCTGGAATATCATCATCAATTTATTCTCCTATAGTAGGAGTATAGAGTAGTCCCTTTCTTATGGAGTCACTAAAAAATAGTTGGAAAATGGATACCAATTATCAAGCATTTGAATTCAAATTTATTATTATTTATGTAATATGTAAATTACTAAATGTTAATTTCTTAATCATTTTTTATTCATAAAGTTATATAAAGATACAATAACAAAATTATAGAGATTGAGATGCTATTTTATGTATTTATAATTGAAATACTAAAATTAAATTTAAATTATTTATATTATCTAAATTCAACTTAAGTTGGTGATGTTGTTGTTGATAAATGATTATTAATAAATAATAAAATTAGATAGATAATGATTATATGATCTAATTTCTTATTATCTAGTTATTGAAGATGATAAATAATTTATTATTAAATAATGAATATATATTCACGATTTTTGAGTAGATATTTCTTTGGCACAGTGAAGATCTTCAAGTTACCAGATTTAGGTGAAAGTAAAAAATATATATTAATGTAAGAGATCAAGGAAGCTACAATAAAAAAATGGCATGTAAAGATAGGAGATCAAGTGAATGAAGTACGTCATTTTTTGATAATAGTTCGATCCTGTTGCGGATGTTTCAACAGATAAAATGTTCACTTAAATTCCAAGTAATTACACAGGGAAGATTCATAAGTTATTTCATTAAGAAGATGAAACTTGTTTAGTGGGTGGAGATTTCTTAGAAATAGAGATAGAATCTGATAATCAAGAATCAACATCACCATAAACTAATCATCATTAAGTTTAATAAGGAGATACAAAATAATAAGAAATTCATTAAACTATTCAAACAAATAATACATCTTCAGTATATTTAGATGAATTATCTTTAGAATCATAAATTAGCTACACCAGCAGTACGTCATTTAGCTAAACAAAAAGGAATTGATTTGAGTAAGATTTAAGGTAGTGGCAAAGATGGAAGAATATTAAAAACAGATCTTGAAAAGGTAGGATAATCAACAAAAGAACAATCATCATCATCAACTAAAATTAATATTAAAAGTGAATCAACTTCAACTGTTATTAAAATGTCAGATTTTTAGAAAGGAATGTAAAAGTCAATGACTGAAGCTAATACTATTCCTCATTTATATTTAAAAGAAGAAGTTGATCTCACAGAATTAGCATTAATGAGAGAATAATTAAAAAAAGAAAAGAATATAACATTTATGACTCTACTTATAAAATCATTTTCATTGGCATTAATCAAATATCCAATATTAAATTCTACATATGATCCAACTAAGTAATTTGAATATACATAACATTTATCACATAATGTATCTGTAGCCTTAGACTCTCCTAAAGGTTTAGTAGTTCCCAATATCAAAAATGTATAGAATCTATCAATTAGTTAAATTCAAGATGAATTGAATAGGTAATTTCAATTCTTATAAATATCTAGACTTCGAACTTTAGGAGAAAAGGGATAATTGAGTTTTAATGAATTATCTGGAGGTACAATATGTTTGAGTAATATTGGAACAATTGGAGGTACATATACTGGTCCTCTTATACTGGCACCATAGGTTTGTATAGTTGGAATTGGTAGATTGATGACTGTGCCAAGATATGATGCTAAAATGAACATAGTTCCAAGAAAAATTGTACTTTTCAATTTATTATAATATAGATGAACTTAAGTTTTGGTTGTGATCACAGAGTTATTGATGGAGCAACTGTAGCAAGATTTAATAATGTTTGGAAAACCTATTTAGAAAATCCAACATCTATGTTTATTCATCTTAAATGATTATTATATTAAGGGTATATGAATAAAATTATAATAATTAATTCTAAATATAATTTAGAATTATCAATTATTAAATTCTTAATTTATTCTACTTCCAAATTTTATCCACTTATTTTTATGGTAAGCTTATTGATACTAATTCTTTAAACTATAGCTTTATCTGGCCATAATGATAGTTTTTTTGGTTTATATCATAATACTTTTAGACATAGATCTAAATACTAGATTATTTTTATAGATTGTTAAGCCTCAAATTAAATATTACAATCCATAAACAACTTCTAATGAAAAAATCAAGAGGATACTAATAATATTATAATAGAGAACTTATTGATTTCATAGAAAAAGAATTTTAGAATTATCAAAATATGGATTTAAATCAAATAAAACAATTTTATTCTAGTAGGCTTGAGTTTTGTATTAAGATTAAAGTGGACTCAGCTACTGATGAAACATAGAATTATTAAACTCCTTTCAGAATTTTCTCAATATTCTTAATACTTTATGAATATAATGCTTTAATTATTTTCAACATTAAACTATGGCAACATTAAACTTAAATGAAAATTCATTTGAATAATAGAATAAAGAAATGAAGATATTGAAAGTAGGTATAAGAAGATTCAAATTTCTTTGTTAACGAAATAAAGTGTCTTAAGAATAATAGATTAGAGAATATTAAAAAAGAATGATGTAACATAAAAAAACATCTAAAAATCGTTTAAATGTCTTAAAGTATTAAATGCCTTGTCATTTTGACGAATCCAAACAAATTTAAAAAGAAATTGAAAAGTAGAATTGTTTCATTTCAAATTTATTTAGAATAAGTTTACATTATCTCAAGGACAATAGTGATCTTGGAATTGAAGATATCAATTCTAAATTTATTGGTTTGAACCTAGAAGAATAAAATAAAAAGGTATTTAAAGTTTTAGGTTTTATAAACAAAAACAATACTTTGGATTTATAAAATTAAATTCAAGAGGAAAATTGAAAATAATATGGACATTTATATCTATTAAATGATGTACTTCAATTTTTTCATTTTTTAATTGGTTTACTTTCTTTTTTGTTGATTGTTTCTCTTTTTTTTATTTTTATACTGTCACTCTATACCTTCTATTAAATGATAAAGGATTGATAATTTCTTTATTTTCAGATTCAGAATTTATATTTTTTGAGCAATCTTATAAGAAACTAAAATAGCATTTAGATTTTGAGTTTTTGCTGTATATAATTATTGATTATATATAATTATAATAAACAACTTTTAATTTTATGTTATAAATTTGATTTCATTAATCTAAGTTGATTATATACATAAACATATACTAATTATTATTACTTTCAAATATTATGAATATGTAATTTTAGCATTAAAGCAATCAAATGAAAGATTATTCTATAATATTTCAAAAGATTTATCATTTATAATAAGGTTGAAATTATCATAAAAAATTTAAATACATAATATATTAATTTTTAATTAAATTCTTTTATATGTTTAATTAATCAATTTATACTTCTAGATATTCTTTCTACTTTTACAAAACTGATTAACATAGTATTTCTATTATAAAAACAATTATTTTGAGAATTTAGAAATGATTAATTATATATTAATTAAATACCCCCTTATTTATGAAATATTTAAATCCACATTTTTTTATAAATTAATGGAAGGCGGAGCTTAACCAACTACAAATGAAGCAAAAGAAGGACATGAATTACATGTTCAAACCTTAGAAAATAAGATTAGAGAACTTCCTCTAAAGGATAGACTTAAAGCTATTGCTATCTAACATCATTATCTATAAAAGGAGAAATTAGACAAGGAATGTGATGAGAAGATTCATGCTCTTTAAAAGCAATATGATATCAAATCATTACCAATCTATGCAGAATAACAATCTCTCATAAATGGCTAAAGAGCTGTAAGTGCAGAGGAACAAGAACTATTCAAAGATTTCTTTTCTGAAGCTGAATTATAAGAAGCTCTATAAATTGCCTAAAAAACTGAACCAATTGATAATTATTGGGGTACTGTTTTAACAAATTGCGATAATTTATCTCATGTCTTTGGAGAAAAGGATAAAGACATCCTTAAATTCTTAACTTCAATTGTTTTAGAAACATCAGCTGATACTGAAGTGTTCACTCTTAGATTTACATTTAAGGACAATGAATATTTTAAAAACAAAGAATTATCAAAGAAATTTATAATTGAAGAAGGCAAAGATTTCCCTACAAGTACAGTTGGAACTGTGATAGAATGGAATGAAGGCAAAGATGTTACAGTTAAGATAGTAGAAAAAGTAAATAATTTATTAATATTTAAGAAATAAAAAAATAAGAAGACAGGAGCATCTAGAGTAATAAAAAAGAAGGAAACACAATAAAGTTTCTTCAATTTCTTCAAGAATTCAGAAGATAAGGATGAAGGAGAAGAAGAAGGAAAAGCTGGAGTATTAAATATTTATGATAATTAATAGAATATTGATGAAGATTATGAAATTGGAAAGACTATAGCTGAAGAAGTTATTCCTTATAGTTTGGAATATTTCTTAGGAATTAATCCAGATGATGAAGATTATGAAGATGTTGATGAAGATGAAGATGATGAGGATGATGAAGATGAAGAAGATGATGATGATGAAGGTGATGATAAAAAGAAAAAGAGTGTAAGTTTTATTATATAAATTTTATTAGTAAAGAAAAAAGAGTGGTGACAGTAAAAAGTCTGATAAAGATAAAAAAGGAAAAGCAGAGAAACCAGATTGCAAATAATAATGAGAGTATTGGTTTGTGTACAAAAATTATAATCTAGCTTTTAATTTCATATTTCTTAAAGAGAAGAGTATTCTATAATTTCATTTAATTTTAATTCAACTATTATAAAATTCTAATAATCTAATTATTTAATTAAAAATAAATTAATAATTTTTGTTACATTATATGAATATAATTGAAATTCAAATATATTCAATTTCCAATAATTATTTTTCTTTTATTAAAATAAATCCACCTTCTTATGTAATAACAATATTCTTATAACCATTTTTAACAAGTAGACTCATTGCCATTTTTGCTCTACCTCCTGATTTACAATAAACATGCACAAATTTATCATTTGGAATTCTCTCAAGATTAGCTTCAATCTCAGGCAATGGAACTCTAATAGCTCCTTTTATAAATCCAATTTCTTTATGTTCTCCTGTTCCTCTAACATCTAAAAAAACATGTTTTTCTAATTATATATAAAATTTATAATACCAGGATCTGCCTTGACATCACAAAACTCAACTAAACTGACTAATTTAACAGTTGTTGCTAATGGTCCTCCATTGTTTTTGTAAACTTCAAATCCTCCTTACAAATATCCTAAAATATTATCATATCCAATTCTTAATAATCTTAGGATTGAATCTTAAACTTCACCATTGTTAGCAATAATCACTAATTTTGTATCTGGTTTAATAATAGCTCCAACAAAATTGACTAATCCTGACATAAATGAAATATTGACAGCACCATCTATGATTCCTTCTGCTATATTAGGTCTAGTATCCAGAATGGTTACTCCTGATTTTACAAAGCCTATAAATTATTCAAATGTCAATGCTTTTTAGACTTCATTTACTAATAAAGTTATATCTGCTGGTCCACATTTATTCTATATTTAATGAGATAAATAAAATTACAAGTTTGGCATCGTGAAAAAAGTATTAAGGAGGTTTGGGCATACCTTCAAGTACTTTTTTAGTGAATTCTTCCTTTGACATTTCTTATAATGCATAATTCTTCTATTTTTGAACTCCAATAGAGCAAAACTTTCCTGCTCCAATAGCTTTACCACAGGACGAGCCAGCACCATGTCCAGGATACACAATTACATTATCATTTAGTTTCATTATCTTATTTCTCAAAGAATCATAGAGATATGAAGCCAACATCTCTACTGTAAGTTCTCCACTCTTTACAGCCAAATCAGGTCTACCCACTTCACCCAAAAATAAGGTATCTCCTGTATAGACTGAATGATCCTTTCCTTAGCTAACTAAAACAAAGCAACTGGATTCAATTGTATGTCCTGGAGTATGTTCTACTCTTATTTAGACAGATCCTAGTGGTAACAATTCTCCATCCTAAGCTTATTTAATAGGAAAATTTGCAATTGCAGTAGGACCATACACTATGGTTGCTCCAGTGATAGCAGCTAATTCTCGATGACCACTAACAAAATCTGCATGGAAATGTGTTTCAAGTACCCATTTAATATTTGCTTTTCTTTCTTTAGCTAATTCACTTCCCATTAGTATATATGTATTACACATATTATTCAATATCTCTTAATGGATCAATAACAGCAGCCTCTCCTTTTGATTCAATATAATAAGAAAATGTGGATAAACATTCAATATAGTATTGTTGTATGAAGAAATCTTGGTTTTCAACTCTCTCTCCTAGTTGATTCTCACAGATGTTTGGAACTGCTATCATTAAAATTATATATTTATTGTATATTTTAAGATTTAGCTATCAATTTTTATTTCAAAAATAATATACACTAAATTTCTTTCTTTTTAAGTAAACATATATCAAATCTATATGAATATAAAAATTGTCGAAAACTAAAATATCCTTCTAAATTCTTAGAGATATTAATAAATAATAATTATGTTTTTAAAGAAGAACCTGTATTTATTTTCACATGCCTTTTATGATATGCATGAATTCTAGCAAGCCTAAACTTTAGTGAATAACAATGCATTTTCATAAGCACATGACTTATTTTTAAGATTAATTCAGATTCTCAAACCTCATGGTCGTTTACCTAATGATTTATTGTCTATGTAATATTATACTTCATCAAATAGATCATATCAAAACTCTGTTAAAGTTGGACCAAAATAGTAAAATGATATTTTACAATACAAATTAGACACTCTTGGAAATGTATTATAATATATGCAAAACAATCTTTATTATAATACAAATCATAATATGGATCTACTTGTTTAACATGAACCATAATTTATTGGAAATGTATTACATTATGAATTCAAAAGAGTTGAAGCTGTATTATATTTATAAATATAATTAAGTATAACTATGCTTTATTGAGTTCACCTGAAACAGAAGAGAAATTAATATCATTGATTGAATATTCTGAAGCCAGATTTTAAAAAGGTAAGTTTACAAATATTCAGAATAATCACTCCTCGATTATGCCATTTTGAAATGGTTGGCATCCGGACATGGTTACAATCCAGTTTCATTCAATGCTAATTTTGGAATGCAATAAGGATAAGTATTATTGGATCATTTTTTGAATGCTGAAGCTAAGGTAGATAAAATGACATCAATTGATTTCTCATTAAAATTATATAAGGCATTAAGTGATTTTATTATTTCTGCCAATGTGTAGACATATAATAAAGTAATAGATATTTAATATTTTAGACTATTGTTGGATAAGTATTAAATAGATATTTGAAATTTACAGAAAAGAAAGCAAAAAATTAAGTTCATAAATCATTGATGGGTTTAGGATGGTTGAATACAGTTGAATAAAGATATATGTCTGCAGAAGGATTATTTAGAACAATTGATGATTAACTCAAGACACATAACTTAACACCTGAAATATAAGTACTTACAGCTTAATTCTGGTATTTGAATATTTAATTGCTCTAAAAATTGACAAAGAGACAAACTGAAGTTCAAAGTAAATATATTAATTTATATATATAGATTATCAACAACAACTAAAGTAATTCAAAATGTCTCCAGTATAATAGAAAGCAGTATTATATTGTCATCTACCAAATCACCAAGTTCAATTTTTGAGTTGATTATATTTTTGTAACATAAATTTATTTAATCAATGTTTGGCCTTTCCAAATCCAACCATATTTGTATCCCTATCATAAATACTTAAGTATTTTTTTAAAAATATATCTCCTAAAATCCAAGCAGGTCCTTATGGATCTGGAATATCTAAAGGCATAAATGCTCCTATGCATCTATCAGAAGTTCCTTAAATAAATGCTGATGCTGAAACATCATTATTTAATGGTATTTCTGTACCATCATCTCTTAATTCCATAATATACTCTTTAGAATCTAGATCATAATCAACTCCGTCAATTCTAAATGTCAATTTAGGCAACTAATTCAAATTTGAACAATCATCATTTATATTAGTTAAATCTAATATTAATCTATTAAAATACCAAGCAATTTCATCAAATCTTCAAAAGGACCTGTGATTAATGAAGTACCTGTATCAGCTATTATTTTACAACCCTTAGGACAGAATCCCTAATCTTTGCCGTTAATCAATATATTATCAGCCTATATCATCCAATAATATTTATCAATAACTGGATGATAATGAACTTAACCATCAAGTTTAGTAACATCATAACCACCAAAAGTAATTTAAGATTCATAACTATTGACTTAGTTACTCATATAAAATGAGAATTGATTTGATTTCAATTTCTTCTCTTTGATAATATTGTCAAATAATGGATTAAAGTTATAGGCTGCCATACTTGGATAACCCAATCCTACTATACCATCAAAACCTGTCTTTAAATTTATATAACTTTCATACATTTTAAAAAACTGAACCATTTTCTTCAATTATTTCAGCAATATTTTAGTCTTCGATCTCTATTTCACCTAATCTAACAATATCTGAATTTATTTCCCCATTCAAATCTCCAGTACCAAATTCCACATTTAAAGCATATCCCAAATGCTTAGATTTCAAACTTGGTTTATATTAAGTATGTTATTTGCATCCTTCATTCTTGCATTTAACAGAATCAATCCAAAAGTTTGCAGAACCAGTGTCAAAGATCACTTAGAATTCTTAATCTCCTACTGTTATTGGTCCAGTGAATTATGTATTCCTGAAATTGTGTAGTTTCAAAGAAGTTTTCTTTGTTTACTCGTTTTACTGTAGTTTAGGAACATATCCTCCAAATTCTATTTCCTATATGTCAATTGGAGTATGTTAACGAAAATATGTTTGTTTAGTTGATAGAAAATCATACATTTCTTTAGCTGTCACCTATCATTTTTGTTGGATTACTTACAATTTTTTGAGTCTCCTTTAATTTTATGGTGAATATTTAATTTTCTTGTTTCTCTTAAAGAAAATTACCTTACTGCTAGCCACAGAGAGTTATGACAACCAATAAGGAAAATAAAAATTAATTCATTGTTAAAAAAACGATAATAAATATTAATATGTAACTACTATGCGATTCAATTTCAGAAGACAAAGTTGTAAAATTTATTCCTTTACTTCCTCATCTTCTTTTAGAATATGAACTCATGTTCCCTGTAAAAAATTAAGGCATAAGTAAACTCTTATTAATAGCTTATATGACTGGAAACTTATAAAAAGCATTTGGAAAAGGAAGATAGATATGTAAAAAAATTGAATTTATCAAATTGATAAGATTGCCCAATAAAATTTTAGTAAATATCTTATACATAATCAAGGGAATGAAAGTAGTTTATTATATGTTTAAGATGCTAGTTGATGATATTCATATGTATAGATTTATTAATTGATAAAAATTAGTACTTGTATATATTTAGGAGGTAATCTAGAAATAAATACAAGTTTTTAATTTTATACTTTTTATAACCTTCTTTAAGCTTGTATCATCAATCTATAACTTTATACTGGGCCGAATTAAGAAATTTAATATTCTTTATTTATAATAGGTCAGTACCTTGAAGTTAATTGAAAGACTTCTTTTGGCCAAAAAGAATGAAATCTTTTGTGATAAACTTTGGGAATATCAAGTAGATGATGATGATGATTATGTGGATTTAAATTCAATTTAATTAGAGATTGTTTTACTTCAATTTTTCTGAAGCTGTAGTAAAAATACTTAGAAAGAAATAAATTTAAAAGCATATGAATGATATAAAATACATAGATGGAATAGAGGATATCCTATGATATCTAATAGTCTTTATGATTGTCAAATTTAATGGATAATTTTTAATTTACTTATCTATTTATTGTTTATAAAGGTTGTTTTTGAATTATTTTATAACTTAATTTACTGAAGTATTATTAAGGATGATATATATATAATTATACAAAACATAGCAATAGAAGAATAAATATGACAGATTTAATAAATAAAAAGAGACTTAATTAATGATATTAAAAACTCTTTTTGTTTTAATAATTTACAATATAATAAAAATACATTGAATTATATTATTAATATTGTGAATATAAAACACAATGATGCTTCAAGTTAAAACTCCTTATGTTTTGGATGATGCAACAGGTTGTTATTGTTATTGTTGATTTTATTATGGTCTCAAATTGTTAGCTAATTCAAAATCAAGTAATTCTTTTTCTCTAAAATAATCTCAAATATAATCTGCATACTTTTGTTTCATAGCAGTGTTGTAATTTTATCCTGTCTTTTCAAGTAATTCTAAACTTTCCTTTAAAGATTTCAAAACATCTTCCAATTATCTTTCTACAAGAACTCCACCAATCAATCTCCAACATCTATAATAGATAGAATAATTCACCTTCTCTTTGGATCAATATTTTTGACTGCATCCAAAACTAATGTATGTTCCTTTCTTTCATCTTCAATATCAAGATAGACTCTGAATATTTCAGCATAATCCTGTCTCATTTTGTTGTATTATACAACTTATTAATTAGTTAAATTCTTCAACATCTCTTACTATTATTGCTATTGCATTAAATCAATAATTAAAATTTTTAATGACTTACATATTAATATTGTATTATAATATTGATAACAATAAAATAATAATGAAAATATATGCATTGAATATATGATTTAATGTCATCTTAATCTGAAGAATTTCCAAATAGTACCTTCTTCGAATTCTGATGTGAAATCGTATTTGGTTAATCTTTGTTCTTTTCTTCTCCATTGTAATCCATTATCCACAAATCCCTAAATCATTAATAGGAATGTACAGTAAGTCTATTGTTACTATTCATGCAAGCAAATAATGCTCCTGCCATCATAATTGAATTCCAAGCAATTGAAAATCCTCTCTATCTAATATATTCAGTAGTTGTTAATCCTAAAGTGGCTTTTCTGGCAGCAAAGAATCCTAAAAATGCCACTGTTGCAAATAGACCAAAATCTGCTTTGTTCAAATTTCTCAATACCTTTTCCAATATATGATATAAATTTACATCTCCAACTGTAGGCTTACTAATGATTACTGGATAAGGTGGTCTTTCACCAACATTATAGAGTACCTGTAATCTTCTAATCTTCAATAAATTCAACCATCCTAAAAATGAATCGTGTTCAAATGTTCCCCTATATGTTGACATAAATTAAAATATTTATTATATTAATCATTCATCATCTTTAAACTTTTCTCTAATCATTTCCACCTACAAAATAGTTTTATCATCATTTTTCAATTGATCTTTTAAGAATCTACAAGTAGCTATCCAATGAATCTATATAAAATATAATAAAATACTGTTGACAAAGCTCCTCTAATAGCTCCTGCAATCATATTTGAATAATTGAGTCCTTATAAATGTTCTGGTAATTCAACAAAATCATTTAAAGGATTCTCAATGAAATGCAAATTAAAAGTGAATATCTTATCAGTCTCAGGTAATATTTCCACTTCAGCTGTCACTCCAAGAAACATTTACATGGCTCCCTATCTTAAAAATAGATAAAAACCTTGCCAATATTTTCTGCAACATCAATCTTGTCTCTACATTACTTTATTTCTGCTTTTGAAAGATATTCATCAATGATTCTTTGTCCAATATTATAACCCATCTTCTCCAATTACTCATTTGCTTCAATTACAGTATCACTATCTTTAATTATTTAGGAAACTATGGCACCATAAGTTAATGTCAACAATTCTGAATTCACTTTCTCAATCCTATTTACTACTACTTTATTTGATTTTCTGATCTGCATATATTTAAATAATATATAAAATAATATTAAACTTTCAAGCATCCTTTATATAAATATTCATATTTCATTTATATTCTTTCTCTAAAACTATTTAGAATTAACTACCCATAAATATTATAGAATTCTTAATTTTAAGTTTTTATATTAAGGAAATAGTTATGTTTAAATGAGTATGAAAGGGTTATTTCAAACTTGTTTCAAATTTATATTTAACAATATATTAACAATTAACTAATTTTTTCACTTTTTCACCAATCATCTTCTTCATCTTTCTCATCTATCTTTTACTAGATTTATTATTATTATTAAATTTATTGCTTCTATTTATTTTATTTATTTGTATCCTATTTGATTGTTACTAATTTGGTATTTGGATCTACTTTTAGGTTTGGACTAATAAATTCTTATTCATCTGAATGAGCATATACTGTTTCTTCAATTATTATCTAACCACCAACTTAACAACTTGATGGACAACTATAAATATATAATGCTCCCCATTCTAAGTTGTATAATTCAGGAAAATAAGTAAGTATAGAATTATTAATTTAGAATTCAAATATCTTATTCTTTTTGCAATAAGAACATTTGGATTCTATTTATGGTTATTTTTTATCACTAAACCATAGTGGTTTACTTTAAGAATCAAAACAATATCTGACAACATGATTCTAATATTAAGTCAGAAAACTAATTATTAATATACAAATACTGTTAATAAATCAGAAAACAACCATCAATATTATTTTATTAATCTTTTTCTAATCCATCCAGATCATCAATATCTTCTTTCTCCTCTGTACTCTTTAAATAATTCTCATAGATTTTATTTTCATTATCAAATTTCACATTCTTCAAATCTACCTCTTTGTCTTCATCATCAAAATTAGTAGGTAATAATTCTTCAGCCACTTAAAATTCATTATTATTCTCCTTAGCACTTATAATTTCTGTATCAATTATAAATGATTTATTTTATGGAGAAAGAATATAGTCTTTATTTTTTGATTAAAATATTTAAGGTTTTTATGATGATTGTATTCTAAAAACTCTAATACTGCTATTATGTTTAGAACATTATTCATTTAAGCAAATAAAAACATAGATCTCTCTATATGAGGCATGCTTGTTATTCAAAGGAGCATATATCTTAAGAGTAAGATTATTTAAATACTTAAAGCAACATTTTCATTTGATTTCCACATTAAGAACATTTTATTGATTCAAATTTATCTTCATTCTCTAAGAAATACTAAATTATAATTAATATTTTTTACAGGTAATCCATTTGCATAGGAAGGTAATTCATCATCTGTATTTAGAATATCATCTACTTATTCTAAATATCCAAGTACTATTTCTTCCTTATTATTCATTAATTAAAGTATTAATTTTAATACATTTAGTATTGCTTTAAATTAATAATAATCTATAGATCATTTAATCAAAAATTCATTACTTATTTTATAAATAAATTTTTATATAATAGTACACGAATTATATTTACAAAACAAAAAAAATTAACAATAAATTAGATGTTTGATAATTTCATTAAAAAATTGAATGATTAATAAGAATAAAGAATATAATTTATGTTTACTAATTATTTCATTTTGTCTAAGGTATTTAATATAAGTATTAAATACTAAATATGAAATTTTATATGATTAAATTATGATATATTTATATAATTCTATGAAATAATATCAAGCATCATATTCTTAAATACAATCTTAGATTTCAGCTCTACATATTGGGCAATTCTTTTATTTAAAAGCTTTTGAACATTTTTTACAACAAACTTTATGTCCACATCTATAAAAAACAATATTCCTTTTTTCATTTAAACATATAGCACACATCTCATCTGCTAGGTAAGATTCTTTATAATTTTTCTCAGGTACCTTTTAAACAATGAGGATTTACTAGATTAATTCATTAATACATTATATTTTCTTTTAAATTACAAATCATCATATTTTGAGAAGGTATAGCATAATTTTAAACTCATCAATCCACTTGAAAGATCTATTAGAAAAGGCAAAGTTATAACTAAAAATACAAATGCTTATGGAGGTGCTTCAGTTTCCTATAATAATTATATTTAGTACATAAGAGTCAGAAAATAAATCTGCAATTATTTCATATATTAAAACCATTCCAAAAAGTGAACTTGTACAAACTGCATAAACAATAATTTTCTTTTGATTGATTTCTTCAATTGCATAATATCCTAAAATAGATAACAAAATAGACAAGACATTAATCAATAATGTGAAAAAAATCTTAAATGAATCAATATTTAAATAAGAATTACCTTTCTAGCCATATAACCCAAGAATCCAAAAAAAGACATTATTATATGTGCATAATTGAGGTATTTACAGTATTATAGTTCCTTTTTAATTTCATCAAAAACATCTTCTTACATTTTGTTTTAATGATTGTTATAAAAAAAATAGAAATAAATTAGTTAATATAAAAACTGAAATAAAATAAAAAATGATTAATTTTAATAATCTAGAATTCAATAAATAAATGAATAAAAATTAATTAATTATCAATAAATTGTTTTACAATTATATCCTTATCTTTTTTTGTATTCTTAAAGTAATTTTTTGGTTAAAGTATCATTTAGAGAATGTTTCTATTGATATTATTGTAATAGTTTTTTAATTTATTATTATTTATCTGTATAATCTCCACCTTATTTCTAATAATTACCCATATCCATACTTAGATCCTTTTAAAACTAAGATAAAAAAGAATGAAATTACAGAATTATGTTATTCTTCAATTTATTCAGCACATGAAAAAGGTCTAGGAATCTGACTTACTTCAGGAGGTTGTTTACGAAAACTATGAACAGAATTATTTGATCTATTAGGTTCAACATGTTAATGTTGTGAATTTGAGGGTTTTTTCATAATTTTGTTTTAATTATTTTAATTTTTATCTTAGCATGCTTTTACTGATTATTATCTTTTAAGTTCTTAATCTTCTGTTATTAGAATATTTGATACTTATTAGATTTAGAACATTTTAAGCAGTTTTATTTCTTTAATGTTTTGTAACATTTGAAGTTTCATATTGAGATAAATTATTTTTTCTCTTTCTATCTTAATATTCATATGATTCAGTTTATGTTCTGGTAGCTAAATAATTAGATTTATTATTTTAAGTATTTGCTACATGAGTAGAAATAATTCTTTTATGTGAATCATTTCTAGGTTTAAAATAATCATCTTATGGATCAGTTTGTATTCTATCTTACTATTAAAATTAATTACAAAAATAATACATAATCTTAAATAGGTGGTTTTTATTTATCTATTTATAAATTGATTGTAATAGATTATTATTTTGGATATTCATTTTCAATATTCTCTTTTTTAGATTAATTTTTTTAATTATTTTAATTTGTTTTAAGAGATTAATTTGTATTTTCATTAGTACTATTATTTTTAATAATTTATAATTCTTTTTCTTATGTTCTTAATTTTTAATTTAATGTATTGTTTTTATCATATAAAACTTAGAAATCACTTTTGAGTCCTTATAATTCTTCTTCTAATTCTTCTTTTATTTTTAAAGCATCTTCTAATTTTTATTAAGTATTTTCTGCAAATAATTTCAATTATTATTCAATCTAATTTTATTTATTTAATTACTCTTATATGTTATCTAATTTCTGCTTCCAATTTAATTAATTATTCTTCATAATCACTTTAATCTCTAGTTTTTTGTTCTTCTACTTATTATTCTAAATTTAACTAATAATATTTAAAAAATACTTTATCTTGCATTAGAACTGTGAATATACATCCAATATAACAAATCAAACTATTTGGATCTGTATAAAGATCTTCTGACTTATCTAAAGGTACTAATTTTCTTATTTAACATAATAATAACTAATTGGAATTTTTATATATACATGATCTTCAGTTTTAAGTATATTGCTTTTAATTTGAGAATAGAGATCAAGTATGGATTTTTGTAATTTAAGATCAAACTTCTTTTCTGTATGTTCTGAACTATGTCTATAATTAGATTCTAAAGATGTATTGATATCATCATGAAAATGTTATTGTTATTGAAGTAGTTGTAGTAATGTTTTTGATTTTTAAGACATTTTTTAAATAAATAACTGATTGAATAGAAAATTTAAAATATATATATTTCTTTATATATATATATATAATTAAAAAAGAGAAGTATAAAAAAACAAATTCAAAAGATGCAACTCTATGTCATATCCACAGATTTCTGTATTTACAAATCTGTTTTTAAATCTGGGATAAATTCACTTTGTATAGTTGTTAAATCATCTAAACTGAAATTCTGAATCTATTTAGAGTCAATTTGTAAAGTATGCTAAAGGATTAAATGAAATAATACCACTTATGAAGTTGTATTTAGTGGATTCAAGTTTTGATATTCAACGAATTAGGGTGTTCCTAAAATATAAATGACAATCTATTACTGAATTCCATCAAGCCATAAGATGATTTATGTTAAGGTTTGAGTGGTATTTATTAATCAATTAAGATTTTCAATTAAAATTATTTCAAATGTCGTTGATGTTGATTTTCAATCAATTTTGATCTCCATATTGGCATAATTTGTTTCTCTTTCTTCTTTTCATCAACATTTAATTGTTAATGTATCAAGTAAAAACAACCTAACATATAGGTTTAGAGTAGAAATGACTTTTTTGGGAAGACTCTCCTTAAATCTTCTAATACATGAGACATTATGAATTATTAATATTATTTATTATATAAATTTTAATTTAAGATATGAAAGACATTTATAATAATACTAAATGTCGATGGTGCATATTATTAAAATTATAAATTTATATGCTTCCTATTTCAAAACATTAAATATAATGTTGATTTCATTGAACATTTATCATCATCTCCTTATTCATGTTTACATTGATGTAAATGTCTTATAAAAGCAATCACATTTTAATTTACAAAAAGTCTTGTACTCTAATAATATTATCTACATTATAAACATGGAAAATCTTCATAACTTTAATAATTCCATTAAAATTAATCTGATATAGATTTTAAGCATGTTTAATTCAAGACATATAAAATCTATTAAGAATTATCAATTGCAATTTCATTAACAAAACTTTCACTACAAATAAATGATTTAATTAATTCAATAGTTGTGCAATCATATATATATAACTTATTTTTTATGTCAACTACAAATAATTGATCATTTGATTAAGCCATTTTCTAAACTGATTAAATTTTTATTCTTTTTTCTTAATATAAATCATTTTTATTATAATTCCAAAATATTATACCACCTTATTCTAAATCACATTTAGAAGCTGAAATAATAAATTTAGATGATTTAACAAGTGCAAATAAAATAGTAGATGATGTATCAACTATATAAAGTGGATTCTATATATTTAAATCATATCCAAATATTTATCCATCCCAATCTCCTATTAATAATAAATTATCAAAACTTAATAAAGAGACAACCCTACTCATTCTTTAATGTTAAACTTTTCTTATTTATTAAATACTTTATTAAGAACATTACCAAATTAAAGTAAAATCATCACCTCCTAAAGCTAATATGATTTATTTATTAAAATCTAATTTTTATGATTTATTTATTAAACTCTATTATGCCAATTCTGTTATTTGACAATTTATTTCAATAATACAATTTATTTATGTTTCACATTAAATTACTACAACTTCATTATAACATTTATCTCTTATTTTTATTGTCATATCATTTAATGCATAAATTAAATTATTTTATAAAATTAAAAAACTAGTAATACATTAATCTTCTTCAATTAATTTTTATTCTTTTTTTATTGATTTTATTTAAACATTTTTTTAATCAAAATCTGTTATTGGAAATGATTTAATATATGTTTTAATATTTGATTCAATATTTGATAAATATTAATCAAAATAATTAATTAATCTATTGAATTCATTTTTTTTAAATTCTTAATTTTTATATGTTGGTGGAAATACAGTTTAACTTTATAAAAGAATCAATTATTCTTATAATTATTTTATTTTACCACTACTAAAAAATGTAGTATAATTTAACAAATGTGATTTAAATTTTCTCATTACATTTATTGGATCATTATGATTAGGTAATTTTACACCTAATATACAATTAAGTATTGATAAATCTGAAGATTTTTAAAGTGATTAAAATTTCTCAGTTTCTTTTAATTATTGTTTGAATTATTAAACATTTTTATTGTATATAATAACTTATTCTTCTAAAGTTTCTACAAGTTTGCTTTCTAAATTATCACATTTTTGCATTATTTTCTTTTTAATTTCTTACATACCTTCAGAAACCCTCTACTTTTAAATCTTAATAAATGATGCAAATGAATCAGTATCAAGTTATTTAAATTAAATCTACATTTTTTCAAATTAACTTAAATTAACATTTAATTTCTTAGCAAATTCTTCAATCCCATTTTATATTTCATAACTATGACATAAATGATTTTAAAGACAATCTACACACAAATATGGTTAAAGATCACATTTTTCATCAATGCAGATTTTAGTTAAAGGTTTTGTATGTTCTGGACATTTTAATGGTTCTGGAGATTTCATTAATTATATATATATATATATATAAATATTTTAAATTTTTAATTAATATATTATATTGTACAAGAATGACTGACAGATATAGATATTTAATCAAAATCTGCTAATATTTCTCTATTTAATATAACCATCAATATAAAGTTAAACAAATTAATTGACTCAACTTCCAATTATTTTGATGGCCTACTATTACAAATTCTGTAATAATTATATAAGTTTATTATTAAATACGGAATTGTTAAAAAACGAGCAGCAATACATGTAATATATGAGTACTTGATTGCTTTGTGAATTTTAAATTTTATTTATGCTGAATACTTGAGAAATTCAAACATTTATGTGTTTGTTTTCTACGCATAAATCCAGCTTTTAATAATTTATTCCAGAATTTAATTACATTTGGTTATCATTTAAAACATAACTTATGTCGAATGATTCTGGGATTCTTTTATGATATCATTTAGATATTAAAGTATATAAAAGACTTTAAGTTAATACAAATGAACATCAATAATGTTAATCTTATTAAATTTATGTAAAAGAGTGTTGCGATTTTTGAAAACATAAAAAGTCTTCTTTTCTCTTTTGTTTACTTTAAGCTAACGTGCTTTAAATTATACATTAAGTCAAAATTTAAAGAGTTTGTTAGCTCTAAATAATAATGATAATATTTATTCAAGAGTCGTCAACAAATGTCCAATTATAATGAACATCAGCTAATTTTACTCTTAAATTTACTATAAGGCACATACTATTGTATGACGATATTCAACCATCCACAAACTCTTTATGCCTATATATAAAATTTAATTTAATTAATTGATTTGAATTTGAAATGTTAATTAAATACTAAAAATGCTTCCAGAAAATTATTCAAATAAATATTAAAAGGAATAAATTGTATTAATTTTATAGATCTAAAATTTTGTACTCTTTATAAAGTTTAGAATAAGAATTACTTAGGCTTTATCGTTAAAAATTATATAAAACAAAATATTTCTAATAATAGGAGAAGCTATGAGGAAAATAAAAAATTTAGACACAAAATAATAATACTAATTTAATTTAGAATAATTATTATTTAATTAAGAAATTATAGAAGGAGAAAACAAAATCTTATTAATCTAAATACTAGCATATATAGAAATTAAGAAATAATATAAGTATTCACAACTAAATAATTATAATAACTAAGAATAAAGGATTTTATCTTAATTTTTAAATTTTTCTAATTATGATTTAATAATAAATAATTATTATTAATATTAATATTATAATAATACAAAAATGCACACTTAAAACAACTTTATCTATAATTAATAAGGGTATATGTATCCTTAATAATACATGTACCCACATCCACCTCCAAATTATGTTTTCCCTCAATAAATTTAACCTGCTTAATTTTATTATATGAATCCATAGAATCCAGCTATGTATTAATATAATATTGGATAATAATAATAATAATAATAATAACAATAATAATAATAATAATAGTAGAGAATTAAATGTAATCAACCTAAAACAAAAGAATAAGATATCAAATAATAGAAGTAATAAGTAGTTAAATAACAAAATAATCCAATCATGTAATAATAGATGGAAATGCAAAAGACAAACATAAAAATATTATCAGAATAATAGATTAGAGATTAGGTAGGCTCTATTACAAAACAAGGTTTTTGCCATTATTGCAATAAAAATGGGAAAATGTGTTATTATTGTTTCAGTAATTATAAATCAACAGATTGCAGACATGGATTTTGCTTTGATTGTTTAATGTTTAAATTTAAAGTAAAAGTTGAATATAATCAATTAGATCAACCCAATAAAGATATTACTTAGACCTGATTGGAGTTGTCCTATTAAAAGTAAATAATGTATGTGTAGTCGATGCTCAAATATAAATCATATGGATTCCGATTAATTTATTTCCAATGACTCAGTGGAGAGTTGCAATAAATATGCACATATAATAGAGAACACTAAGAAGATTAAGAAACAATATTCGAAAAAGAAGAATATAATCAGAGAAATGTTTTAAGTGAAGTTTTAACAATTAGATCCAAAAAAGAAGAAATAATAATAGGTATATCATAGGAATTAAGGTAGTCAATGAAGAAGACTTTATTACTTAATAAGATTAAGAAACAAATGTAATTCTCTTAGGAATGCATTTTGAAATTGAAATAAAAGCATAGCCAAAACGATGAATAAATATTGCATCAGGTTGTCAGATATAATTTTGGTTCCTTGATCGATTTATTTAAAGAATATAAATAGGCTTGATAATTCATATTAGAATATATTTTAATGTTTTTATAGATATTTTTATACTCATTATTATTATTAGGGAAACTTGGGTTTCTTGAAAAACTATTCAAAAGCCTATTATATGATTTCATAAGATTGAATATAATTTCCCATGCATTTCTTGAATTCATCCTATGAAGCATTAACTGGAAGTATTTTGAAGCAAGTTTTATAAACTTCATTGCTCAGGACTTCTTATTTAAGTTATTATTAATCACTCATAATAATTAATTATTTTTAATATTCATTCATATATTGTTATATTAAATTAATTTTATATACAAATGAAAGAAATACTAATTAAATGTTAATAAAATTGTTCATACTTTTAATAAATACATTTAAAAAACTTAATTTATTTTCTATTTGAATTATAATTAACTAATTTAAAATAAGAGTAAAAAATAATCTAATTAAAATAGAATAATTAAGCATATATTAATATTCTTACTAGATATAGTATAACTTCAGGATTTTATAAATACAATAAATTTTTTAGAAAATTAATTTTAATATATTAAGATTTTGTTTCTATCTCCAATTTAAATTTTAGAAATAATAGTAATTTTTGATTTGCAATCTTTAGGTTATTATAATAACATATAATTTACTCATTTTTAAATCACTTTTAAACTTCTAATAAAAATATTAGACAAATAGTTTTTGGATATCTACTATTTAATTAATTAATAACAGAAGAAAGTAAAGCAAATTTTAATTAATAGAATGTTTAATGATTTTTGATACATCTAAAATCACACATTCAAATAAGATTTAAATGAGTTTTAATCAGAATAAGTAGCAATAATTGCAAATTAATACTTAAAATAGTAGAATACATTTTCTAAAATATAAAGCAAACTTTGTTTTAAAAAATAATGAATATCATTTTTTGTATGAGATATCTTCATCATATGAGCTGAATGCTTTAAATAAAAAAAATTTATTATCAGGAATGAAAAATTGTCATAAAAATGACATATTTAGCTTATAAAGAAATTATAAAATCCTTTATAAGTTTAACCATGCATAATATTTAAAATTTCTAAAGTATAATTAATTATAAAGTTAGGAATATTTAATAATTAGATACCTATTTAGATTAAAATATAGATTTAGAGACAACTTATATGATCATTAAATTTGTAGTAAAATTAAAAAATTTAATATAAATAATGTATAATTTTTATTAGAATAATATTATTATTATTATATACATTTTAATCTTGTATTTCTATTTAATATATATACAATAAATTATGTATTAGGTAGTGTTTCTCATTATTATTGGTATAGAATAATACTAAAAATGATCTAATAAAGAAATTTAATTTATTTATCAGTCAGGTCTTTAAACTTCAAAAGAGCATTAGTATTTAAATTAAATATATAAGAAAATCAATAACGATTATTCCAAAAAGAATGAGGTATTTATAAAACATAATTTAATAAATATATGAATATTACATAGCTAGAACTCTTTAATCAAGCTTGCCATTAATATAAGGGTATGGTGATTTCATCTGATTTCATACAGGCAGCCCTTCTTAGTCGATATTAAATAACTCCTGCTGAATTTTTAAGACCATTTCTACCTAGAAAATTGTAAAGATTGAAATTGGGTTTGAGAGAGAAAGAAAAAGAGCTTAATATAAAATTATTAGATTTGAAAGAATATGATTAGATTGGAAATGTAAAGTTGGACAAGTATTCGCGTCTTTTATTGGAGGATACTCAATTTGTGGATTAAGTTTAAATCTCAAGGAATTGTAGCAAACAAGTTTTAGATTAAATTTGTGATTAAAATAAGATGGCTGGGTTCTAGTAATTGTAATAAGTAGTTGGAGATTGTTTAGGATTCTAATATCATTATAATTTTTTAGATCATCCAATTGTATTATTTTATATAGTAAGTGGATAAGAGAAAAATTTGATATAAGAGATCCATAAAATTAGAAATGATTCAAATGGTTTGATTAAGATGATTTTTAAGAATAATCTTAATGATTTGGATATGGTGAGTAAAGTGATCATAATATTGAATGATGCTTAAGAAATAGTATAATATGAATCTCTTGATTTAATATTTAAAGAATTTAGTAAATTTAGAGCATATACACTAAAATACAATTTACCTAATCCAATTGAATAAACTCATTGGTCTAGATTTTCATATTAGAGATACAATTATGATGGTGAAGTTCCTAAACATCCTTTAGGAATATTAGATGAATAATGGACTAAAATATATAGATAAGTTATTGAGGAAATCATATTATAATAAGCAGTGATTATTTTAGAGAGACAAATAAATATATAAACATAACTTTATTAAGAAATGAAATAGAAAACATTTGATACATTTTTGACAAGTATTTTCAATACAAGAACAGGTTAATAAACTGAAACTGAATATAAAATGAGTTAAAGAGAATAACTTTTGAGATTTTTGGGTGACAATCATTTTTTGATGAATGATTATGAAAGTGCTGCCACTTATTATAAAGGACTTATAACAGAACTTAAAAATAATAAAACTAATACAACTATTGCTAATTTATATGCAACTGAGTATTATTTATATTCTAGATTATTGGCATAATAAAAAATAGATAATTTAAAGAATATTTTTGATGAAATTTAAGTTGGATATCATAAAATTGTTCATTTTCCATATATGTTAAGAGTAATGTTTTTTTATATTATTACAATTCATATGTTTGGAAAATATAGTAAAGAATAAATTTATTTTCTTTAAAGATTTCATCGTTATTTTAAGGATTTAGGTAGTACTACAAAAAAAGATTATTTTGTAGTATATTAAATATTGGTATATGAATAAATTGCATTCATTCATTTAAGATTAGATCCTCCAGAATTTAGAAAATTTGCTCATAATTTAACTTTGGTTGCTAATAAATATGAATCAGAGAATTTTAAAAAACATGCATTAAGATGTTTTAAAATAGTTGAATAATTATATTAATAATCAAAATGGGTTCCATTATTATTTTGGTTGGAAGGTCATATAGGGGCTAATTGTTTAGAAAATCAAAGAATTCAAGAAGCTATTGATTCATTTAAATTGGCATTCAATTAATTAAATGAAAGATAGACATTGGAATTGCATAATCAATTAGTTGTAGATTGGAAAAAAGCATATACATCAATTGAATAACTTTAAGATTATAGGAGAAAATATTTTACATAATCTAATACAAATCTTAAAATTCCAATTGTCAAAGGACCTGTAGATATGTTAACACATGGTTAAGATGTATTAGATTCAATTGTTCTTACTAATATTAAATAAAAATTTAAGAATTTATGGAATACAGTTTCAAAGAATGAATCCTTTTTTGAAGATGCATCAATTAGAAGTTTTGATTCCATCTATTTAGAAGAAAGAATTACATGTTTTAATAAATCCCCATGTATTCTAAATGCTGATAAAATTACAGATCTTATTGACAAAATTAATAAATTTGGAAGATAATGTTTTGCTGAAGATACAATAACATTACGATTTTTTATTAATTTACCTCTCAAAGTGCCCAGTTATATAAATGGTTTATAAGTTATGTATCAATTTTACACACTTAAAGAGAATCTTTTAGATTTAGAAGCAAATAATGAAAAAGAATATATACTTACAAAAATAAATACATTAGAAATAAAAGATATACCTTTTTAGAGAGCAGTATAAGAATACATAGAAGTATCTATAACCCCTCCATAAGCAGGATATTTAATAATAACAGGTTTGTAATGGAATTTTCTTAACATTCCTGCTTAAATATCAATTAATTATGATGCTAAAGATCAATCAAAAAAGAAGAGTGTAAATTTTTACAATAAGTTTAAAGTGTTTCCTAAATTTATTCCAATTGATATTGAATATTATACTAAACCAATAATTGCTTATGGTGAAATAAGACCTATTCTTTTTAAATTTACAAACAAGAATCCTGAAGAAATTGTAATTCATATAACACCTATTATACCTTATCATTTTGGATTTGAAGAGAAAAAGATAATTTTAAGTGCATTTTAAGTTTTGGAATATTAATTTTATTTAAGATGCAGTTTTTAGGAAGAGTTTGTTGGTTAATTGTTATTTAAATATTAATAAGGTTAGAGTGGAGGAATTAGAGTTTAAAAATTGGAAATTCCAATGAAAGTAGACCCTAGTTTTAAGATATCATTATAAACAGATTTAATTGTAGATTATTGGAAATTTACATTATAAGTATAGGATTATTTTGGAGGGAAAGGCAATTTAAAATTTGATAGAATTCTATGTTTGAATGAAAATTGGAAATATTTTGATGTTCCTTATCAATCAAGTGGTGATCCATTTCTGTTAACTACTTTTAAGTTAAAAAAGATTTAAACAAAGGATTATAGATATGAAGAATATCAAAATAGACTAAAGGAGAGATTCTATAGAGAAGGTGATAATTTTAATGAGATAATATTGGGTGATCAAGGTATTCCTGCAGATGTTGCATTAGATTTTGTAAATTTGGATATATAACATTATTTCAATGTTTTTTATTAGAAATTGTCTAATTAAAAAATGGAAGAATTCCCATTATTTATTATAGCAAGATGGACATATAGATTAGAAGATGAAATAGTTTATGGATTACACGAATTGCCAGTTTTGCAATAAAATTATTTACATAGAGATGTGAAAGAATTCCCTATGTCTTTTTCTATCACTGCTCCATTTGAAGTATAACATTAGAGTATGATTACAATGGTTCCAATAAAGATAAGTTTCAAAAATACTAAGTATGTAGAGCCAATAAGTTTTACTGTGACATTATTTAATGGGGATGAACCTTTAAAGTACAATAAAATAATTAATAAGGTCAATAAATGATATTTAATAGCCATTCTTTTTGTGGGAAGGCATATTGTAACATCAAATAACTTTGAAGCCATAGGAGATGAAGGTACTGAATTTGGAAAGTGTTTTTACAGAGAAAGGAGTCTATGATTTAAGTAGATTTAGATTGACTATGCATAATAAATAGTAAAACGAGTATTACTCAATTGATCATGAAACAGTTATAATAAAAATTATATGAAATATATATTAAATATATAATATTAATATGTCAAAGAAAGGAAATAAGAAGAAGGGAGGAGATGATGGAGAGAGAGAAGAAGAAGAAAAGGTTATGGTATTAGAACATAAATGTAGAGCACTTTAGACTCGTTTTGGTAGAAATATTAATTCAAATATTAGTGGAGGAATAAGAAAGAGGAGATAAAGCAAAATCAGCTGAGAATGAAATCAGAGCAAGAGTGATGGAAATGGAAAATGATTTGAAGAAAGAGAAAGATAAATTATTTTGCATTGTGTATTAAGATTATTTATTAATAATATAGATCTGATATGACTAGATAATATAAATAAATGTAGGAAGAATTACTTAAATAAATTACAGATTTAAGATCAACTGATGTAGAAAAAGAAGAAATAATTAGTAAATTATTCATTTGATTAATTTTAGAGAATAAAGAATAATATATATAAGATATGGTTAAAGATTATGAATATAGATTAAAGAAGAAAGATGATGAAATTAGTGAATTGAAACGTAAAATTGAAGAGATGTCAGCTGAATTTGCTAGAATGCTTAAAGTATTATGTTGAAATTATCATTCTAAGGATACTCTTGATAAAATGTAAGAGAGAATATAATTGGCTTAATGGGATAATGATACTGATCCTCAAATCATGAAGAAAATTAAAGATATTGCTGGTATGTAAACTCATCAATAAAATTGATTTTATAATATATATAAATTTTATTGATATTTAAATCATTAATGAATACTAATCCTATGAATACCAATATTGATTGTATAATATCTTCATATATCTAAAAGACCGTTCACTTCCTTAGGGTAACTTTCCTGCTAGAAATATAGATAGAAATGCTACATAATAATCACCTTAAAGAAATCCAAAAAGGTTTTAATATTTTTCTATTATCTCTTAGAGAATTTGATTATAGATTAATTCAACCGAAAATTTAAAATCTAAATGCATCCTCTAATTCTTTATCAAGACTTCGTTCAGATACCCCTATTACCATTCGAGGATAAAATTATCGTTACGTAGGTTAAATGAATGGAAATTAGAAAGAAGGAGTTGGTTCATATTTTACAAATGAACTTGAATATGAGGGTGAATGGCGAAATAATGTATATCATGGATTTGGAAAATTTTATTAAGAAGGCAAGTTATCATATCAAGGGCAATTTAAAAATGGATTAAAAAATGGAGCTGGAATAGAATATTATGAGGATGACTCTTATTTTGTAGGTAATTTTGAAAAAAATCAAAAAAATGGAATTGGAACTCTCTATAAAAAAAATGAGAAAATATCTGGGATATGGCAAAATGATAAACTAATAGAGAAATATTGATTATTATAAATTATAAACTAATATAATGGATATTCAAAAATAATTATTAGTCTTTGTCAATCCAGCAAGTGGAAAAGGACATGCTTTAAAAGAATGGAATAAAGCTAAACCAATTCTTGATAAATTCAATGTAAAATATCAAGTCATAATGACATAATATCAAAATCATTGTCATGAATATTTATTGAAGGAAGATCTTTCAAACATTTATGGAGTTGTTCTTGTATCAGGAGATGGACTACCACATGAAGCTATCAATGCTTTATATGCAAGACCTGATTGGGAATAAATATCACAATCTATTACAATTGGTGTTCTTCCAGGTGGTAGTGGAAATGCATTTGCTAAAACATTGACTAAAATATCATAATTAGAATGTAATTCAGAAAGTTGTGCATTATTAATTGCAAAAGGAATGACAAGATAAATGGATCTTATTTTATTAGAAATGCAGTAAAAAAAAGTTGTTTCATTTTTATCTTTAGCCTATGCTTTTATTTCTGAAGTTGATTTAGGATCTGAATCACTTAGATTTTTAGGAGGAGCTAGATTTGATATTTATGGAACATGGAGAGCATTATTTTAAAAGAAATATTAAGCAAAATACAATAATCAATAAATGATGTTTAGATATTTTTTAGCATAAAAGATACCTTACATAAGTGATAATTATCTATCAGCACCTGCAGCTAAAATTGATGATGGATATATTGATGTATAATATCTTGAAGTTGGAGATTGGTCACAATTAGTCAAGTTATCATTAAAATAATATGATGGCAGTCATGTTGAAATTGATGAATAGGGAAATGTAAAGCCAAAAGGAAATTGGAAATATGAAAAAGTAAAAGAATATACATTTGAGCCTATTACTAATTGTCCATTGAGTATAGATGGAGAAAGATATCCTCCATAACCAGTTAAAGCTAAAGTATTAAATAAAATTCTGAAAGTATTTTGTTATTGAAAAATTCTATTAATAAAACTAATAAATTCTTTTTATTTTTTTTATAATTTTATTAATATAAATTTTTTAACTTTTTAACTAATATTTTAGTTGATTTAACCCTTATTTATATATATGTACTATTTCTTGATAATGTGCTCATACTTTCCATATCAACTCTTATAATATTCTTTATAATAGTGTTATTATTCTGTATTAATATATTTATAAGATAGAGATTCCTATAATATAATTTATTTTTAAATTTATAATAGTTTTTCATACTCATTCATATTAATTAGTTATGAATTTAACAATTGATGGCAAACAAAAAGTGAACTAATTTTTACGATTGTTAAAAATCTTCTCATATCCCCTTATCATATGCGATAGTGAAAGTATTATTCATCTATTCTATAATAAGAAATGTAATTCTCAGAAATGCCAGAGAATCAATCCTTCAATGAATTTAATAAAACTGATTCTCCTGCTTTTTTTGCTTAACTAGATAGTGATTTCTTTACACAATTCCAAACTTAAATTAGAGAAAACCATCTTTTATTCACTTAAGTTCATTATACAAATAATGAATTATAGTAAGAAGTCTCCATACTTAATTCATAATTAAAGTATATATGCTCTTATATACCAACTGATATTATATACAAATCAATAAAACCATTAATCAAATCATAAATCAAACAACTCAAATTATCATTTGCTTATATGATAACAGATACTTATCAAGAAGACAAAAAAATTTAGTTACAATTTATGATTGCCACTTATTCAGAAGATGGTTATTTTACTATAATGAAACCTATATCATAGTTAACTCCTAGAATATTTGATCTACCATTGTTATAAAATAAAGTGATCAGTTTTAATTATTTAAGTTGTAAAACCATACTTACACAGATGAAATCTCACTCAATTTCATTGCATTTTAGTTAAGATAATATTCAATTTAATCCAATATCATTTGACTCAGAATTAGTTGAAATTCCATCAAATATTTTAAGTCATTATGACTAAACATTTATAGATAATGTTTATGGTGATCTACAAATAGAATTAATATATTCAAGAACATACATACCTATCTTTAATTTTAGTTAAAAATAAAAATTAGACTGTTAAATTTATATAAATCCTTCAAAACAATTTAATAATAAAAATGCTATTTTCTATTTTGTTTATAATTAATAATATATGATGATTTGTAGTAGACAATAAGTGATAGTTAATAATTAAAGTAAGCCTTAAGCCAAAATATTTCACAATGTAGATATGGTCAAAGAAATATAATTAATTAATAGTAATATTAAATAGAACAAAATAGATTTTTAATATACAACTACTCATCAAAAAAATCATTCAACTTTTAACTATGACAATCCTCCACTAAAAATGGTTTGTTCTGATATTATGGACAGCAATACTAAAATATATCATTAACAAGAGCCTTTGTTATTTGTTCCTCCAAAAGTAACTGGATCTATAAGTTAAGCAATATAAGACTTTATGACTAGGTAATCTTGTTAATAACTTAATACAACTTCATAAAAATTTTCAAAAAGTTTTCAGAACTGAAGAATTATTTTTAAATTATTATAAAAATAGTACAATATTACACAAATAAAAACTCAAAATTTCTCATATAAATGAGCATGAATTAGTTAATTCTTTAAGGGCAGATTTAAATTTATTGTATTTCTCCAACATATAATTTTCGAATTCAGTTCTAATAACTATTTTTTCAACTTTCATTTATCGATCTTTAACTTTTATTTCTTTAGGAGTATAATTAAATTCTTTCCAGTTTTCTACTATGTGAACAGTTTTTTATTCGCTGAATTAAACTGATTTTTTTTATTGAGTGATACCATTTAATGAAGTGTTTGGCATTTTTAACTATTCTTTTTTCTTGTTAATATAAATTAATTAATATTCAGAATTCTTTGTTCCAAAAAATATTTAAACTATAAATTAATAAATAACACTAATAAATTCTAATTAAAAATGAATTATTTATAATATAATATAAAAATAATCAAAAAGTAGTGCAAATATTGAAACATTAAGAATGAGATTTCTGTTTTTATTTCTAATGGAAATTTTAACTACTCACATCTACATTATATTCCTTCCAGTTTTCAACTATTATAATATCATCTTCTTCTTTAAATGAAACTGACTACTTTTTCTTTAAATCATCCTCTAATTACTTAGCTACCACTTAATTTAAACTTATTTCAGGTCCAAATACATGACTTTTCAAAGTTTACCTATATTAATCAAAAAGATGACGATTATCTTCAGATAACATTTATATTTTAAATATTTATATAAATATCCTAAACTCAACAAATATAATCAGCTGAAATGTTCAATTTAAAAAAGATTATGTTTCACTAATATACTCATTTCATCATTTAAAACATACCATTTGATTACTGTCTATTATTCTATTGTTCCTAATTTTGAAATAAAGAAAAAGTTCCATATTGAAAAATATATAAATATTACATACTTTTTATTTATATTAACCATCATTTTATCCCACATACAATCATACAATGTTTTCCTAACAAACTAGAATCAGGAATAATATTTAAATAGTTCTATCATTATACTTTTCTCAATATGGAGATTGCATAAATAGTTAAATGAATAATAAACCCTTATTCAATTTAATAATTATTATTTCATCAAATATAAGCTGGTAATGTATAAATTCAAATGATTATGAATCATAATTTGATGAATATACTTTAAATAAAATCTAATATTATCTTCATATCCATTATATAAACTTATCTATGATTGACATCTATAATATAGGTTTTCATTTACATAATCTTTTATTAATAGGTCTCCTGATAAATTTTTAATGTATTTATATTATTTGGACAAATATTTTATAAAAATAATAATTTCTTATATTCTCTTTAGATGGTATATTGATATTTTAAATACATTTTGATTAAGTAAAGCAGTAATTTAAGGTTGACATGTCTTACTTATTATTATTAATGTTAAGAATACATATAAGTTAAATTATGTAAACAATATAATATCTAAATTTATATTATTTTTGATGATAATTTGATATCCTATTAAGTTAAAATAGATAAAAATAAATTAATTAAATTTGTAATTTTATAAACATTATTTATCATTCATTATTACTTACTTTGTATCATTTTCTTCTTTTCTTATAGTTTATTTTTCTTTTATTTCTCTTCATCTTCTTTTCTCTTAATCATATCATATAATCTCTTATTTTTTCTACTTAACATAGTTTCAGCTAACTTCTTTGTTTCCTTTTCTTATTGTTTAGCCTATTTTTCCTTTTATTTTTTATTATTCTAGTAAGGCTTATGTTACTTCTATTATCCATCTTCTTCTTCACTTTCTGATTGAACTTCCTCTAAATTTAATTATTCAAATGGACTTAAATGAGGAGGGAGAGTCTAAAATAATTAATATAAATATTACTGATTCTGGAGCATAATCAGATACACTCAATAATTTTAATTAGTTAATTGAATCATAAACCCATTATGGTTATATATATTCTCTCTTTTTGTTCTTTTAAACATTTCTTTCAGTAATAACATGAGTAATCTTTGGATCAGTCGATGATGAATTTTTATTGTCGTTCTCCCACATAACTTCTCCTCCAAAACTCAATATCACAAATTCTAAGGATGATTTAGGTACTTCTGGATATAGGAAAAATGTTAAGCCTTTGAATAATTCTGAATATTTTTTGATTTCTTATTATTATTAATCCATTTATTATATAGTTGGATCTTCTTTAAATGCTTCATCAATTTCCATCCTGATTTTAACAAATAAAAATACTAATTATTTTATGATATTGATTTTAATTTCTTAACTTCTTCACTAAAATCAGTAATTTCAATTTCTTAACCAAGAAGTTTAAAGTTGACAAATTTCATCAAAACTTAATAAAATTCAAGGAATGTCATCATTATTTTATAATCAACATCTAATGGTAAAGATGCTTATATGGGATATGGCATAATCCAAGTAATTGTTGCTCCTTAGACTATAGCTTGATAATAGATACCCTTAATAGAAAGGAAAACCTTAAATATAAATGATTGAATCTTACTTTTCTCAAACAATTATGGGCTGATACATATAATAAAAATTAATTGATCATTTTTTAACAACTTCTAATTAATGTATTAGGAATATGAAGTTCTTTGTGTGTTGGAAATGAAGCAAATAAACTTATTAAGCATAATGGATCATCAAGATCATTTAATGCATCAATAAATGTTGGATATCTTTCTTTAACCAAATGATCTAATTTATCTTTTGGTTAATTTCTTCGTAATCTTCCAGCCTTCAATTTATCACCTCTAGTTAATGCTTTTCTTATTTTTTTTAAATGAGCTTATCTCTATCTAAATGTATCAAGTATAGACTCATTTTTAAGGAAAGCAATATCCTTATTATGGTAATAGGTTTTATGTTATTTTCTTAATTTTTGAGGTGGTTCTCTTGGGTAAATTCCTTTTAAGATGCAAAGTCTTCTGAAATCCTTGAGATTGACTTAGAGTTTTTTGAGAGCTTTAGTTCTGGATGTATATTCTTTAACTGGTCCTTCCTTTCCCTTTTTAATTTTTTTACCCATAAATTAAAACTATAAATTAATATTAAAAAATGATGAATCAAGAAAATAGAATGAATAATATGATTTAATTGGGTCCTTAAATAAAAGAATGATCATAATATTTTTTAGATTTCAATATAATTATTACTTTGATTCTCCATTTATAATTTTTCAATGTCAATAAATAATTATCTAATTTGACCTACTGATCTAAGCATCATGATTTAAAAAAGAATTACCATAAATTCAAGAGTCATAAAAATTATTATCCTATAAGATATTGATTATATAAACCTTATTACTACATTTTTATTATAGATCCCTAATTAATGATCAGCAATATGATTTGTAGCTAAAATAACAATAGTACTTGAAAATTCAATGATAAATGATACAATTATTCCTAAAAAATAGAAAATTAGAGAATTGTATTTTTGTCTTCTGATACCAATTGTTACAATTGCAACACTGATAATCCAAAGTAGAGAACTAATTGTAAAATATTTATTAATTACAATATAGTAATCAAAATGGCTATAGTAAATGAAATGGTTGTTAATTTATTTAAGCCAAGTAATTTGATTGCAGTTACTATAAATAAAAATACACCACCTAATTAATGAGATGCATGAATTCTAAATAATATCTAATAAATATAAAGTATACGATTTGCCTAATTGTTTAGATTCTATTTATTTAACTATAATGAGATCATATAAACTAAATTTCTCTTCAATTTTAGGAACTTGAAAAAAAATAGGTTCTTATTTATTTGTTTTTGTACTCTATAATTCATTTCTAATTGGGAAGTTTATTATTAAAAATAAGAAATACAAATCATTTTATTAATTCTGTTCAGGCTAACATATTAGATTAGGTTTCAATCTAATAATATCAATTTATTCAGCTTAAATTGATGGATTAAAATTTGATTAGGACATATTTTTCTTAATAAAATTCTAGTATAAATTATCAAATAAGTTTTATAATGTATTAAGAGAATTTTCAATTTGTTTATTATTCCTCCAATTCCATCCATCTGATTCTTTTTCCATCAACCCATTCACCTTATCTACTTTCTCCACTTACTTTTGTGAATGTTCCTCTACCATGTTATTTACCATCAAACCATTATCCAACATACTTTCTACCATCTGGCCAAATAAAAGTACCAAAACCATCTTTTTTATCATTTAAATATCTAAAAACAATTATTTTCAATTAATTACTCTCCATCATATATTTTCCCATCTGGCCATTTAGTAATTCCAATACCATGCATTTAATTATTATTCCATTATCCTTCATACTCTCTTTTATCTGCCCATACATATCGACCTTATATTAATTAAGAATAATAAACAACCTTTTCCATGTATATCATTATAATTGAATTCTCCATTATAAAATGATCCATCAACAAATTATAATAAACCTTTACCATGTTTCTTTCCATCTTCATATAAACCCTTATATTTTGAACCATCTGGCCATTGTTCTTCTCCATAACCATGTTATTTGTCATCTTTCCACTCTCCTTCATATGTTGCTCCATTACTATGATAATATCTGCCAAATCCATTAGCTTTATCATTAACCCATTCACCTTCATATACATCTCCATCAGCATGTATTAATTTCCCTTTTCCACAAGCCTTATCATTAACCCATTCTCCTTCATAAACTGATTAATCTGGCCAAACTTATTTTCCCCAACCATGTCTCTACTCATTCTACCATTATCCAGTATAAATAGCTCCTGATTCTAATGTTACAGGCTAACATTTATCTAGTACTGACTCTTATAAAATTTAAGTTTTAATTTCATCAAATTTGAAAGAAGGTCTCTTTTATGTATCATATACCTAATTTTCATTGTTTTAATTTGGTTAATTCAATGTTTCTTCAACTCTTTATTAAAGTGTAATTGGAACACCTTCATCTCCCATTTATAATCCCATCTCAATTTAATTATCTACATCACCCATATTTACTTATTAAATTTTAACAATAGTATTTTCAGGATTACTCTATCCACATATACCACCGCAAGTACCCATATATAAATTGAAGTTTGTGTTATAAATATTTAATTAATAATGAATTTGAATAGAATGATATTTGTATATTATTATTTTATTAAAAATATATATCATATATTCAATGTCTACTGGAAGAAATTAGGATCCCTTAAACTCTCTTCATTATAATCAATTATTTGTTACTCTTTTTCATATAATTAGATAAGATTTTTCCAAAAATTATTATTTTATATTTACTTATCAAATGTGTATTAAGATCCAAACACATATTAACAATATTATGCTCTTGATAATGCCACATTTGCTCTTCTCTAATCTTTTAAAAAACCAATTGAATCATTTGAACGTACTAAAGATAGAATTACAATTTCATTCTCTTTCCCTTAAAATGAATCAACTGTATCTACCTCTACATAATTAAGGAGATTTAAAAATTTTAATTGCATTCTCAATAATTCTTTTTACATTGAATAAGGGCTAATAATTGAAATTATCTTTTTCTTTTTTGATTTTATTTCATCGTTTAATAGATATTTCACTAATAGAATTATTGCACGACATTCTAAAGTATTCTTAAAACTAGAATCTTCAAATTCTTCTGTACCATAAGGTGTATTAAAAAATAAACTATTTTTGTTTATATGAATTCTATTTAGAATATAATTAGGGATCTACATTTAGATTCGACTCTTTTTAAGAGTATTCTAATAAAATATTGTAGAAGTAATTTTTGCTAGATTAGGCATTTATCGATATTATTCTGTCAATTTTTTAGACTCTAAGCATTATAACATTCTTTCAAATAAAGAACGATTCAAACACATTTTTTCAGATTCTTTTGCTATTACTATAGGACTCAATTATTTAGTATCTCCTAAAAGTACTATTTTATCTATATTATTATATCCAATAAAAGGAATCAATTAAGATGGTTCCAAAGCTGTTGGTGCCTCATCAATTATACACATTCTCAATTTCGCATTCTCTAATGCATATTTCAATTTCTTATGACAACAACTATTTAATGTTGATGCTATAATATGGCGCTATTATTAATAATTATCTTTTACATATTAAAATAAATTTCCTTCTATTTTTATATATCTATCTTGCTTAGCTTTCAAAATCTTACGTAAATCTTTATAAACATGTCCAAAAGACTTCAATATTTTTGCATTCGTTGTTCGAAAATTTAAATGTTCAATATATTTCATTAACTAAACTAGACTTATTTATGGTTCTAAAGTGTCATTCTATTCATCAATATCTTTCAAAAAAGATTTAAAATCTTAAATTTACTCTTTTTTTAATAAATCACTTATTTATTTTGTGATAAATTAATTAAAAATTTTATTAACATTATCTCTAAATAAAGAAAAGAATTTTTATTAGGATCTTATCTCTACACTATATCTAGCTATATCATTTTCACATAAATCTGGTCTTCCATATCGAAGAACTTTAAGATAATTCGGTTCTTCATTTAAACAATTTATTATTGAATTTTGAGTTTATATACTTTTATTTATTTTCCTCACTAAATCATTAACAATCCCATTGGATTTTCCCAAAATTAAAATTATATCTTTTTAATCCTAATTCCTAGATTCTTTTAATAAATTCTAGAAAATTGATAAGATACCTAAAATAGTTTAGGTTTTTCCTGTTCCTGGAGGACCTTCAATTAATGTAAACTATTATTTAATATTGATGAGTTACCTTTTTTGTAAAATCTGTAGCATTTTCAATAGCTTCTAATTATGTTCTATCAAAATGTTAAGTAAAACTAATATTTTATTTAAAATTTTAAAAAACTTATTTTAGTTTATTACCATATGGAGTTTATACAACATCATTATTCTTTTTAGAAGGTTAAATTATAAGTTAATGAAAACTGCATGTTTAAAGTCTAAATATAGTGCTTACTTCATTTTAATACACTTTTGGTGAGCTAATAGGAATAAAATTTATTATAAATTATTTTCTTTTTATATAATTTTCCTCTTACTTGTTAGAATAATTTTTGTAAAGAAAATTTTTTATATTATCTTAAGTTTTTGGTAATATTATATATTTTTCTTCTTTTTCCTTAATATATAAACATAAGGTTGAATAGATATCATCATTTTATATTTTGAAAATTCCACCTATAAAATTAATTGATTTTTTGAAACTTAAATATTGTACATACTTTTAATATTTCCAAGTATTAATTTTATTGTTATCCTCTTTTATCTAATTCACTACTTTGAGCTTGATATCTGTATTAGGACTAGCATCATCTACTTCTTCATAAATAACTCGAAATTTTAGAGGATATAATTAATTTTCTAGTACAATTCTTTTATGAGATTACATTTCCTTCTCTAAGCCTTTATAATTTTCATTTTAGAACAAAGGGAAAATCTTATCCACATATTCTTCAGTTGATTCAAATTGAATTTGTTCCTCCAATGAAGTTATCAAATCATAATGTTTAGCTATTCTATAACCCTTATTGGTAATCAAGTGAATTAAATTTGAAAGTTTAAACCAATCAATATAGTTAGTTTGCATTTACTTTTTTTAATTATGATTTTTTGTTTGATTAGGTTTAAGAAACAAAACAATCTAACAAATTCTTATATAAATAAAATAAATGTACAAAATTTAACTTTTTATTATTATTTTGATGAGATTTAATATTTTTTTATTAATATTTTTTTAGTATATATAAAATGAAAAAGTGAGAGAATAAGCATTGAATGGATTTCTATTTTTGTTTATTATATTATATTATAAATTGAATTAATAATTAAATATAAAAACGGAAATGAGATTATTATTAGTTCTTCTATTGATTGGTATAATATCAGCAACAATGGCTCCTCCTATTACAAGCAATGATAAGAAATGGGTTAGATCAACTGCAGAGAATGATTCATGTCATAAAGATTGCAAAAAATCAGATGGTCATGTTTGTGCAGGATTACATAAATCATAATGTTGTTAAAAGCATTGGTGTATTTAAGATGAAAAATTACATGATGTATGGAATTGCAGAAATGGATTGTACATATTTATGTTGAAATTAGTGAAATTCATATTGATTCATGCAATTCTTTCCCAAAAAGAGATGCTGGATTTTTACAAGAAGACTATTGAGCCACAATATAAATTATATTAATTATTATCATTCTTTCCATTTTCACAAATTTTAAGATCATTCTATTTAAATTTGATTCATTTTTTTTTATGATATAATTTTCTTTATTATCTCTTCTGCAATATATTAAAAATCATTCTCACTATTATATGTAAATAATCCTCTTTTTTCCATAAAATGATATGCATGACATAGAATATTAGGTAATCTATTATAATAAACTAAATGTGATTCTTAATTTAATTTAATAATCTTTTATTCTATTGTATCACCTTTTTAAATAGATATAGGAGAAACATCAAATTCTAAATAATTATCTTAAATTATGCCAATCTCTACAGCTCTAGGAATAGTAACAAAACCACAATCTGATGCCACAATATTTGAAACTGATGTTTCAGGATATCTAATATAATCTTTAATTATGAATTTCTAAAAATCTTCTGTAAAATCAACTGCTTATAAAAACTATTCATTATACATTCCTTCAATATTCATTTCATAGTAAATAAATAATTATTAACAATTCAATAAAAAAGCCTAAGGATATAATTATATCACTTTTACATCTAATATTACTGCAAATTAATTATCATCAATCTTTAATGTTAATTCTATACACTTTTTCAAAATTAAAGTATTTGAATCCACTATTACAACCCAAGGATTTCCAAAATTATTTTCATTTAATAAAAATATAATCTATAAAAAATTAAATATTATTAATCTATTACATATCCTTTCTTATAGAATATTTTAACTATGCTTGTATCTTCATTGATTTATAATTTTAATGTATATTCTTTAAAGCCCTCCTCATTCAAAATAATAAAATTTAATTATTAAGCTTCTACTATTGATTGAGCAACTATAAAATTTTAATCTAACTAGTATCAATAAAGTTAATTACACAAAATAGCATCATTTTACCAAGTCTTCCATTATCTTTAAAAAAACTGTATATTTATAGAATTTAGTTATTCTTCAAAATTGTTACTAGAACTTCTTTCTTATTGGTTACTCTAAAATCACATAAGAGAGCAACATAAGCATTATTATTAATACAATAAGAAAGTGCTTGATTAAAATATAAATCTCTATATTCTTTAATTTATAGATCCACTTATGGATGAAATAGAAGTTAATATTAGTACCCTTTGTATTTATTATTAAATTCTCCATTTCTATAATTAAGAAACATTAAATGATCTTTTTCATATGCTAAAAATGATAGGTATTGTTCATCAATAATATTGATTTGAAAAACTTCATCGTTAAATCTATCAATCTAATATAAGAGAGTGATACTGATATTAATTAGTTTGGTTTAATTTAAGATTGATTATAGTAAATTAGGAATTGAATTTTGCTCGTTCTTCATCAATTGACTAATAAACTTGGACTATGTTCTCTTCATTTGTCAATAAAGTGATTACTAAACGTTATTTTCCATGTTAAATAGGAATAGGAATTTTATAGTCCACAGATAATGTGATATTATTTTACATAAATTTAATAATAAAATAGTAATAGTTCAGTTTGATCTCTAAGAGTTTTAGTTGTTATTATCCCAGCCTCTAATAGAAGGTAATACTACTAAATTTTTAAATTAGATTGGTTCTGGATTGATATGAGATAATCTCCTAGGACAATTTTATTAGGAATTATTATTAATATGTTTTGGGATATCTGGAATTTTATTACGTAATATTTCTGATTTCATAATACTCAATTTAGTTATTTTCATATCATCTTCCCAAAGAGGTTATGAAGATTATTTAGAACTATTAATATAATGAATTGATCCTTTATTTTCTGCATTTTCTTTAAAGTCTTTAGATTCTTTTCTATTTCTAAATAACTTCTTATCATATAGAAATAAATTTCTATATTTTTTTAGTTAAGTTCTTAATGCACTTTATTATTTGAATCCTAAATTTGATACCTTATTATTAGGTAATTCTGCTAATATTCCAATATCATCCAAAGTTGGTGCTACATAGACAGAATTCAATCTCTTGGGACGATTAAATATTCTATTTTACAAATTAAGTAATTCCTATCTGTTAAAATTCATGAGCAAATAAAAAATTAATAAATTAATTAGTCAAAGTTTTATATTCAGAACATGTCCTCCAATCGTTTACTTTACATTTTTATTTTTATCTAAATGAAAAGAATTATTTTACTTTAAATTATTAATGCTTGATTCCAAAATAAAGTTTAGGTTTTGTAGGTTCCTAAACTAATTTCAGATTCATGTATTTTCGACATGAATTTTGATTTAATGGCAATCTACAATCAAATGTTTTATTGATTGGTTTTAAGTCACCATCATAATGTTAAATTTTACGATATGATTAAGCACTATTCTATCTCTTTTAGTTAATTATCATCTATTTCAAATCAGAAGATGTCACAAAGGTGCTTTAACATAATTTTGGTTATTTTTGATATTCTCTAATACCAATTAATTCAGAAATTCTGATTGGATCATCATCTTAAAGACAATAAGTTAATGCTTTATTTAGCATATAATAATAATACGTGTGATTTCATTAATTAAAATACTTTACAAAAACATCTAAAACAACTATGGTATACATAATATCTTAACACAATATAGCCATCAGCTTAAACTATGAAATTGAGAAGTTAAAATTATCAAGGCAATGTTCATAAATAAGGAAAAGTACCAAAATCATTAATTGTAATTAATCTAAAGAATATCAATAGAAAAAAGAAGAAAACCTACCAGTTGGTCCAATCCTTTTAGGTGTCTTTCTGTTTGTAGTAGTAGGTTCAGCATTATTTTAAATACTCAATGTTGCTTCTAGTGGATAAGAAATTTGATTCATTATATAAATTAGTATTTTTGTGTAGCAAATTCAATTTCATATTCTACTTTAAAAATGCAGAAAATTAAATATCAAAATTATATTAATATATATATCTATCATTTATTAATCTTAGCTACTCTAGCTTACAATTTTTAGATTGAACAATCAATGTTTTTTTATTATTCTCCAATTTTAGTTTTTATTATTTAAGGTATAACCTAAGAACTTTAAACAACTTCCTATTTATTATTATAAATCTAAGAAATAGATTTTGATAATTGCTATGCTGATTTAATAGGTGGATCTATTTAATTCAAACTATAAACTTCTTGTCTACTTTATTAATTTTTTGGTGGAACAAATATATTAGGTTATTAGAACATTTTTTATATTAAATCTGACAATGAAACTAATAAAGTTTGGATTCCAATAGATAATTCTTCATCAGGATCCAAACTATCCAATTATTATAGAGTATCTTCAATAACTGGTAATGCAGATTATGCATTTGGATCTTTAGAAGCTTCAATTTAAGAACGATAAAATTCAAATTTAACAATAGCTTATTTATTTGTTAGTTTTCTATTTGGATTTGTAATTTTTGGTTAATTTGCTAACATTTCTATATGTGATTTTAAACATTATTCATTTTTACTTCTACAAACTGGAATTAACATTTAAAAATGATTTGAACATTCTCTACAAATAGTTTAACTTGATTCTCCACATTCAATACAACTAAATGTTCCAGTGTCTCCAGATTCTAATGTATGATTTTATGGAAATTAGTTAATACCTCTTCTTTTAAAACTACGTACATAGAGAGAATGTAATAATTATTTTACAAATTCTAGATACATTTATTTTGCTTTGTCTGGTGCTAATGAAGACTATTAATTTTTAATTTTATTTAAAATATTAGCATTATAAATGCTTGAATAGACTAATTAAACTAGAATTTCTAAATGTTAATTTGCATCTTGATGTGGTATTTGTGAATATTGATAAGTCTTTCCTCTTTTATCATATTATGTCTTTATTTTATCATAAAGATATAAAATGATAGGTTTATTGACATCACTCTTAATTTTAGTATCTTGAGGTTTAAGTCTTGTGAAATCAGCAAATGAAGATACAAATCCTTCAACTTATTATAAATGTTATTGTCTTTCTGCATAAATTAACATAATCATCTAATTGTCAGATGATAATAATTAAGTGCTTTTACCTTTTTAAGCATTTTATTTCACTTCTTAAATTTATTCTTAACTCAATTGGGTCTATATAAATATTTAAGTAAAATACCTGTTTGTCTACTAATTTTGCTAATGAACCAAATTATTTCTTTTTCAATTAAGATATTAAATTCAAAGATGAAACATCAGGTCCCAAATATACTTTATGATGTTTACCTTAATATTTTTATAAACTTTAAAGAATCTTTTAATCATTGATTCCATAAATGAAATCTAATACATACCCTTTCATTCCATCAGAAAGTGATATTAAACCTTCAACACTATGATTTTAATAGAAAATTGGAGAATCTAGAGTTAAGAATTCTTCTGGTTAATAATTGCTTTTAAAATTCTTACTTATTTTATCAAATATAAAAGAATAATCTTCCAATTCATCTATTCTAATTTCTTTACAAATATGACCAAATGTAACATAATCAAGTATATGATCAAATCTAACTCTTTTAATCTCTCTCATACCTAATAATTAGATATAGAATATATATATTAATGCTGAAATAAATGATTCTAAAATATCTTCATCAATTTTAATACATTACCGTTTGTTTGATATTTGACAGATGTATTTGAAAATGCTTTAATCAAAATACAATTTAAATAATTCATAGGCATCACAAATATCAATCTCTTGTCCCACATCAACTCTAAATTTCTCATTCATATAATAATCTTTAGGAATATCTGTATTGAAATTAATCTCTTGCCAATATTATTATTATATTTATGATTATTAAGATCCACAAATTAAGTTGCCAGCTCTCTTAAAATCTATAAATGCTTGACTATCCATTATATCATCCATAAAATCAGAATCATTCTCCTCTATTGTTGGTTATGCAACACTTTATCTCTTAACACTTTCTTATAACTTTGCCTATAATTTTATTTAAGACTCCCTCAATTAAGATTATTAATGACTACTTAATTATTCCTTATTTTTCTTTACTTGATTCAATTCATAATTTATATTCTTTTCCAGTATCTATTATTAAAATACAGGTTATTGTCTACTTGGCATAATTGGAGGTCTATCAACTTAATATGAAGATGTATATTATTGAGTAATCATGTCTCTTACTCTTGGAGGACTATTGCTGAGTCTAGATTGATTTTAATTCATTCCTAAAAATTTATGATTTAAAGACTATTAAGCAGCTTAAGATGGAGATATCATTTAAACTGAATTTATTGTAGGTAATATTTTAGGATTTGATCCAGCATGAGGTGGTATAAAAGGTTAACTCTTTCTATCTTATTTATTAGGATACCATGCACCTGTTCCTAAAGGCACATCTTATATTTCTTAAATTGCAGTTGTTTATTAAGATTATGTTGGAGCTACTGATTTTTCTCTAATTTCTTAGAATTTTGAAAGAATATTTTGAATTTATTATTGAGGTTATGGTGGAGGAGGAGGTTACTTTTATGGTAGAACACTTGTTTTAATAAATTGAATTCCTCCATTTGGTGGTTATGATTAATCTTCAAAAGTGACATTTGTTTTTTTTCTTCCTGGTTACTTCTTTAATCCTGCTTTTGGAGGTACAATCATAGGTTTTTTGAGTATACCTCCATCTTAATTTGCATTTTCTTATTCCAAATCTTAAGCAATAATTGCTTCTAGAAAATCAGGTTTATTTGCAAAATGTTCAACAAGGACTTAAAATTATTTTTATTTTTGAACTTGATTAAGTGTAGTTTATGGATTTTTTAGAATTGAACCAGAAATGATTACATCATTATTATTATTATTATTATTATTATAGTTATTATTATTATTGATTTTACTATCAGTGATTACTACCTTTTTAGTTAAAATATCTTTAATTTCATCTAAATCTTAATCAGTCATTTTTGAAGTTATTTTTTCTAATTTCTTAATTGATTTCTTTTTCCATCTTAATGCATAAGGTCTACGTAACATTTATTCTTCTTCTAGTTATTATCTTTCAATATTTTCTGTATTTTCTATATTTGGTTATTCTGGTATTTATTATACAATCTATTATGGTATTTATTTTTATTCTTATATTGGAGTTGAAATGACAATTTCCTAAGGATTTTCTATCAATTAAATTGAATCATCACTTTCAACTTCATAATCAATGACGCCTAATTCTTCATTAAACATTACTATAAAATTATTTAATTCCACTATTATTTAATTGTGTACTTGTCACTTTGTCAAAAATTTGACATACATTTTAAAATATATTATTTATATCTTAAGTATATATATATATATCAATCATCTTCCTACTCTTATTCTTCCTCAATCTTCATCAAATAAGAATTAATCTATTAATCTAGTAAATCTTTCAGTTTTTCCTTCATATTCTCATCCAATTCTAATTAATATTTAAAATTTATAATTACTATGTTCTTTAGCAAACTTATTAGCCAAACTGACAGAAGTATCCCCTTCAAATACTACAATCCTTGCACTTTTACCATCCTCAATCTTAACATCCACATACAACATTGGAGTACTCTTATCACTAATAGGTCTACTCTTATTCTTCTTTTATTTAGGTTCATTATTGAGTTCATTTTCAGTAAGACATTTCTCCTTTTATCTAATATTATTATTAGTAGTAGTTCCCTTATTTTTTAAATTTGTAAGAGTCTTCTATCTCAATCTAGCTTCTTTCATTCTAGCTGCTTATTTCTCCATCTCCTATACAGCATAATTACTTGCAGGAGTCTTTTAGACAGGCTTACTAATTTAAGGTTGGAATGTGCAATGTTATTATTGATTATCGAATTCAACATCTACAGTTGTTCTATCCTCTTATTTTTAAAGAGGTTTAGCTAATTAATGTAAATCTATTGTAATTTCTCTCTAAATAGATTTACATTCCTTCATTCTTTCTTCTTCTACTTATTTCTTTAATTCTTCCAAACCCTATTTTTTCTTTTCTTCTTATTAACTGAACCAGTCAAATAATGATGAATCTTATCTTTTAGCTTCAGCCAATTATTTAGTTCTATCTGATATCTTTGGTGATCCACATCTGATCTCTGGCTATGGAGAGCGAGCCATTCTTCTTCTAACTCCATTTCCATTCTATTATTTAGTATTTAAATATAATTTGTAGAACATCTTATGTAATTCTTAACAATCACTAACACTCAATATTAAATTTCCATTTTCATCACATTAATATTTGGACTTTACTTAAATGTTTTCTTCTACTTTAGGTTTATACAAAGGTATTTCTATTAAGTGTTATGGTACTGCTTAGATGGCTAATAAAATAACAAGTAGATTTCTTGATAAAACATAAAATCCATTATTTAATTCATTCCATAACATATCACATTATCCAAATCCTAGACCTTCTAATATTTTTTAAAAGTCATCCTAATAAATCTTTGAATAATCTTTTGTTTCTTATACTCTATCCAAACCACTTAATTAATAATAGAATTCCTTAATGAATCTTTAAACAAACCAAGATTAACTCTTGTCAGTAGGTTATATTACTGATTATGGAATCATTGTTTCAGTTTATTTCTTTTATTCTAATCTATTTTTAGCATCATTATATAAGAAATCTTAAACTGATTCATCTCTTTTAATTTCCTTAGATTTCTTTGATATTTATGGTTTAAATGAATGACCTAATGTAGAATCAGGTAATGTTTAAGTCTTAGATTTTACTTCATGTAATCTTTCAACAAGAGGCTATTCACAATATTTTAATGTTAATTTCTAAGTTTTAACTGTTAATTTTGGACTAGACAATTCTGCCTTTTCATCTTCCTCTTATTATTTTAAGAGTATATCTCTCTTTTCATTGACTTTTTGAAGATGTCTCATTTACTATTCGTGAAATTCATCTGCAGAGCGAACTTCTTGATTAGTAGCTTTTATGGCCATTTTTCTACTCTTTTCATCTATTTATGGTTAAAAACTGCATTGACTCAAGTATTCAGCATCCAATTGATCTTTAAGTGTTTATTTTTTATCACTCACAAATGTTTTATATTCAATAAGTCTATTGCAGACTTCAGGAGTTTTATCTCCATTTTAATTTGGTAAAGAATGTAATCTTTCAGGAGATAATAACAATTTTTAATCTTTAACATGGAAGGCTCTTTAAGATTTCTAGGCTTCCAATGTATTTGGGATATGATTATATAGTTATTATGAAAGAACTGTAAATTTAGAAGGAGATACAGCTACTGTTCTAGTTTACCATTGATTAGGTTTCTCAAAGACAGTTGTTTACATTTATTTAGAAGGACGATTGTTTTCTTTTTTTGGTTTATCACCATAAACTAGTGATTATGCCAATTCACCAGGTTTAGATTTGCCATACATATTAGATAATTGATCTAGATTATGAATTTAGTAATGCTTACTTAGAGATGTGATTTGTTGACGATTATTGTCTCTCTATTTAATGGAAGGATCATTATTCTAACTCATAACTGACATTTTAATAATAAAATTATATTTATCAATAAATTGAACATTATCCACAACTTTTACGCTCTCTCTATTAGGGTAGAGATGAAATTATTTATGCATTTTCTTATTATTGAAATACTACCTCTTGATTTTAATTTAACTTTTCTTCTTCTTCTTACTCTTTTTCTGAGTCTCTTTATACAAATTGTATTTATCCAAGATTATTGATATCTTCATTCCTTTTAATAATATCCTAAACTCTTTTTTGACTGAATTCTGGACCATAAGTATTGAAAATGAATTCATTTATTGCAATATTTTACCAATCAATTTGACAGATGATATAAATTTTACAAGGTCTATTAAAATTCCAATTGATCCATAATTCTTTATTGGATTGATGATTCTATTAATTCATAATTGTATCACCATAAATCATTTAAATTTAACTAGGTGATATAACATATTTTAAATGTGGTTTATTACGAAACCATCTTTTATTTTTTTAGTTTATTGTAAAAAAATAATTTCCTGGAGTCTTAATTTCAATTTCAAAATAAACAGGTTCCATTACATCTGAAGTTACTTTCTCACTTTAATATTAATATCCATCAAAATGATAACAACACTCAATACTTGCAAATCTTTATTTAAATTCATCTAAGGTTAAAGTATGTTAATCTCTATTTTTCAATCCCCAAGGATTCCTAACAATAATTTAATTATCTTCAATTTTAAGAATTGAATAAGCATGATTTGTTGCAAAAATATTATCCATCTATTGTTTTTTACTGTTTGCACCAACTGGAAAACGTAATGCACCAATTTCATAAATAATCTCTTTGAAATTTGGATCTCTTGTTCGGAACTTGTTTGTTGGTGCTCCAGTTAATACTTTAAAAGTAGTTCTAAGATTAAGATATTTTTAGAAGGATACCTATTGAACCCAGCACTTATTTGTTAATAAGAACCATATAATTTTGCCCAAGCCTTTTCTAAGATCATAGCCCATAATGCACCATCCACTAATTTACTATAAGCTACCTTTTATTTCTCTTCATTGAAAGGAAAATGATGATCAACTGTAATAAGTTACCAATCTCCATCAATACAAAATCTTACTGTTGTAAAATTGCTATCATGAGATTGAAAAAGTGATTATATTTATTATGGTCTTATATTTTATAAGATAAATACTTTGCAGCATATACAGCAACTAATGGTGCAATCCAATAACAATTACCTAATTTCCCTTGTTTTGGAAATTAAGAACTTTATTCAACAAAAAGGGGAAAATCATTAAATGATTTCCAAGATAAGTTTTTCTTTTTGCCTACATTCTCAATGGTTGGTGGAAATTCTTAGTCGATCATTAAATAAATGAATAATTTTAAAACAAGTACTAAGGTAATTTAGTTCAACTAATTTTATGAAGAATGATAAAATAAAGGTTCTTAATGTAGCAGAGAAACCATCTGTGGCTAGATCCATAGCTAATGTGCTTAGTAAAGATCATCGTATTGAAGAAACCAAATCTCCATTTAATAAGCTATTTAAGTTGGATTATAGATTAAAAGATGTGGAAGTAGAGATGTGGATAACCTCTGTTTCTGGACACTTGAAGAATTTGAAGTATCCATAAAAATACCAGAATTGGGAGAAGTGGGATCCAATCATAATTTTAAAGGAAGCTGAAATTGAAAATAATATATCAAATGATAAGTGTAAGTAAGTATTATATAGGAATTAGAAAACTTAGAATTGAATCTAAAAAACTTTGCTTCAATCTGTAATAGGTTAATACTTTGGTTAGATTGTGATAGAGAAGGTGAAAATATAGCATTTGAAGTAATGGAAGTATGTAAAGAATCAAATCCAAATATTTAAGTATATCGAGCTCATTTTTCAGCTGTCACTTATGTTGATGTTCGAAGAGTAAAATTTAATAATAATAAATTATAATTTTAGGCTTTAGATACATTAAAATATCCAGATGAAAACTTATCAAATTCTGTAATAGCAAGATAAGAGATAGATCTAAGAATAGGTGCATCTTTTACTAGATTTTAAACATTATTACTTTAAAAATAATTTAATTTAACTTCTATTGTAAGTTATGGTCCTTGTTAAATTCCTACACTTGGATTTGTTGTTTAAAGATAGAAAGAGATAGACTCTTTTATAAAAGAATAATTTTGGTTTATTTAAAGTGAAGATGATTAAAAATGTATATATAATTGGGATCGTACTCATTTATTTGATGAATTGATTGTTGTCTTATTATTTGAAAGATGTTATTAAGATTGTGCAACAGTGATTAATGTCTAATAAAAAGATGTCTAAAAATGGAAACCTTATCCATTATGTACTATAGAATTTGAAAAATTGGCATCTAAAAAATTAAAGATTTCAGCCCATAAAGCTATGGAATTAGCAGAAAGATTATATAATAAAGGATATATTAGTTATCCAAGAACTGAAACCAATAAATTTCCACCAACTATTAATTTATAAACTATCATCAGAGATTAATAAAATCATCCTATATGGGGAGAATATGCAACTAATTTAATTAACTTTGCTTTTGAATATCCTAAAGCTGGAAATAAGGATGATAAAGCACATCCTCCTATACATCCTGTTAAAATGATGATTGAAAGTGAAGCTTAAAATAAAACAGAATGGGATGTCTATTAACTTATTACTAGACATTTTTTAGCTTGTTGTTCTAAAAATGCCAAAGGATCAGAAACTACTATTACTTTATAAATTAATGATGAAACATTCTCAAAAACTGGTTTAGTTATCAAAGAAAAGAATTACTTAGAAATATATATATATGATGAATGGTCTTAATCATAAGTTCCTAATTATAAATGTGGAGATTCTATCAAAATAAAATTAACACTTTAAAAAGGATCAACATCACCTCCTAAACCTATGACTGAAGCTGAACTAATAGGGTTAATGGATAAAAATGGTATAGGTACTGATGCGACAATTCATGAACATATCAATACAATTTAAGATAGAGAATATGCAATTAAAAGAGGTTAAATCATTAAACCTACTAGAATAGGATTAGCTTTAGTTGAATCTTATGAAATCTTAGGATTTACTTTGCATTAACCATTTCTAAGAGCCATTATGGAACAAAGAATGAATGAAGTAGCCCTAGGTAAGAAAGACAAATCTTAAATAGTTTAAGCAACTATAGATGAAATGACTATCATTTTAAAATAACTGTAAGAAAAATAAAAATTAATCATAAAGACTTTTGGATAATATTTGGAAGCTCTAAAGAATTATGATGAAGACAATAATAATGATGACAATGATGGTAATAATAATAATAATAATAATAATAATAATTATTATAATTATAATAATAATCAACATAGAATATAATCTGATGAAGCAGATGAAACTACCCAGAATTAATAAAGAATAATTAAATATACAAAGAATTAAAAAAATAAGAAATCAGAAGATTTACCAAAAAATTCAACATCATTTCCTTCAATTTGTTAATTTTGTAATTCCTAATGTGTTACTAATAAATAGTTAACTGGAAATTTAATTAAGATTTGTCCCAAACTTTGTTAAATCTAAGAAGATATTCCTAATCAATCTACTACATAAAATAAAGATAATTGTTTTTAATGTAAATTATGCTAGAATTTCATGAAAATAAGATATTCAAAAATAAAAAAATCTAATTTTTTAGGATGTTCTTCATATCCCTAATGTAATTAAGCAATTTTTCTACCTGATATTATTAAATCAATAAAAATAGTTGATAAAAGATGTGCTAAATGTGAATCAACATTATTTTCAATTTAATTTAATGAAAATTATAATTAAGTTCATTAAACATCATTTTTTTGTTTATATCCAGGTTGTCAATAAATTATTAAAACAGATTGGAAATAATAAAATAAAGATTCAAATTAAAATTCATTTGTTTCTAAACAATAAAATAATGAAAAATATCCATTCAATAATCATTAATAAAATAGGAACTTTTATAATAAAAATAAATCTAATATTAATAAAAATTCCCTTATAATAAAAATTGAAAAATACTGAAATATACATATAATTCATACATTTTATATTAAATAAAATTAATAAATATGTCTATATATATAATTAAACTATGAATACATAAATAATATTATGTTTTTAAACCACATTTAATATTCTCATTTTAGATAATTATTCAATCTAGTATTTTTAGATTATATAATTATATAATAAATTGAAATAAAAAATAAGTGGAATCAAATTTTTGTATATAGTAAATAAGATGATTGAATTTGAATTTAAAAAATGACATAATTTAAATACATAGAATATAAGATGATTATAATTGTATTAGGAATGGTTAAGTGGGTGTTGTATGGGATTTAAAAAATGATTCTATGATATAATAATGTGATTATTATAAATTATATTATGAAATGTATTGGCAACTATAAATTTGGTAAAACTATAGGTTCTGGAACTTTTGGAAAAGTGAAATTAGCAGTTCATATCCCTACTTAGCAAACTGTGGCCATTAAGATTATCAATAAATCACGATTAGTTGATATTATTGATATAGAAAGAGTATAACGCGAATTACATATATTGAAAATTGTTAGACATCCAAATATTATTATGTTATATGAGGTTTTTGAGACAACTAAATATATTTTATTGTGATGGAATATTGTCAAAAAGAGCTTTTTAGTTGAATTGTTAAAAATAAAAAAATACCAGAAATAAATGCATGTGCTTTATTTTAATAACTATTATCAGGAATAGAATATATACACAAATTAAAAATAGTTCATAGAGATATAAAACCAGAGAATCTCTTAATAAAAGGAAGAATGAAAATTGTTGATTTTGGTCTCTCTAATACTTATGATGATCTATTAAAGACAGCTTGTGGATCACCTTGTTATGCAGCACCTGAAATGATATCAGGAAAACTTTACAGTGGTTTAAAAGCAGATATATGGAGTAGTGGAGTAGTATTATTTGTGATGTTGTGTGGATACTTACCTTTTGAAGATGCAAATACAAATTAATTATACAAAAAAATTCTATCAGCCAATTATAAGGTTCCTAATTTTTTAAGTAATGTTGCAAAAGATCTTTTAATATAAATTTTAAATCCAAATCCTGAAAATAGACCAAACATTGATTAAATTAGAAAACATTCTTGGTTTAATTTATATAAAACTAGTTTTTAAATTAAGCAAGGAATTTTAATTGGATAACATAAAATACCAATAGATAACAATGTTGTTAATTAAGTAGAAAAATTGGGATATTCAAAAAAATATATATATTAATGTTTAATTTCAAATTAACATAATGATGCCACTACTGCTTATTATTTATTTTTGGATTAAATTATATAATCTGGAGGATAAACATGTGCTGATATAGCATCAGATTAATTTTAGGCTCAATTGATTGAATAAAATTCTTAGACAGCAAACAGTGAAATTAAAATAAATATGACAATAGAAGATGAAAAATAAGATAATATTGTATTTTATTATAATTTTATTAAATTATATAACATTCAATAATAACACTAGTATAAATTGTTAATAAATTCAATAAAAACCTTATATTACTCCTATAAATCTATCGAGTAGAAGATCAAACAAGACTGAAAGATATCCAATTTTTGATAGATTGATGAATAAAATAGAAAAAATAACATCAAATATAAGATCAGAATCAGAACAATAAAAAACTTTGGAGAGCACTAAAAATGAATACTAATCAAATAAAGGGAGTAAATCCATATCTTTGAGTGATTATTATTCTGAAAAATTAAGTAAAGAATTACCATTAACAACATTATATTAATAATTAAAAAAAAAAGAGAAAGAAACCTAAAATAAGAACTAATTTATTAACAATTTAATAAGTTTATGGAGTTATAAAATGATATTCATATTAAAGCCATTGATTAGTGGGATACAATTTACTCCTTAAATTGTGTTGGTTGAGTTTATTATGTGAAATGTTGTTTTCTTTTTTCTTTCTTTTCTTTTAGTGCTTAAATTATATCATTTGAATATGTCAATAATGATACAATATTACTAGAGGATTATTCCATCTATTTAGCTTATTTTTCTTATTCATCCTCTCCTTTTTATAATTCTCTTGCTCTTCCAAAAGGAATCCAACTCAAATCAGTATCTTTTATTTTTTTATCCACATATGATTCTATACCTGAATAGTCTTATGGATCTTTCCATTATAAATATGCAATATCTATTAATAATTTATTAATTTATATATACAATATAAATAATTCCACATATAATGATTCTGTCTTATATGATTCTTAAATCCACCAGATGAACCATCAGAACTTCTTTCAAAAATTATACTAAATTATTTATATATTATATTAATTACTTCTCTTAACCACAAATAAAACACTTATCTTTTATATCACTATTCATTCTATTTTCATCTTCTCTTAATTATCCAAAAGTATCAATAATAATACCTGATGCAATACTTACCATAATAATAACTAATAAGAGATTATTAATTTGATCATAAATGTATCTAAAGATCTCATAAGTAGGAGATGGATTATTATTAGTNATATAACATTCAATAATAACACTAGTATAAATTGTTAATAAATTCAATAAAAACCTTATATTACTCCTATAAATCTATCGAGTAGAAGATCAAACAAGACTGAAAGATATCCAATTTTTGATAGATTGATGAATAAAATAGAAAAAATAACATCAAATATAAGATCAGAATCAGAACAATAAAAAACTTTGGAGAGCACTAAAAATGAATACTAATCAAATAAAGGGAGTAAATCCATATCTTTGAGTGATTATTATTCTGAAAAATTAAGTAAAGAATTACCATTAACAACATTATATTAATAATTAAAAAAAAAAGAGAAAGAAACCTAAAATAAGAACTAATTTATTAACAATTTAATAAGTTTATGGAGTTATAAAATGATATTCATATTAAAGCCATTGATTAGTGGGATACAATTTACTCCTTAAATTGTGTTGGTTGAGTTTATTATGTGAAATGTTGTTTTCTTTTTTCTTTCTTTTCTTTTAGTGCTTAAATTATATCATTTGAATATGTCAATAATGATACAATATTACTAGAGGATTATTCCATCTATTTAGCTTATTTTTCTTATTCATCCTCTCCTTTTTATAATTCTCTTGCTCTTCCAAAAGGAATCCAACTCAAATCAGTATCTTTTATTTTTTTATCCACATATGATTCTATACCTGAATAGTCTTATGGATCTTTCCATTATAAATATGCAATATCTATTAATAATTTATTAATTTATATATACAATATAAATAATTCCACATATAATGATTCTGTCTTATATGATTCTTAAATCCACCAGATGAACCATCAGAACTTCTTTCAAAAATTATACTAAATTATTTATATATTATATTAATTACTTCTCTTAACCACAAATAAAACACTTATCTTTTATATCACTATTCATTCTATTTTCATCTTCTCTTAATTATCCAAAAGTATCAATAATAATACCTGATGCAATACTTACCATAATAATAACTAATAAGAGATTATTAATTTGATCATAAATGTATCTAAAGATCTCATAAGTAGGAGATGGATTATTATTAGTAATGTCACCTCCTATACCTCCAGGATTTTTAAAATTCTTATCAAATATTTATAGAAAACAAATACTAACTTCCTTACAATCTAATCCAAAGGGTTCTTGTAAAGCATAAAAAGCAATTAGTGTAAATATATATGTAATAATTATGATTAGTAATAGAGTAAGTACTAATTATTACCAAGGCATTGTGACTGCTCTAACAACATTACTTAATGTTGGATATCTTATAAGTATCACTGTCAAATGAAAACAAAAGAAGAAGGGATGTACTAATGTACCAATTACAGATAATGCACCATATCCTAAATAGTAAACTAATTGGAAATCTTGTAAACAATAGAAGATTACAAAAAAGAATTTTGCCAACCAATTTAATAATAATCTTATCATACCTTGTCCTTCTAATAAGGGTTTTCTTTGTAATGCTTTTTTGATAATAAGAGGAGCTATTCTGGCTAAGACAAATAATACAACAAATAAAGAACAAATCATCATTGCATATCCTAATGTACTTATTAATTCTTTAGTTTATGTTTAATTCCATTCATCCTTTCTAAAAAATATATATTCATTTAAAGCTTCATTACTAACTTCATCTTTAGGTCTTTCTGGATCTGATTGATGTGAAAAGGAACCTATAATCATAATATTGATTATAAGAGTCAAATAGAATGCTAAATCTTTCCACAATTAGATATAATTAGCAAAGAATCCAATAATCTTATATTGTTTATAGAATCTATTCATCTCTTCCTCATGTCTCATAATTTAGATTAATTCAGGACTCTTTTCCATCAGATCCTAAACCTTTGATTTAGCTGAAGAACGATCAACTGTTTATTGAAAGGATTGTTTCTCATCTTTATTTAATTTACTAAATGGTAACAATGGGAAAAAAACTAATTCTATTTGATCATCCCTAACTACTTCTATATGAGCTGTTCTGGCTCTGAAAAACATGAATGCTTTTTTCAATCTTTTCTTCTTTTCCTCTTATTTACGTTTCATCTATTCCATAATAAATTCTGGATCATCCTTTCTGGCCTTATTCAATTCATTAAACATCTATTAAGTTTTTAATAAGGACATTTCATACAATTCCATTCCCAAAGCAAATAATTATCCTAAGGTAGAATTTGGATCAAACAATGAATTCTGCTGATTTTAACTTTTAAGATATTATTTATTATATCCAATGAAAACTGAATCAATCTCTTCATCACTTTCCATATAATAACAAATCAAGAACATTATATAGAAACCATTCTAAATAATAATTTCACAATCCTTATTCTCCTATCCATCTTCATTTAATTCCATTGCATCAATCTTTAACAATTCATATGCTTACATATTATAATCACCTGTATATTTATTAAACCATTTCTTATAAATTTTACTTAAATGTCTTTCTAAAACATTTATAGGTAATACTCTCATAATTCTTTTAATTATTGAATTCTTTCCTCTAATTTCTCTATTCTCCAACAATGAAAGAACCAAAACCAATATCTTATTTTACAATTATGCCTTCATACCTCTTGTTAATAAATTAGAAGTAGATTAAGAAGGCAATACACTTACCCTTTTAGTTGCTGCAACTTTAATTGTTTTTTATTATATTGCAGCATTTTTTCTTAAAGGAAACATTTCTTATACAACATCAAAGAATTTAGAATCTGCCACTGCTATTTAATTTTCTGAACAAGGACCTTATACTAATTCATTTAATGTATCTAAACAACACATTAAATTACTAAAATTTTGCTTAGTTCTATCATAATTTTTAAATAAATCAGCCACCAAATTGATTAGATCTTTAGATGCTCTTGAATTATTTTAATATCTTATGTAATTTTACATATTTTAATAATGTCCCTCAGTACAATTTTAAAAAAATTTCAAAATACAATTTACAATTTTCTTTTAAATTTCAACTTCCTCTTAATCTTCATTCATATCTCTTCCAGATGTAGCAGCAATCTCTAGATATCTTGCAAATGTCTAAAACATTACTTCACTTTTTTATTGAGTTTGACAAAATGTATAAATTGTATTCTATACTTATGTATTACCATTTCTAAGTAATACATTAATAAATGAAATTAAATAAAATAACATTTCATTACTAAGTAATTTTGAATAATCTGTAATAACATTAAGTACCATTCTTGTTGCTCCTAAATTATCAAATAATTTTTAATAGTATTCTTTCTTTTCATCTGAATCTTATTTCTCAATAATCTTTGACATAATCTTTAATAATATAACAATAGTTCCTTTATTGTCCTATTATAATACAGCAGTCTAAAGAAATGTGATGAATTTCTTTAATATTGATTCCAAAGATGGCTTAATTTCACAAGGTTCCTTTATTAATTTATCTATTCCTATGATTGCATCTGCCAATGCTTACTTTTCCATGTCTATTTCTTCTTCCAATTTTTATGATTTAAAAATCTCCTCAGCAAATCTTTTCCATTATTCTTATAATTTTATTGGAGTTAAATCATTTCTTTTGTGTTTACTTGTTTTATTTAATGACAAATTCAAAGAGGCAAATTAACTTAATAGATTTTTAGATTTTGTTTAAGATTTCTTTGGTATTGATTATAATTATTATTCTTAAACTGGTTTCTATAAATCATCACCATCTTATAATTAATATTAAACATGGTATAAATGTAATATTGATTATTCTCCTTCTTATCTAAATGAAGGTTCATAGTATTCATTTTAATAATATTCTCTCAATTTTGCAATGATTTCTAATTCTTCAAATTTTGTCAACTTTAAATAGAAACTAGAACAAAGAGCTTTAGCAAATTGATTAGAAAATTCAAATAATGCAGTTTTAACATCCTCTTATTAAACACTCAAAACTCTTTAATGATAACATAATATTAATGGAATAACTTATCCAATGATATAATCTAAATAACAATTTTAATAATCTGTTCCAGCTGCAACAACTTCTAATTTTTTAGTTTCAAATTCAACAAAATGTATAAATTGTCTACTCAATTATGAAAACAAACCTTCTTATGCATTATTTTTTTCACTTACAATATGTACCAATCTCAAAAACTCACAAACAATAGGTTTAATAGCAGAGTAACCTTTCTTTTTATTAAATTATTCATCTTATTATTAATCAGCTTAATTTTTAATAAATTGAGTTGGCATTCTTGTTAATCTATGTTTTATTGATACCATATCATCATCTAATCTTAAGATTTCTAATAGATAACTTGGTTTAATCATTTTTTTTAATTTAAAAACACTAATATTAAAACTATCTGTAGGCATAAGTAAAGGATGATAATCTCTTGCAGTATCATCAATTAAAGAAGTTTATAATAACAAATCTAAAATCTTAGAATGATATAAAAATGGTTCATCTCTATAACAATCTTTCCAATCAATTAATTCCAATTAATGTATTAAATTTTCTTCTGGTTCTAAAAATTAATCATCAAAATAAAATCTAAGATCCTTTTATTAACTACCTTCTGCATATAATAATCTTTATTCTGTTTCTTTCAATTCTCTCATAGGTAAGAAAGTATTTAATATTAAAATTTGATTTTCTAATAAATATTATCCTTAAATACTAATTAAATTTATTAATCTAAAAAGAATATAAATCTATATATTACATATCAATAAATTTAACTTATCTTCCTTCTCTTTCAATGATTTCAACTAATCTTGATACTAGAGATTTAACTCCAGTATTTAATAATCTTGGATTATCTTTAAATATTTCAATTAAAAGTTTACATTATCCTACATCATATTATATATATTATAAATATATTTCTAAATATTGATAGAGTATTAATTGATTTCCCTTATTGTTTTAACAATAACAAATGAGAAATTAAAATGAATTTGAAAATAGTTATAAAAGTTATTCTTTTCTTTAAATTTTGATTTATTCATCATTCAAAACACATATAAAATGTGCCATACCATTTTAAATTAGATTGACAATAATTTCATGAATTTTTAAAAAGGTCATAATTGATTACTTTTCAGAATCATAAATCTCTTTATTGACTACTTCTACTATTAATTCTTATTTTTGGTCATTAACTTAAACCCCTTATCTCATACATAAACTTAATTGTCTTATAATATTACAGCATTTATCAAGTTCTTCAACATCATATCCAGCCTTAAATTGAGTTAACCAAATTTCTGTCTTTTCCACCATTATTCTTAAATCTTTTTAAAGATGTTCAACAAATTCATATATTTTAATGTTATCATCATCAAATAAGATTTGTAATTTTTTCATATTTTCTCTTAATTCTTCTCTTTAATTGAATACTCTCATTATAACATTAAGACATCTTTCTTCTAATACTTAATCCTTAACTAAAAAGTAAGTAGATATCAAATATGGTAATAAACTTGCAACTTGCTTTTCCTTTAATTAACTTTCACTTAATCTTTCATTTTCAAACTTTTATGCTTAACTTAAATAATAATCTAATTCTTAGAATTCCTCTTCAGATTATATTTAATATTTTTAAAAATAGTTAATAAATATTGGTGGCTTCTTAACTGCCATCTAAAGGATATCTTAATTTATGTCTTCAGGTTCATCAATTTCATCAATACCAGTTCTAGCAATAGTTGGAATCAATGTTTTATAGTTATTATTAAATATTTTTGGTGCTGCCTTAATAGTTTAATCATCATCTTCGTCAGATAAATCCTCATTTGTATATTAATATTTTATGAAAAATAATAGAATATTAGAAATTAAAAAGTTTTATCTTCTATCTAAAAAATGATCTAGAATTGAACACACTTTCAATTTAAATTCAATTTCTTACTAAGATTTTGGTAAAGTAATCATACCTTCCAATTAATTACTCATTGTCATAAATCCTTTCATTATTGGATTCAAAAATAATTTAGGTTAATCATACAAATTAATTTCTTCTTCTTCTTCTTCTTCTCCAATATCTACTTTATCATCTTATTTAAGTTAAATAAGATCTTTCATTCCACTAAAAGCATTACCAAATTAATTCATTACTAAACTTTTTCTACTTTTTCTCTCATTTACAATTTGTTAATAACTTTTAACTGCAGCATTCAAATAATCAAGATTCTTTCTATCATAAATAAATATCTCTGACATATATTTAATTATCTTTTTGTAATATTTACTTGGCATGATATCTAATTACAACATTGTTAAAATTTAATCAGCTGCATTATATATTAATTCATCATTTAATAAATCACTAGATGCAAGACTAGCTATTGCTTTATATACATCACTTCTTTTAGATTTTATATATTTAAACATCTTTTTCAATTTAAATTATTTCTCAATCTCTTCATCATTTCTATTTTTTAATTACTCTTAATAAGGAGAATATAATCTGCAATAATTAGGAACTATTAAATATTAAAAAGGTTATTAATCTATATACAATGTTCTACTTAACCTACACCAATATGACCTTAATTTATCATCTATTTAATTTCCTTCAATCTAATTTGGATTCCAAATTTAATTTATTAAAATCTCTTTTTCAAACAATGGACTTAATTCTGCTTACCATAAATAATTTCTTCCATATGATACTTCTGAAAAGAATTATAATAATTCATATTAAAATGAGATTTCTTTATCTATAATACATCCATTATTAGTTTCGATTTATAACAATTTTGTTTATTTGCTATATTTCTTATACAATTTGAACAGATTTTCTTAATTAATACTAATTGCATTATTTTTAAATCTACTAATATGTCTCAGAAATTTCAAATAATGTTCATTGTTTTTAGCAGTGTCATCAATAAACAGATTAAAAAAATATTATACTATATTAATTGGCCTTGTAATGATACGATCATGAACTTTTACAGGTATAGAAACATCTTATTAAATTCCAACATCTTTTTCGTAAAAATTGATTAATACTTTTACTTTACTTTGAAAATCATCTTAAATTTCTTGTTATTTTATGTAATCAAATTCAATTTTTAAATTATTACATAAATTGATTAAAATTTTCTCATTACTTTTAACCATTTCAATTAAAAAATTAATTGTTTATGGAAGATACTTACAATAATGCTAATAATCAGGTAATCTTTCAAATAGATAAAGTTAATTGTTTGTATTATTTATTACACTAGTTTATAGTAATACAAATATCATATTACAAACTTCAACCTTTGAATTAGACAATTCTATTTTTTCTTTTTCAGATATACTCTACAATTATTTTCTTTGATTTTTCTCAGTCATAGAAGGCTATTCCATTGCTTTGAGATTTCCCTTTTTATTAGACCATATCTCTAATTCTTGTTTTGTTACTGTAGATGTAAGAATCTATAATAGTACATCAAAGAAATGTTAATCCTTTAAGAGTTTCTACCTTTTTTATGATATGAAACCATATTTTTATGATGGACTTGAATTATATATTTTTTATCTAAGAAAGTCATCTAAATTTTGAATGCATCTTTAAGCAGTGGCTAATTTTTTAGTCTTTATTTTTAATAGATCAACATCATCTGATAATTATTAAAATATTTAATTTTATTCAAATTTAAAAGGTAAATTGATATAAAATTAATACTTTCTTAATTATTTTGTACATGAATCTAAAAAAAGTATTTCTTAAGTTTCTTATTTATTAGCTCTAAAGATTTTAAATACTGCATGTTCATTCTTTTAATTTAAAATAATAGGTTTAAAAGTGTTGCCATCCTGATGAAATTTACTTATAACATCAAGATACTTTCCTTATGCAACACTTCTAATCTAAATAAAATCAGATGAAATTTAATCTTTATCAACTGATTTTAATGGTTCAAATCTAAATAAAGCATCCTTATTAGGCTAAACTTATAAAGAAAAAGTAGCAGGAACTTTTTTACTCTTTGGTATAATCACTTTCTTTTTACCATATGGATCAATTTTAATGTCTTCTTATTCTTTAGGAACAATTCTAACACAAGCTAAATATAATCCAGTGTGAAAATGCTTTAATCTATAATTATTTGAATATAAGTAAGGTCCTCCTTTTTTATAATCTTCATCTTCAATTATCCACAATGAATAAGCATTACCACTATAATTGTCAAATGATAACTCACTTAAATCTGTTTAAAACACTGAAATCTTAGCTTTATTTAGATCTCTTTCATATTCAACAGCCAATTATGAACATGTTTCAGAATGATGGATCCATACTAAATCACCATCTATTGGTAATTCTTCAGAAAATAAATTAATTTTCCAAGATGTTGATTCTTCAAGTGAGGCATTAATTTCTCTCTTTTAAATCTTAACTTCACTACTTTCTCTATATTCTTTAATTGCTTTTTGTGGAATTTCACCTGAACAATGTAAATAAGTTGGTTTTCCAAGAAAAGGTATCATACGCATAATTCTGACGATTTCTTATGAGTAAACTATTTGATCTCCTTCCTTTTAATATTTGTAAGTAGCCACTATTTTAAATAGAGTTTCATCGCTTGTATAATCACTTAAAGCAAGCTTAAAGTTTTAATTTTCAAATTTAGCTTCATCTAATAATGAACATAACCATTTAGATGATGCTAAATGTAATAATTATATTGGCTCTTCATATTTAACATAATTGCCTTTCTCTTTCTCAAAACCATCTACATTAAATTTAAATTCATTAAACAAATTCATTTGATTGTCCCTAACTTATTTTTCACTTAATAATGGTTGTACCGAATGTGTGACTGACTTAATCTAAATAGCAAATATAATATGATAATACTTATGATCTAACAGGTGTAATTTCACTTTTTTGATCAGTTACATCATCACTTATTGATCCAAAAGGTTTCTTTTTTCTTTAAGGAAATAGTTTGGCTACTTCAACTTTTTTACCATTTGATGTTCTTGGACAAACTACAAATAAGCAATTAGGCATGCTATTATAACAACTATTAATTACTTCATTTGACTAAAATAGCTTATGTTAAAATCCTTAGTGTCTAATTTATTTTAAGGTGACATTCCTTTAAGTATTACAGCACTATATTATTGATTTCGTAATACTTTTTTATAAATCCATCTCCACCTATTAATGCATCATCATCTTATAAATGAGAAATACTCACAATTGAACCTATTTTGATTATTTCCATTATTTTATAATAATATAGTTAGAATTGAGAGAGAATTATATTAAATATCCATAAATAGAATCATTTAATAAAATCAATTTCAACAAAAAATTAGAAATATTATACAATTTAAGAGAAATTGATTATTTTTATTTTTTAATATATACAATCATATCCAAGATGAATTATTCCATTCTTCCTTACCATCCATTCTTTACAACAATATACATTTATATAAGTCTACATAACAATATTGTCTAATTTACTTGAAACATTCATCTAAAGGATAAAGATTATTAATTGATCCAACTTACATATAAAATCTACTTTCTTATATTTTCATAAACCTTATATAACATTTGTTTTTCGGATTCTATTTAAAAGTCATAAAATAAGTTTAAATCAATAATAAGATTAATTGATTAGTTTATATAACTAATTTAAATAAATATCAAGTTTAGATCACAATCCAAAAACTTTTATCAGTACTTTAAAAATAACTGTTATTTTTTAAATAATATGATCAGTAGTTCATATTGATTTATATTTGTAATATCTTATTCGATCATAATATCAAGGTAGTTAATCAGATAACATTATCACAATCATAATAATATGTATTACCAATCATTAGAAAAATTCTTTATTCTTTAAATCAAACCTCTCTCTAATCAAATTTATTTTATTTTCTATTAATATTTATTATGTAATTTAAATTATCTAGTCGCATTTAATAACAAAGAGTGAGGTTTTAGCAATTGCAAGTTCCTCATAATAATTGATCAAATTAATGGTTAAATTTCCACTCCGTTACCAATTTATAAAAGAGATAACTTCTATAGGATAAACTATTAATTGTAATCAAACCTTATGAAGACTGCAATAGAGAATTACAAAAGATAGTGACCCTTTTTAGAATAAATTTTAAGAAAAAAAATTTAGAAAAAACACAAATCTAGTTTTTATAAATAAGATGAGTTATGATTTAGTTTGAAAAATATAGACTTCCATCTCAAAATTAAGAAAATTGGGTCTTTAACAATTTAAATTCACTATATTGAGTAGAAATGAATGAATAATTTGAAAAATCTATGTATTTCAATTTAAATAGAAGAAATATAAATTAGATTAAAACGTTTATTAGATAAGCACACTTATCTAATCTTGTAACAGAAAATTTTTAGAAAATCATTTTCATAATATTGAAAAAGCATAGTAAAATCACATATAAATAGACAAGTAAATAAAACCGACTCTCCTTTGGTATTGAAGCATGTGAATATAAATATCAATATACTTTAAAAGATTTAAGCTTGAACTCCTCTAATTATAAATTAATCTATTTAAATGGAAACAACTTTTGGACATTAACAGAAATAATATAAATGTTGGAATATAAAGTATGAAAACGAACATTAAATTATACAATAAAGAAATTAAAGAATAAGCCTATTAGGGGCGATAGGATCTGATAGATTCTTGGCTTATTAGCTTATAATTGGTAATCTTAATTCCTAATTTTATCTTTAATACCTATAGGATTTGAAAAGAGTAGCAGGAAAATATTATGAAGAGGAAGAGTATATTATAATTCCGGATAATCTTCGTAATAATGTTGAGTTGACATATAAATAAAAACTAAATCAAATAAAATTCTGTTTGGATATTAAGTGATTTTACAAATTATGTTGTCAATATCCTACAATTCTTATTAAAAATAAATTGATCAATCATTAAACTAGATGTGACCGCCTAATACACCTTAGCAAATAACAATAAATCAGAATAATAAAGAAGTTGATCTAATTTATGGCTTTTTTTCTTATATTTTCTGGTCATATAACCGAATCCAATAATATGAATATTTCAAAATCAAATTGGAATAATCAAAATTAATTATGTACCATTTCCTTTTTGTTCTCATGTTTTTCCTTCTTTTATTTCATTAATATTTAAATACTTAAATAAAATATTAAAAATATCATTAGATATTACTTATATAGATCAAAATATATCTATTACTAAATAATTAAATTTTTCATCCCAAGCATAAATTACTGGCTTATATGATATTAATTTTTTTATGATAATTCTTTATCATTATATTCTCGAATAATTAAGAAAATGATTTAAGAATATTATAAGATTACATCAAAAATACTCCACAACGAATCTGCATTCTTTTGCCATTAAGCATTAATCAATGTATCTATTCTTATTTTAGTTACAGATGTAACTTAAAATATGATATTTAGATTTATTAGTCAATTAACGAAATGATTTTATAATCTTTGATAAATTTCAGTTAAGATAACAATTTAAATAATAATATATTTCACTGTACCTTTATTTTCAGAATTTTGCACTTTCAACAAAGAAGATTAAGAAATGAATATCTTAAATATAATTGAGATTACCACATTAGTTTTATTAAAATATAATATTAATTATATATTTACTTAATTCGAGAACTTTAATAATTCAGTAATGTTAAAAATATTGAATAACAATATAAATATATTAAAATTAAATTATTAGAATTATTGTTTATTTTTTATTACAATAAAAGATAATTATTCTACTATTCCTTTTATATAAGGAGGCAATATCTATTTAGTATATTCTAGAATAAATCAACATTGAAAATAATATAAATCTGATAAATTATAATAATTATTTATAAAATTTACTAATATTTTGAATATAAATATGATGCATACAAAATTGATAAATATTAATAGTTTTCCAAATATAATCAGATATAATATAAAGTTTTGAATATAATACAATAAGATATTAGATTCATTTCTCATATTGAATTATTAACTTGAATAATTTATGAAAAAAGAAACATTGGAAAAAGAGGGAAATCATTGTTTTTTAAAAATTCATATTATCAAACAATTTAATTGGAAGTATTTTTCTAGATTTGTCTAAGAAATATTTGATAAACAATATAAAGTATAGGATAGATATTTGAGATGCTATTGGATATATGTGCATGATATATTATATAAATCAGGCTGTGACGACGTCTCCTCTAACTGTTTCAGCAACAGCGACGGTTTATTCGACCAAATCAGCAGCAACACCAGCTGAGGTCAAAGCACTTCTCAAGTGTCCAATGACTGTTGTGAATTAGGCATTTGTGACTCCCATGTTGGCATGAACTTCCTTCAAGTTCTAATAAATATTATCATATATAATAATACTCTGCCTCCCCATGCCTTTGGTCCTCCAAGAGCAGCGCATAAAAATGAAGCTGTCTTATTTGTCTAATCAGCCATATTGATTCCATTGAAGAAATTGGAAACTGTAGCATCAGCTTGGATGTTAGCATAGAATTATGTTGTGACAGCTGTGACAGCGGCTTCACCTCCTAATTATTCAAAGAGTGTCATTTTTAAGTTTCTGGATTTTTTATTAATGAATTTTTTGGATATGTAAGATAGTTTTGAACCCAAGAAAATTAAAAGATATTTCATAATGGAATAAATTAAAGCAAGATATTACGTACTATTGATCTAATGATGTATATAATTTATTAACTAATTTATTGTCTATTGATATTCATATACAAAAAGCACACTGACACTATGATAATTGTATAATCTATATCAATAGATTTCAATTATCTATCTATTATTTTATTAATTTCTGTAATCATATTCCATAGAATTTTATAAGTCAATTAAATTTCTTAATTAATATTAAGTAATTAATTCTATAATGGATATGCAAACAGATTTCTAATTTAATTTAAAATTATTAATAATGATGATTAATTATTATTTTCTTGAGAAGTAATATTATAATACTATGAGGAATATTTAAAAAATTAGTTTTAATTATTTTAATTCAATATTTCAATAAAGTGTTATTAAATGATTAAATTACTTTTCTTTTAAAAAATATTCACTTTAATCATAAACTAGAGTAATAAAAATACTTTAAGAGAAGATAGTTATAAATAAGATAAATATTTTTGATAAATGAGAATAGTTTGTATGTGTAAAATTATTAAATCAATTATTTATATAATTTGAAAATAGAAATGGGTAATTGCCAAGCATGTATGAATGATCCATAAAATTTAAGTGAATATGGTGCTCATTAAAATGCTAAATAAACATCTTTGCACTCAATAGTTAGAAGGTCGTAGCCTTTTTCGAAAGCCTCTTTGGCAGAAATTGTCAATACTTCTTAACATTAATTGAGAACAAGTCAAAAACCATCAATTCATATTTAAAAAGAGGCTTCACTGTCAATGGTTGGAAATGGTGTGGACATTTAAAAATAAAAAACTAATTCTGAACAATTAATTTCAGTGCATTGTCCCATAGCCAAATTAGCATAACCTTGGGGTAGACCAGCAAGCGAACTATAAAGTTTGATAGGTTCGAAAGTTAAAATGGTCCTTAGCAAATTAAAGGAGTATTAGTATACAAGAGGAGATGATCCTGAGGCAGTTTACTTGGAGCCTTAAATATTTGAATAAGGGATGGTTTATGATGGTTAATGGAAATATGGATTAAGACAGGGTAGAGGTATGGTATTGATTGAATATGTCAGGAAGACAAGTTTGGAAGGAAGGTAGTTATTATGAAGGATATTGGAAAAATAGTTGTGCACATGGTCATGGTAGATTAATACATGCAGATGGAGATTATTATGAAGGAGAATGGGATAATGATAAAGGTTAAATATAGTAAATATAATAGCGCATGGTTAGGGAAAATATGTCCACGCAGATGGGGCAAGTTATGAAGGTAGTTGGAAAGATGATAAGTAAGATGGATTAGGACATGAAATATGGCCAGATGGTACAAGTTATAAAGGAGCTTACATTTAAAGCAAAAAGGAAGGACATGGGATTTTCAAATGGCCGGATGGATCATATTATGAGGGGGAATTCTTAGATAATGCAATACATGGAATGGGGACATACGTTTGGGGGGATGGAAGAACATATATTGGATAATGGAGATAAAATAAAATGCATGGACTAGGAGAGTTTAAATGGGCAGATGGAAGAAGATACAAAGGATCCTATCAGAATGATAAGAAACAGGGCTATGGAACATTTGATTGGCGTAAATTTGTATAATAAACTAATAGCTGATGGATCTAAATATGTAGGAGAGTGGCACGACGGTAAACAACATGGGCTCGGTTCAGTTGTTGATGAAAAAGGTGAAGAACACAGAGGGAGATGGGATAATGGCACATTATTGGAATGGATTACTTAAAAGGATTGATAGTTTATATAATTAACTATATAGTATATTATCTGGCTTTTGTATATAGAAGCAAAAAAAGAAGGATTTATATTCCAAAGAGTAAATAATTGGGACTTGAATGATACGATAACTTATCTGAAATTGAATAAAATCTAATCATCATCCATTTACTAACTGTCGAAAGAGTATACAAATCTAACTGTATTTTAGCCTAGAACTTAAAACTTATAAGGCTTATTTGAGTGCCATTAAGTGATCTTTTAATAAGATGAACAAAAATCAAAATTTTGGAAGTACAGTTTTCAGATCAAACTACTATGAGTTTTAAGGGGAGTAGATTTGTAGATTCTGAGTATTGATTTCTTCTCTATCCAGAGACATTTGCTATAAATGTAGAAGAAGGAAAAACCTAATTCTGATGGTCAAGTGAATCATTCAAAAAAATCTAATATTTAAGAGTAAATAGTCAAAAAAAACAAATACATAAGTATACCCTTTATTCCTCCTAATGCTCAATAAGGCTAAAGTGAGAATACAGATTTTACTAAATAATAAATAAAACCAGAAAATCACTTTTGAAAAAAACAAGGAGACAATAAAATAAGGCTAGAAGGTACCTATTGGTCATTGGTATGACGGGATAAGAATCAATCTTAAGATATGTATTAAAATGAAACCAAAAATAGCATTTAGTTCTAAACAAAATTGGAAATGTAAAAAAGTGTTGGATAATAATGATAGATTTTTCATAAATCCACCAATCCTACTACTACTACTAGAGAGACAGATGTTGATCCAGAATATAGTTATATTGAAGTGCTCAAGTTTAATGAAATAGGATGCAACGATGAAAATGCTTCAAATTAATAAATAATTTTTTAATTTAAAGTTAATGTTAAATCAAAGTATAAATTAAAGAATTGGAATAAAAAGATCTCATATTAAATCATAGGATGTCCTTGGTGGTTATTAATTGGAAGTAACCGCTCATAGATAAAAAGGTGTGTAACCTCTCTTTTTGATAAGCAAAGGAAGGTTTGAGGAGTAATTTTCTGAAAAACCTTGCTCCAGGATAATACAATTTAAATAATACTAATGAATAAATATTGATATAGAATTAATGAAGGCACCCTTAAGATAGTTTGTAGTTAAAAAGAATAAATTTGAAGAATAAAAATTATTAGTTTTTTCCTCGTCCTTAAGTAGACATTAAAATTGATGACAAAAATTAAGATAAGAAATTATCTGAGTAAAATGGAAAATTTTAATTTTATAGTCGTGTTCCTAAACCTTGAGATTTATCAATTTCAAATATCAATCCAGCTCCAGTACTTATTATGTCAATAAACATATAATCACTCATAAAATTGTTAATCAAAAGAAGATGACCTAAGTTGGCAGTCGTCAAATTACTATTTTGATTGGAGCTGAAAAGGAAAAAATAAAGAGGTAATGAAGATTAGGAAGGGGAGGTAATTTGTTATTTAGAAAAATCAGCATAAATTAATTAGGAATATTTTAGAAGAAAATAAGATGGCTCTACCCCTTTTATATATACAAGGTTTTATAAAATTAAATATAAATAGCAAGAACAATTTTCAAAAAGTGTTCTTCAATATAATATCCCCAGTCTGATGGAATAAATTGATGGAATGTGTCCGAATTAGAATAAAAGAACATTTAACATAATATTTGCTGAGATTTGAAAATTATTTTAATTATCATGTTCAATTTTTTTTAATCAATCTGCTGCTTCTCCAATAGGGAAAAGCCTGATAAAGCAAATAGACCAATACAAAAACCAGCTTAAACTTTGTCCATTCAACCTGTGATTTAAGAAACAATGACAGACTAAGTTTAATAGAACTCCATTATAGAAACGGATTAATACTTACAATTAGATAATGATTACTACATGGAATAGATGGAGTATGGTTTTATTTATTAAATATAAGTTTTCAATCTTCAAGTGATCCACCTTCTACTCAATTACCATCTGGTTTCATCCTTTAAGATGAAGTCATTAGCAATCAACCTATGTAAGAGGAAAATGATAGTAATATGAAAAAGGAACAAACTAACACAAAAAAAGTATCATTAATCTTATAATATTATATAGAAAAGAATACTGAAGTTGTGGGATGCCAATGAAGATGCTTAATTACGTATCTAGTATGAGAAACATAATGGAAAGTGGAATGAAATTGCTAAACATATGCCAGGAAGAAATGTTTCATAATGTTGTTAAAGATGGAGGAGATTACAACCAGTTAAAATAGTAATAAAGTTTAATTATTATTAACTAGATTAAAAGAAAGCAATGGACTTAAAGTGAAGATGAGAAGATTCTTCAATTAGTCTAACAACATGGCAAGAATTGGAAGTTAATTGCTTTACGTAAAAATTAATTCAACTATAGTGCCCTAGACTTTCCGGGTATTTTGAGTAAATAGATAAGAGAACGATATATTAATAAAATTGATCCTGATATTAATACAGGTCCATGGACTGAAGCTGAAGATGCCACCATTATCAGATTGTATTAGGATTATGGAGGTAAATGGAGTCTTATTTCATCTCATCTTAAGGGCAGACCTGTATATATATTATACTTAAACCTATTAGGAAAATATGGTAAAAAACAGATTCTATTGTTACATCAGAAGAGTTCACCTAGGAGTCTAAAACCCATATTAAATTGTATATTAAGAAAATTCAGATAGTGAACTCAGTTCAAATGATGATATGGAATTTGAATGATTTTTATATTATCAAACAATTCCTTATTAATTTATAAATAATTTTTTAATTCATGATGAATTAATAAACTAATAAAAATGTTATGAGATTTTTATACATAATTATATTTAAAAGGTAATGTATTTTTAATAAATATTGTTATTTATAGATTTAGAGGCAAAATGAATAGAATGGAAGAATTTCTTAAAATTGTTTATAAATAGTTTTAATAGACTGAATTTAACCTAGGTATCAAATTCAGAAGAATCCTATAAAAATCTTAAAATACTAGCTGGTACTCTCAATTGAATGGCTTTCAACAAAGAAGAACACTTTCCAGAACGATACCAGGTATCATTTATTCAACTAATGTAAACCTAGATACAACTAAATAAGTTTGGCATACTTCATCAGTCATTACTTTATAAACATCAAAATGATATATCCCGAGTATAACTGCTAATAACCAGAAAAAATTCATTAATAATATAAAAAACAGAGTGTTTACTTAACAAAAGACAAAGATTTCTTATAAAGATCACCTTATAAGTAAATAATGTTAAATCTAATTTCTAATAACAGTAATAAAGGTTTTAAGGGAAAATTGATTCGATTCTATACTTAACAATTTAAGCAATACATACTTATGAAGTTCAATAGATTCTATTAAATATAACTAGGCACCTGCTGATATTTTCCTATATTTCTAAAGCTCTATCAAAATGAAAAAATTATCAAACACAAGTCTTGACTTTAATATTCCAAAATACTATCAAGACCAATGAAAATTTGAGAAATAAATAAATGATATTAATTTTTTCTTTATTTTTCATAAAATCTTAGTATATAGATAAATAATCAAAAAAAAAGAAAAAAATTTAATCATTAAATAACAACGTTAATTAGTGAGGATTACTTTAAATATTGATGCAAATCAAGATTATTATTCTTAATTTCAAAAAAATATAAAAGTAAAAAATGTAATTAAAGTATTGAATTGGAAGTTCTATTGACGATTTAAGCATTTAGTGCTATAGTTATTTGTATTAGTTAGAATAATCCTTCAATATTGAAAAGGAGCCAGTATTTTTGATAGATAGAATTACTCATTTAATAAAAGCATATTATGGGATGGCAAAAATTTTTTTTTTTCGAAGGTAGTTTCTTGCCTTTTGGATTATTTGAGAAACTCTTTGCACCATATAGAATCACATCTTCTAACTGAATCAATTTTGATCTATGAAGTCCTCAAAATGTTAAAAGGAGATAAATTAAAAATTAGATTAAGAAAAAATTAGATTTTAAAAGAAAAAATGATTATATTTATTCACAAAACCTTGAGTTTTGTTTGTTATAATATGTAGAAATTTTCATTAATTTTGATTAAGAAATAAATGTATTTCATAATTAACAAATATATATATAATTTAAATGAATTAATAATATTATTATATTTAGGCATTATATTTCCAATTAACTTAAATTTTTTTTAAATTAAATAAAATTTATCAATTACAATAAATCTATTATTTTATTTGAACTTATTAAATTTTATAATTATTTGCTTTGAATTAAAATTCTATTATATATAATAGAATTAGGAAAATGTTCATAAAAACACATTATGTATAACAAACTTATTATTATAATGTAAGAAATTATATATTTGTCAGAATTGCCCAAGACCAATGAAATGTTTGCCATAGTAGAGGATAAAAATTTGAATATAATCCCATCCAATTATATACTAGAACGAATTCTAAAATGCTTTTTTAACAAATTAAAGGATAATGATAAATAATTGGCAATAAAGTATTTAATGCAATTCTATCCTAATAATGGATTTCTTACTTAAAGTAAAAAATTATTTGATAAGCCTTATTCCTGGACAAATTTAACAAAGTATTTTAATGATTATGGATTAAAAAAAAATTAGAAATTTTATTAGTAAAATGTGAAATTAAATATGATTCGATTAGATGAAGATTTTCATCAACTAATGGAGCTATTTGAGTAAAAAGAATTCCAAGAAAATTATTATATTCCAACTTCATTCCATTAATATAACTATCTCATTGAAAAACTTAAAAAACATAGTTTCAAACTTATAGATTTGATTGAATAATGCTAATATTCATCCTTTTAATTAAATTCAACAATTTTGAGCCATTTAGTTTTCTTTTTCTTTATTCCTGAAGAATTATAAATAAATAGTAGAGAGAAGATGGAATTATATCAATTATTAGGGGAAATCACATGCGAATGTTGGCTGTAATTTGAATACCATATTTAACAATTAAAATTCACACAATAAGACTAAAATAAATTAAAAATTCTTTCAGAAATTCCATAATTATTCCAGATAGATTTGTAGACTTTAAAAAATTCAATTTATCAAATATTGTAAATGTAATGAGTTGTTTTAAAAATAATAGTTAAATAAGTCCAATTTCTATAACTAAGCGATGAAAATTTTTTATATAATATACAGAATGAAACTTTTTATTTTTACATTATATGTTATAGAGTAAGTTCTTTTAACCTACCTTTTGGCTTTTCTATTGTTTGAAAAAACACTGTATGATTTGTGCAAAATTATAATGAACATTTTTTTATATAAGTAATATTCTAAATGGGTATTTTACCATTTATGTCTAAAATCTGGTATGACCCCTCAGATAGAGGAAATAGTTAAACTTTTAACTATATTATTNAAGTAAAAAATTATTTGATAAGCCTTATTCCTGGACAAATTTAACAAAGTATTTTAATGATTATGGATTAAAAAAAAATTAGAAATTTTATTAGTAAAATGTGAAATTAAATATGATTCGATTAGATGAAGATTTTCATCAACTAATGGAGCTATTTGAGTAAAAAGAATTCCAAGAAAATTATTATATTCCAACTTCATTCCATTAATATAACTATCTCATTGAAAAACTTAAAAAACATAGTTTCAAACTTATAGATTTGATTGAATAATGCTAATATTCATCCTTTTAATTAAATTCAACAATTTTGAGCCATTTAGTTTTCTTTTTCTTTATTCCTGAAGAATTATAAATAAATAGTAGAGAGAAGATGGAATTATATCAATTATTAGGGGAAATCACATGCGAATGTTGGCTGTAATTTGAATACCATATTTAACAATTAAAATTCACACAATAAGACTAAAATAAATTAAAAATTCTTTCAGAAATTCCATAATTATTCCAGATAGATTTGTAGACTTTAAAAAATTCAATTTATCAAATATTGTAAATGTAATGAGTTGTTTTAAAAATAATAGTTAAATAAGTCCAATTTCTATAACTAAGCGATGAAAATTTTTTATATAATATACAGAATGAAACTTTTTATTTTTACATTATATGTTATAGAGTAAGTTCTTTTAACCTACCTTTTGGCTTTTCTATTGTTTGAAAAAACACTGTATGATTTGTGCAAAATTATAATGAACATTTTTTTATATAAGTAATATTCTAAATGGGTATTTTACCATTTATGTCTAAAATCTGGTATGACCCCTCAGATAGAGGAAATAGTTAAACTTTTAACTATATTATTGTTTTTTTTTAAAAGGTTTTGAAGTAATTACCCTAATTTATAAAAATTAATTTAAAAAAATATTTTTTCGCTTTAAAAATATATCGTTTAAAAATACAATAATTTTTTTATGAAAGAATTATCATACAAAAATAATATTGTAATGTAATATTAAAAAAACTAAAATAAATATCGTTTTTGATAATATTAAAATCATTATTATAAAAAAATGACAACATTTTTAATTTTGAAGAAATTCATAATTTTATTGAACAAAATCAACCAATAGTTTTCGAACTTTAAGTTATTTACTATTAAATTTGCTTTTATTGTATGTCAATTTTCAATTAATATTATGAAAAAAGTATGATTACTTCTAATAAAGATGAAAGGTATAAGGAGCTCAATTCATATATTTAACAAAAAAAGTAGTAAAGTTTATAGTAGAATCCTCCATTGTTAATGAAAAGATTTGAATAATATGTCAATCATTAAGCTCAAATTTTAGATGAATGGAAAAAATTGAATTCCTAATCTTTAAATGAACTGCTTTAATATATAATTGAAGATGATTTTTATTACCTCAACAAAAGTTTGCATATTGTCAATTTACATGCAGAAAATGAGAAAAATGCAAAAATACTCAATTTACTTACTGAAATACCAGAAGAAGACAAAAGAAAGGTAGCTGCTTTTTTGAAAAACCTAATAAAGACTCAAAATTTGGTTGATGTTGTATTGGAATTGTAAAAATAAAGTGCAATTTACCCAAGTTAAGAACTAGAAATTATTTTCAGAATCGTAGTTGAAATTCAAAATCAAGAATTTACATAATTTTTAATTCTTAGATAAGCTTTAAAATAGGGTAAAACTAAGGCTTAGATGGAAAATCTTTTAAAAATATCAAAATACAATGATACTATGGAATTAAATGACTAAATTTAACTATTAAATGAATTTCAAGATGATCATTGGGAATTAGTCAAATAAAATTAAATTCAATATATCATTTGTAATTCTTTGATTAAACAATATTTCTTTTATAAATCAGAAGGCTCCTCATCAAAACTCCTCCATTTTTTGAGAAAACTTTTCAATAATAATTAATAAATTCAATAGTAGAATTATTTAACTCAATTTTTTTCTAAAATTTTTACTTTTTTATAGGATGAACAAATTCATCGATTAATTAGTGTCAATAAATAAAATTAAATCTCTTAATGCGATTATATGAATACAATAGAAACATTATTTTAAGTCGTTAACTAAATTAAATGTGATAATGAATAATTACATTTTAAGCATAATCTAGAAAAAGTATTCGAAAATCATAAAATTTATGATTTGAATTTCTTTTTTGACTTATAAAAAGAAAAAGTGAATATAGAATAATTATTGAATATCTATTAATTGATTTATTTTTGGTAATTCAAATAATAATAAACACTAAAAGCAAATGCAGAATAATTCTACAGATAGGATGCAAATTTATACAAAAACATATTCTAAAAAATCAATTATTTTGAAAATTAATAATTAAACCCAGAACAATTAGAATAATATATTAAAAGTGACATATATCCAAGATGTTTAAATATTTCTTTAGAAGAATTTAATATTTCTTTGACTCTTTTAGATAAAGAAAAATAGCAAGAATTAGTTAAGAAATGGATTAAAGAAGTAAAGGATTCTTAGAATTTTAAAGAATTAATACCTTTTTTTTTTAATATTATAAAAAGGGGAGAATCATCAAAAATATTTTTGTAAATTATTAATTAACAAATAAAATAAAATAAAGAACTTTCAATAAAATATGGATATTTCAATCAAAAGTCAATGTTTTAAATATTCTATAATAATGCTAATGATGAATTGAAAGTAATGCTATTAAAACTTATGAGTAAATAATATCCAATTCCATTATTATATAGAACTCCTTATAATGCTGAAACTGGCGAATTAGAGAAATTAACATTTAATATCAATACTTTTTATGTTTTCTAAGAAAACTTTCCAATTATAAATCTAAGTTTAGATGAAAAATAAAAAAGAATTGGAAAAACAGAATTAATCAATAAAATTTTTTATTAATAAGACAAATTTGAAATATCAGACAGCAATTAATTAAATAATTAAACAATTGATATTATGTATGACTTTGAATTTAGTGGGTCAAGAAATCTGTCAGTAGCCGACGCTCATAATTTTATACCTTTTGATATTTTAGATGATATTTTACCAATGTTTAAATTGTGGATTATTTAATTGGATACTGAAAAAGAAATTGAAACTTCGATATAAAAATTATAAAAATTAAAATCATTTTTAATTTAAGAAAAAATGGTTTGTTTTTTAATTAGAAATTCATCATCTTAAGACTTGGATGAAAATTAGAAGGAATTATTATATTCCTTAAATATCAAATATAAATAAATTATTGATTTATCAGACAAAGATTTAAATAAATAAATGAAAGACGATGAAATTGAATAAGTATCTAAATTTTTGTATGATATAATAAATCAAAATAGAAAAGTATATACTGTAAATTAAGAGCAATATTTTAATCTTATTTGTTAAATGAAATGTCAAAATTTGGAATAAACTAAGGAAATGAAACTAGCATAATAATTATTTTAAGACATTGAAAAAGAATTAGATATTTAAATGAAGCATGAATAAGGCTTCTACAATTAGAATGCATTTCCATTAAGAAGTATTGATTGGTAAATAAAATAAGAAAAAGATTTTTATATTAGAATTTAATAGAGTAAAGATGACCCGGAAATACATGAAAAGTTGCACCAAATTAATTAAAAAATAAAAAATCTGCAAGCTTAAATAAAATCATAATAACCAACTAAAATAATCTCAAAATTTTGTAGATTATTATAAACATCAAACTATTATATATTATATCTTCATTTTGTGGATAAAATTAGAAAATTTAATGAAAAAAACACATATGAATTGTAGGATTAAAATTAAAAACTAAATGAAGAAATCTAGAAATTAAAAAAAGAAAGAGAAGCACTTAAACCTAAAGAAAAAGATAAAGAAATTACAGTGGAATAAATGTAATTAAGGGATCAAAAATAAAAATTAATTGATGAAAAAATTCTTGATTTGAAATAAAATTCAGAAATAATATCAAAAAGAAATATTGGAATTGAATTATTTTGGAGAGAAATCATATCATAAAGAGAATAATGTAATGATTCATAAATTAATATTGATCCTGCAAAAATAGTAAAAGAAATGATTTCTAAAGGAGAACCATATGAATTTTTGGACGGAGACCAATTAAGAATAGACTAATCGTTTTTAATAAAGCTTATTTCTAATTTTAAAGATTAAGGATAGGAAAGGATTTTAGTATTAAGTGTATTAGGACCATAAAGTTCTGGTAAATCAACAATATTAAATAAAATATTTGGATGCCATTTTTGGACAAGTGTTGGAAGATGTACAAAAGGAATCTATTTATAATTATTAAAAATACATAATAAAGCATTTTTTAATAATTTATTTGATTACATTATTATTTTAGATACTGAAGGTCTTTAAAGTCCAAATTAAGATGATTAAGAATTTGATAAAAAAATAGCTCTATTTGTATTATCTATTAGTGATATTATACTCGTCAATGTTAAAGGTGATATTACAAAAGAGTTCAAATCATTAGTTGAAATGTGTATATTTACTTTAGGATAAATGAAAAGTTTTACAAGTTCAAAATAAATTACTTGGTGTTTTAATTAAAATAATGATGTCAATAATTATGCACCATTTTTAGCATAATTACAATCTATTGCAACAAGTTTAAGTACAGAATTCAGTAATCAAAAAGAGGAAGATGAGGTTATAGATTATACTGAAATTCTTGGAATTACTTAAGCAAATATCAAAATTTTAGGATTTGCATCTACAGAAAAATTATGGAGAAAAAATGAAAGCGACGGAATTTATGCAGATTGGCGCCAGTTAATTATAAATGGAACATTTTCTGAAGAAGCATATGAATATGGTATTAGAGTAATTCAAGCATATGTTGATAAATTTGGAAGTGAAACAGATTAATAAGGAAAAAAATAGATGGAGAATTTAAAATATTTTATAGAGAAGATTCAAACAACTTGGAGGAGTATAGAAAGCCTACCTGATTTACTTGAATTTTCTGAATTAATATAACATTAATAAAATCAATTTATGAGGTAATAATTTAATGAAATCATGAATAATTAAGTGTTTCCTAAATAAAATGATTTCATCTAAAATATTCAAGAGAGTATTTAATAAAATAATTTAAAATTATCTCTTGAAGCATTGACTGAAATAGAGAAATAACAAATCAATAATATGAAAGGGCAATTCGATTAAATCAGGAAAGAATTCATTGAAAAATTAACAACCATCAAAAATGAAAAAAAAATTTCTAAAAAAGTCTTTACGAAATATGTGAATATGGTTAAAGATAGAATAAATAGTGAAATATCAGCATTTAATTTAGCAATATATTCTGAAATTAAAACTTAAGAAACAAATTTATAAAAGAAGAAGGGATTTATTTAAATTGATTTATTTATCTAAGGGTTACTAAAAAAGGAGGAAGAATTACAAGAATATAAAAAAGATGAAAATAAGATTAAAATGAAATTTAATGAAATTTGGGGATAAATCACAAATCAACATACTTAATAATAAGAAGATATGTTTAAAGAGTTTTGCGATAAGTTACTTTAAGTTATTTAATAAGAGTTTTCAAAGTATATATTGAAAACAAATAATGAACCTTTTTATAAATAAGAGTATCATTAAAAGCTAATTAAAAAAGCCCCAGAAAAAGGTGACTTTTTAACTTCACTCAAAATATTTAGTCCAGAATTACAAACTTAACAATTTATGGTTGTCGAAAAATCGAATAAAAATTACTAATATTATGAAAATTTTTGTTAAAGTATCACTAAAAGGTTTTAAAAAATTTCGGATAATTATATTTTAAAAATATCTAAATTTTACTCTTACAAAATTGAACAAAAATGGATATCAAAGAATGCTTGTGATGAATATATTCGAACTGATTTGAGTTCTGATATTCAAAATTATTTTAAAGAGAAATAGAAATATGATATTTATGCAGTTCGAGACTTTTTGTTTTAATTTACTATTTTTGGTTATGAAATTGATGAGAACTAATCTGATGAAGTTTTTAGTTATTTGCGTTCATTTTGGAATATAAAGTAAAATCTACCATAATTACTTATTTCATGCTTTAAACCTAATTAAAGAAAATATTACAATGACGAATAGTATTAGCTGTCGATTGCTTTTATAATAAAATATTGTAAATGTTTTGTGAAAATTTTATAAAAAAAAGAATAAATAATTTCATTATAAGAAAATTTAGAGAATCTAATTAAACCCTTTAATTAAGGTGAGAATTTTCTTGTAGTGATGTAACAAACAATAGTTGTTGATGGAAATGTTCAATCTTCAAATCTTGACCTTTTGAAATTATCATATGACAGTACAATTACATCAAAAAGTAATACATAAATATCAAATCATAATAATATAGGTAATTTAGACTAATAAAAAGAGATTAGTTATCATAGATAAAATTTTACTCTAGAGATTTTTAATTTTATCTAGAATCAAAAGGAAAACTATCATCAATATAATTAGTTTAAGAATTATGTTGTAAAAGTTGTTTAATAACTTATGAATGATAATCATAATGATGGCTGGAATAAAATGTATGGAGAGATTCATTAAATGATACTAGATGAAATTATTGATATAAATAAAAATGCTATCGTTCAAGAAAACGAGAATATCAAAGTTAATTAATATAGTTTTAGTTTAATAAAAAGAATCATGTAAAAAATTGAAGTGAAAATAAAGGAATTTAATATGCAATTTTCTGATTTTGGTGTTATTTTAACTGATTTAGGTGAGAGATGCTTATTTTATTATGCCATTTTTACTATTTGGAGAATATTATGTTTTGGATAATATCAATCAACAGAAAGCAATAAGAAAGAGTTGAAAGATTAAACTGACGAATAATATATTAAATTTAAGGCTGATATTTAATAAAATAAGAAAGAATAAAGTAAAATTAGAGGGTAAACTTAAGCATAAGATATCATCAATTAAGCAACGTAAAGATTTTATAAGAAATATTGTGAAGAAGCCACTTAAATGATAATGAATTATAGTAAAGTATCAAGCTTTGATTTAATGAAAAAACTTGACAAAGAAATTCTAGAAAGATCAAATAATACTGTTACAGATGATTAAATTATTTCATATATAAGAAATCAATGTGCTTATATAGAAAAATATGTTAAAGACAAAATAACTAATATTAAATCAGAAATTTAAATTAAATTAACTAATAAATTAAGGTAAGATTTGAAATCTCATCTTCAAAAGGTGGATGCCAACACTAAAAATTTACATGATTTTGTTACCTATGCTCTAAAAGCATAAGAATATTTTGTTTAGCTGAAAAACCCAGATGAAGCTCCAGAGTTATTATATAAAATAGTCTTAAGTTGTCTTTAAGGATAAGTTTAATAAAATTTACTAGATTAAATAAAAGATGATAAAAGAGATGCATTCTAAACTCAAGATTTTCATATTTTTGATTTGCCATTATGTGTACCAATATAAAAATCAGATGCAGAAATATAAATATTGTTAGATTTTGTTAAGGCTTTTGAAAAGAAAATAAAAGATTCAATTTCAAGTTTAGACACTATGCAGATTGAATTCGAAAAACTTAACGTTTAAGCTGATTTAGATGCATTACAACTAAAATAAATTGGATGTTTAGAATTCTGTCCTATTTGTAAAAGAAAATGTGATTAAGAAATTGATGATAATAATCATAAGCATCAATGTAAAAATGGGCATTAATTAAGAGGTATTTATGATATTATAAATTAGGCATGAGTGGAGTCTTAATTGGTTGTCATCCTTCTTTATATACTTGTGAAGAAATACAAGATGATTTTTAAATTAAAGAATTAGAAACATAAAATATAAAGAAATGGAAAGAAATCAAATAAATATATAATACATGGTTATTTTCTTGTCTTACGAAAGATGAGTTAAAGTAATTGAAAGAGAAATTTATGAAGATTTGGAATAATAATATTGGATAAATGATTTGCAAAAAATTATCAGAAGAATTTGGAAAAGATATATTTTATGTCCCAAAGTAAGAAGTTGAGTTAGGAGCAAATTCAGGAAATTAAAAGACAGCTCATTATATATTAATTATAGATGATTCTGGATCTATGGGAGGAAGACCTTTTGAATCTGCTAAATAAGGTTTGGTGGCTTTTCTTTTTGAGATTCAAAAAAATCCTAGTTCAAGGGTTACTATTATTATTTTCAATAGCTCAGCTAGATGTGTTGTTGATTATCAAATTCCTAATGCTTAGGCTTAATAATCTTCGATAATATATTAAGGTGGTGGAACTAATTTTGATGCAGCCTTTTTGCTCGCTAATGATAAAATATCTTCGAATCCAGATTTTAATAAATTTGCTTCGTAAATTTATAATCCTATAATTAGCCATTCTATATTTTTTTACACAGATGGAGGTGCTTCTTATCCCACACAAGCTTTGGAGAAATTTAAACAACTTCCACCAGAAAAAAGATAAAAAATTGAATTAGTTGCCTGCTCTGAGGAATCATCTCCTAGTACATTAATAAAGGTTGTTGATTTTTTTAAATCAAACTGTGGTTTTGCAAAATTATAACCATCAATGTAACCTTAATAGATTGCTTAAGTTTGGATTGAAGAAGTAAATAAATTAGTCAAATAAGTGAAAAATTGCTGACTAATTGTTATAAAAATGAAATTATATCCAAATATTATTTCTAATAAAACAAAGAATCAATTATATTTAAAATTATTACACCTTTTTAATTAATTATCAAGAATGTGTTTGAATGTTTTATAGAAATTAATAATCCTTATTTAGCGAAATGTTATTACTGTTTTAAAACAACATGTTTTAATTCACTATTTGTTTTTATAGAGTATTATTTAAAAATCTGCTTGAAAATCTCTCATTAGTTTAATTGAAACAGTGAAAAGTCTAATCGCATCGATTTCTGAAGTCTAATTAAATATAAGTTTTTGAGTTGATTTTTGTAGTTTTTCCAAGAGCTTTAAAATGTATTGTTCTCACATTTTAAAATTAATTAGATTATTAATGAAATATAATTAGGATTATTAATAGTTAAAGTAGATCATAAAAATTTAATTAAAAAGTAGATAGATTAAGTAAAATTTGTATAAATTTATATTTAAATAAAGAGAGGAATTATCTAAATCTAACTTAGAAAAATTTTTAAAAATGGAAATATATAAGGTATTTTTATGCTAAAAAAAATAATGGTAATAAAATTAATTAAGATCCAATAATTATATGGTTCTAAGTAACTCAAATTTTATATCAATTTAATAAAATTGATTCTACAAAAATTATTATAAATTATTTAACTAGCAAATATTTAGGTTTTAGAATTTAAAATAGTTATACAAAACTACCCTTTTATATTATAAAAGCCTAATAATTTTGTTATTTTTGAAGGGATTTTATTTTTATTTTATTGAACTAAATAGTTATATTTTTAATATCCATTTTAGTATTTTAACTTATATTTTTCAGTTCTTTAATTTATATTGTTTTATAGGAATATATTTATTTCATAATTCTCAAGTGATTGTTATATATGTTGAAAGATATTATAACATATTTAATAAAACATACTAAAATATGAAGTTTTGAGTTATTGCTTCTATATGTATTTAAATAAAAATTATCTAACTGGTAACAATAGGATATTAATTATTAGAGTAGATTAATTGATTTTGTAATTCAATTAAAATATTTTAAATAAAGAATAATTTTTTGCTTTACAATGTATGGAATTTCATTCTAATGTTGATAAATGAACAAAATTTTTATTGTGATATATATATCAAATAGAAATATTTGGAAATTTCAGAAAAATATGATTAAAGTAAAAATTATTAATGTTCTCCATTTAAACAATAACAATTCATGTTACATATTAAAAAAAAATGCCAATTTATTGAGACTATAAAATAACTATTTATTAGGTTATTGATGCTTTAGAAAGTATATGTTTAATCTTAATAAATAGATAATTATTTTTCAAAATTCAAAATCTAATGAACTCATCTTAAGTTATCATATCTAAAAACAAATTGAGAACAATAACATATAATCAACTACTCAAACTAATAATAACAAATAATAAACTTCAGTAACTACATTATCCTTAAAATAAAAGCTTAAATTGATACTATTTTTCTATAAATTGAATATCAAAATATATTTTAATGAAAATGTAAATTAAGCTTTTATTCAATCGAAGTCAACTATCAATTAGATTTAAGATTAACTCGACAAATCTGAGAAACAATTAGAATACACTGAAATATCTAAAAATTTTTTAGCTAAAAAATGTGGTATTTATGAATTAGAATACTAGTTTTAACTTTTATAGAATAACATTAATCATTACATTTAATGATTTGAAAAACTAAGTGATCATTTAAGGAACACAAAATAACCATTGAGATGGAAAAAAAGCTTATAGCAATTAATAATAATTATAGAGTAATATTAAGAAAATTCTGAATATCTAATAGTGAATTAATTATTTTTATTATATTTTTATATTAAAATGAAAGTGAAAGTCTTAGTAGATATATTGGAGCATTTTGCGGATGCTATTAATTATAANTTCATAATTCTCAAGTGATTGTTATATATGTTGAAAGATATTATAACATATTTAATAAAACATACTAAAATATGAAGTTTTGAGTTATTGCTTCTATATGTATTTAAATAAAAATTATCTAACTGGTAACAATAGGATATTAATTATTAGAGTAGATTAATTGATTTTGTAATTCAATTAAAATATTTTAAATAAAGAATAATTTTTTGCTTTACAATGTATGGAATTTCATTCTAATGTTGATAAATGAACAAAATTTTTATTGTGATATATATATCAAATAGAAATATTTGGAAATTTCAGAAAAATATGATTAAAGTAAAAATTATTAATGTTCTCCATTTAAACAATAACAATTCATGTTACATATTAAAAAAAAATGCCAATTTATTGAGACTATAAAATAACTATTTATTAGGTTATTGATGCTTTAGAAAGTATATGTTTAATCTTAATAAATAGATAATTATTTTTCAAAATTCAAAATCTAATGAACTCATCTTAAGTTATCATATCTAAAAACAAATTGAGAACAATAACATATAATCAACTACTCAAACTAATAATAACAAATAATAAACTTCAGTAACTACATTATCCTTAAAATAAAAGCTTAAATTGATACTATTTTTCTATAAATTGAATATCAAAATATATTTTAATGAAAATGTAAATTAAGCTTTTATTCAATCGAAGTCAACTATCAATTAGATTTAAGATTAACTCGACAAATCTGAGAAACAATTAGAATACACTGAAATATCTAAAAATTTTTTAGCTAAAAAATGTGGTATTTATGAATTAGAATACTAGTTTTAACTTTTATAGAATAACATTAATCATTACATTTAATGATTTGAAAAACTAAGTGATCATTTAAGGAACACAAAATAACCATTGAGATGGAAAAAAAGCTTATAGCAATTAATAATAATTATAGAGTAATATTAAGAAAATTCTGAATATCTAATAGTGAATTAATTATTTTTATTATATTTTTATATTAAAATGAAAGTGAAAGTCTTAGTAGATATATTGGAGCATTTTGCGGATGCTATTAATTATAAAATAGAAAAATTAGAAATTATAGATAACATGAGGTGACGGATTGAATTAACTGTTGCCATCTAATAAAATAAAAAAAATTATAAAGTCATTAATTAATCTATTATGGTCAAATTTTTTTGATTTCAAAAACAATAATTGAAAAAGTTGTGAGAATTTGTTTAACAATTAAATTAAAGATTTTAAAATTATGAAGAAGTCCAATAATTGAAATCGGAGTCATTGTAGATCAATAGATTCGTTAATGATAGACATTTCTAAAAACAGAAGTTTTGGAAGTAGATTTTAAATAGATATATCTGAATAATAATTAAATATAATGAGGTAATAAGAATTCAGAAATTTCTAATTATAAAAAGTATTTGAAAATATAGATTAAGGATGGAGAAAACCTAGACTTAGAAGATGTAAAATGTTTGAAAATGGAACATTTTAAGTGACGATTTGTATAATTAAAAATGGGAAGTTTTAGGTGTTTATTTTTTGAAAATCTAAGTGAATACTGTTAATATATGTTTAAGAATTCATCCTTAGGAAATAGTTACTAAAGAAAATAAAAAGAAGAATCGAGTTATTATCAAAAGAAATAACAAGGTTAATTAACCTTCCTATTCTATCTATATATTAAATAATTATACTGAAATTCAATTAGAATCTTCTTTTTTCCAGTCCATTCTATCAAGAAAAGCTATTAATTGATATAGATAATAGAATTTTACTTTTATAAGCTTCCATGTTTAATTAATGATAACAAGGGGAAGAAAAGGAAAAAATATAAATCTAAAAATCATATTCAAAAATTTGAATTACATGTGAAAGCAAATAATTTTTATATAGTTTTTCATTTAATAAGCTGATCTAATTAATTGTACAAGTGATCTAGTGGGGAAAAAAGTGCTGCTCTTAGAAACTCAATATATAAATGATCAGTGCAGATAGATCAAAAGCTCAATCTTGAACCTTAATTGATAAAGATAATCATTAGTCAAATATTAAGTTGCAGATTAAAAACAGAAATTAAAGTAAGATTTTATTAAAAATAATGATATAAGTGATAAATTCCAACATCATTTTGGATAAACTACCTAAAAGGTAATTACTTCAATACATAAATGATTATTGTTCAAAAATAAAAATAATTTAAAAAATGAAGAGTTATAGATGAAGATAAATTTAAACTAAACTAATCAGTTGGTAGGAGATTAGATGCAGAAAATTACTAATATAAGTTGCAAGAAGCGACTTTTGCAATAAAAATATAGTAGAAGATTAGAATTAAAAATTGTTGATTGTAAAATTTATTTTATTTGTAAAATGGATACCTTAAAATTTCAGAAATGATAAAATGCTCATTGAATATTTAAATATACAAAAATCTTTAAATTTTAAATCCAAATTGCAATCTAGATTATTGTAGGTTCCGATCAAAAGCTGAGAAAAAATTCAAGCAGAATTGCTTTTTTCATTAAATAATGGTTAAATTTACCTTTTGTAGAATTGTCTAAAAAATAGATTGAGATAAGCTCAGCAGCATTTAAGAAAAATTAGTAGTAAAAATAATTCAAAATTCTCAGAAAATAAGTTAAATTGGTAATATTAAGTGATAATTTTGAACAAAAACCTAAATATCATAGTTTTTGAATTTTTATGAAGAATTAAATAAGGGAAGAGATTAAAAATTGGAATTAGAATTGTTTTAGATAAGTTTTAATAATTTTAAAGTGATTGTCAGTAAAATAAAGTAAAAAATTCTAGGAGGAAGGATATTTCAGTAATTTATATAAGGATGTGAGAAAATTGATTAAGATATTTAATATCTGATTTGATATAGTTATGAAATAAACGCATGTATTTAATATTATATATAAAATGAATGGAGGTCATCGTCTTAAGTTTTAGATATCATTTAGTGAAGATGAAATAAAACCAGAGATTATTACTCTTAATCAATTCGATGATGCACTAAAATTTGAGGATAGATATGAAGCATTATAAACTTTGGGTATAAACTTATAAAAATTTGTATTAGGTTAGGGTGCCCATGCTGTAGTGAAAGTAGCTAGAAAGAAAGATACAGATGAGATTTTCGCAGTGAAAATAGTGAGATCTGGAGATTAAGAAATATAAAACAACGTTAAGAGAACTTTTAATAACACTAGATGTTTAAGACATCCAAATATTGCATAGGATATTGAATTATTTATAAATGAAAAGATGGAAACTTCATATTTAATAATGGAATATTGTGCATTTGATTCATTGGAATCAATTATAAAGAAGAGAAAATTGAATGTAATGGAACTTAGAATTGTGATTAAATAATTACTTTTAGCAATTCAACATGCTCATCAAAAAGGTATATGCCATAGAGATTTAAAACCTGATAATGTTCTAGTAGATTTGAGTGATAATATGGATACATCAGAAGTAAAAGTAAAGGTAGTAGATTTTGGAGTATCAAGAAGATTTTAATCAAAAGGTTAAGAGATTGAGATGTTGACAAAAACAGGAAATGTATTTTATTGTGCACCTGAAATATATCATAAATCGTGTTATTCCAAAGAAGTCGATATATGGGCAATAGGAGTGATAACATACTAATGTTTATTCTAAAAACTTCCATTGCATTCTGATGAATATCAAGATTTTGTTGAGCTTTTGAGATGTCCAGATAAATGGAAGTTTAAAGAACAATTGAAAGAACTAGAAATTCCTTTATAGAATTTAATTATAGGAATGTTGGAATATGATAGTTAGAAAAGAATTTCCATAGATGATGCATTAAGAAATTCCTTTTTTGAATAATAATAAAGAGAAAGTACTCCTTTAATTATAAGTACGAATTTGGAGAATCTTATTCATAATAGCAATAAACATATGAAATAATTGCAAACTAGTTTGGCCATCAACAACAATTATTTTGGATATCATAATTTGGGAAATATGATATAAAAATTGCAAGGAGAAAAAAACTAAGATAGAGTAGATGTAGAAGATTTGACAAAGAACTTTGGAAATATTCATATTGTATAGAAATAAAATGAAAAGAGAGGACCAATTTAATTAATGAATTCTATAGGAAGTAGCAATGTTTTAATGAGTAGATTTGGAAGTAGACAAGAGATATCTTATTAAGCCTAATCTGACGCATTACGTATTAAAAATTTATTTATATTATTAGGGAAAATATGTGATATAAAAGGTTCTTCAGATCCATTCGGTGATTTTGCTATATAATAAAGTTAAGAATTGAAGGAGCAATAATAATAGGAATCTAATATTCAATAAAATAACCAGAAATTATTTCAATAATTAGGATCTCAAATTGAATCTAGTATCAATCTCACTGCTGAAGATTAAACTAAAGTTATTAATCAATTAGATAGTTTGGGAATTCCAAAAAGGAGTTCTGTCCTTACTTAATTCTTTGGAGATTTGGGAATTAAAGAAGTGGATGAAATAACTGAAGACTTTTGAATTATTTGAATATATATAATACATCATTAAGCTTTATATTCTATTTCTTATTCTTTTGAAAAATACTGTAAGAATTCCAAAGCTGGTTTTGGAAACCATGTGCTATCTGCATTCAATCCTTCTAAAAATCCTATATGTCCTCCACTTTTGGCTAAACAAACAATTGTTTATTTATTTGAAATCAATTTATCTAAAGATAAAGCTTTTATATTAACAGCATAATCATCTTTAGCTGCAATACATAACATTGGAATTTTGATTTAGGGAAATCGATCACATGAAGAGAAATGCTTATAATATTCAACTTCAGATTTATACCCATAGACCTGAGATGTATAATATCTATCGAATTGATGAACAAACAAAGAATTCATAGCTTTAGATATTTAAGGTTTCCATTGTTTAGGATAATTGTTTGGATCATAAAATAAATGTTTATTTATCTTTAATCCTCTTCTTAAAATATATGTCATTGTAAGATCCATAATAGTAGAAATATTGTTCTCACAATCAGTGATATTATGTGGTGAACACACAGTTACTCCTGCATCTATTAATGAATCATCTTAAAATCTTCCTAAGTAATTGCCCAATTAAACTCCACCATAAGAACAACCAATAGCTAATATCTATTTAAATTTGTATTTATCTTTTAAATATTTTAAGGTGTAATGCAAATCAGCTGCTAAATCTACTCTAGTAGTTTGCCCTGCAACAACATCATGTCTAAAATATTCTTTGTCTGCCCCTTAAAAATCAATTCCATAATCTTAAAAGGGAGGAACAAATAGGAAATTAGCTTCCTTAGATAGCATCCTATAAGTGTATATGCAAATATTATTAAAACCATATTGATGAGCCTATGTTATAAGACTATTCACATATCTAGCTGATTAAAAAATATTCTTACCCATTTTACACTTTTCCAGTCAATCCTGGTATTATTAATAATAATGGTTGATCAGAATTAATTGATTGTCCCTTATCCACAAAATCTACTGATATACCTGTGTCTCCAATCTTCTCAAAAAAGGATATGTGTTTCTCTTTAGGTTTTGAGATTGTGGGAATTAAAGTGTGCAAAAATCCACAGTAGAATGCAGGAGGTCTATAAGATGTAAGAGATGGACAATTTTAGATGATTTCATTCTACAATTCGGTATTCAATGAATACAACTCAACTTGGTTGCTATTATAGTTATTCCAAACTAAATAACTCAAATATGAACTAATTCCTCCAATAATTCCCACTTTCATTTTAAACTATAAATAATCAATGATAATTATAATTAATATAAACAAAATAATTTTTAGTGCTGCTTAATTAATTTCTGGAACTAAATTTATTCAAATTTCAATCCTTTCAAAATTTTATCTTCTTAACACTCTAATAGATCATCATCATTTAATTAAATAAAGCTATCAATGAAATTATTCCTAAATTTTTAAATGTAGGTAAATCAACAAAAGTATTCTTAAATTAAATAATATTATCTTTATTATCATAATAAAGATAATTAAAATGAAAAATAGAAAATAAATAAAAAATGATATCAACCTCTGTACGATTAATTTTAACTGCTCAATTTCTTTTTATATTTATTTCCCATCAGATTTATGTATCAATACATTTTATATAGTAGAAATTATATGAGAAATATATACTTATTTATATTTCTTCTTTAATTCTAAAAATATTAATTTTATAATATATCAATTTTTTGCCATGTTAAGAATTTCTAAGACTTTATTATCTACTCTGACAAAGTTTAATCAATTCAGTTATCATACAATAAATGATTAAATTAAACTTACTGACTTCTGTATTCAGGTACATTAGATGAATAATGAAGGAAATTAAAAGAAAACAAGTAACCAAATTTCCAAATAAATTCTTGAGATTAGGAGTTGATGGTGCATGTAATATTAAATTGTATATCTTATAGAAGGATGTTCAGGATTTAAATACTCATTTAATTTTGATGATTAAATTTTAGAAGAAGATTATGTTCTCAAAATATAAAATGAAATAATTTTTGTTGTTGATGAAATTACACTCAAATTTGTTAATGGATGTATTATTGATTATGAAGATAAAATGATCAGAGCTGCATTTTATGTATCTTAGTCATATAATATATTTTAGGTCTAAGAAAATCCAAATGCAGAAAAATCATGTAGTTGTAAAGCATCATTTGCTCCAAAACCTGAGTTATTATGACTATAATCAATATTATATATATTCTTAAAATTACAAATTTAATCAAATTCTTAACTCCTCTCTATTATTTAATTTCTTTATAGAAATAAATTTAAACTCTTATAGTATTCTTATTCAAGAAATTGATAATATTATTTGATAATTAGAATAAATACTTGCCGACTTTGATGAAATTTTTAAGATTTAAGTGTTAACATTATAAAATAAAATAAATCTTAATTTATTTAATTCAATCCTATTGATCAATTATTTACAATCTATTTAATCTAAGATTCACTAAAATTTTAAGAATTAATTTAAATTTTATATCCTATTTTCTTATCATTGATTTATTGATAGCAATTATTCTAAATTAATTGTAATAAAATAGATCTAAATATATGAAAAAATGAACAATTTTAGCAGTTGTTATATCATCATTTTTATTTGAAGCTAAAATATTGAAAATAAATAAAGAAAATGGAGATGAAAATATTATTAATTTATAAATAAACATATATATATGAAGAATACCATCTTAAAAATAAAATTAACATTAATTTCTATAGATTATGTTTATGACTGAATTGAAAAACATTTAAATTACCATTTGCTGAAATATCATCATCATTTTTTTATCATTTTATTTCCATTTTTTAAAATTCATGGTAAAAATGATAATCAATTAATTTTGAAGAACACTTTTACAAGAAAAAATGGTATTGTATCAGATATAATTATCACAACTAATTATAAATTAAACACTTACATAATATTTTGGTAATTAACAAAATTTAATATAGCAAGAGATTAAAATTGACATTCAAAGATCCATATTAGCCTTTCAACATGGAAATTAATCAATTTTTTAACGAAAAATAAGTTTTATGATAATACGAAGAATTCACGATTGATTTGAACTAATAGATTAGAATACGATATATGAATAAAAGATAAAATAGAAACAGGCTAATGGGATATTAGAAAAATACAAATGTATTTAATCTTTAGCATTATGCCATTCTTATTCCAATTTTAGAATCTTTTTTAAACATTTTCAAAATATATTCATGGTTTTCTTAATAAAAATATCACCCTTATCAGAATATTAAAATATTTAAATTAATAGAAAACTTTGATATTGTTATAATTAAATAAAATCTTTAGGTGGAACATATATATATAAATAAATTATTAATTAGTATATTTAAAAATCGATAGGGTTTTCATTTTGGTTTATGATAAATACATAAACTTGATTCTAAGGTAATAAATAGAAATCTTAATAGTAATGATTATTAAAAATTATACTATTTTTTTTTTTTTGGTATTCAAATTGTATCTTTTTTTGCTTTATAATGTAATTTGAGAAAGGATATTTTTCTATTAATAAATTTCTTAAAATTGATGACACAATCGTTGTCTAAATATTAAAAGACTTTGGAGTTGTAAAGCATAGTAAATGATAGACTAAATCAAATCATTTCATCTGAATATGCTTTTCAAAAAATAGTAAAATGCTTTTTTGATGGATTGAAAAAAGAAAATGATAAGTAGATAGCTATCAAGTGGCTTATGTAAGAAATACCTAACAATAATTATCTTATTTAATAGAAACAAATTTTTGATGAAAGGGTTTAGCATTTGAGGCATCGAAAGCTATAATCAGAGGATGAATCTGAGTAAAATAAGAAGATTTGTCAATAATATGAGAAATTGTATTATGTAAAATATACTAAGAATTTGGAACGACTTAAAGAATATCTAAGACAAGAGGAATTTTTAAATATTTGTAGATTTCCTATCTCTTTAAATTAATAAAACCCTGTTTTTATAAAGCTGAATCATTATGGCTTCAAAATAATAGATTTAATAATATAATGTAGAAATCCTTCTTTTTAATTAAATTCTATAACATTAAAAAATTTAATTTTTTTTTTTTCTATACCTGATGAATTATAAATAGAAGACAAAGAAAAAATAGGATTATATTAAATATTAGGTGAAATTCTTTGTAATTGTTGGATATAATTCGAATATCATTATTAAAAATTATAATAGTAAAATTAAGACTAAACTTAATTACAAAAACAATTGGATATATTAAAATTATTGTAGTAAGATTCATCAAAATTATATCATTCAATACAACAAATAATAAAATAATTATTAAATAAAAATGATTCAAGTACCTTACATTTTACTGATATTGAGAATCTTATTGATAAACTATTACCAATAAATTTTGATCTTTAAATTATTTTTTATATGATGTGCTTTTATTGTTTAATTAATTTTGATTAATATTATAATCAGAAGTTGGCAAAAAATAATGAAGATAAAAAATTTAAATTACTTAATCTATATCTTTAATTCAGAAGGGACTCAAATAGGCAAATTGATGTAGAATTAATGATTAAATTAGAACAATATTAACACAATCAATTTTCTAAAGAAGAGTAATTGTAAAAAGAATTGAAACAATTTTCTTTTTAAGATTTATTAGAAAAGATTCTTGAAGAAAACTTACATACTCTTAATAAAAAATAGCATATTGTAAATTTGAATTTACTTAATCAGAAAAATGCAAAATTGTTAAATTTGTTAACTAATATATGTGATGAGAAAAAACGTGAAGTAGCATAATTATTGAGAACCCTGATATAGGAGAATAATTTAAATTAAATTATTTTTAAAATAGATTAACAAAGATAAAATTATTTGTCTGAAGAACTAGAAATTATTCTTCAAATTGTGATAGTATATTAAAATAGATCTGATATTAATTTTTAACTGCTTAAATCAGCCTTATAGTAGGGCAGAAGTGAAAATGAAAAGAAGGATATTATTAATGTATCTGAATTTGAATCTTTGCCATTTCTATAGTAAATTAATTTGCTAGCCCAATTTTCAGATGATTAATTAAAATTAGTTCCTAATTAAGATCAAATTGTTAATAATTTAATTTAAAAATACTTAAATAATGAAACTCTAAATTATATTGAAGTTCTTTAAATTATCAGAAGATTGTTTTAATAAAATTAAGCATTAAAATAGTTTAATTAAAAAACAAAATTATTCTCTCAACTTTTACATTTAAATAATAATCAAATTTTTCAATTAATATAAGATAATAGATTAAATTAAGTTTCTTAATAGATTTATATTAATACTATAAGTATCTTATATTATCTTTTCAGCAATTTAAAGGAAGAAAATGAAAAGCAAGATTTCAAGGTCAGCATTAGAAATATCTTAAGATTTTCATAAATCTATTGTTTTGATAATTTCCTTGAATTATTTTTGGACATTTAATTAAATCTAGAATAGATAAAAAATGTTTTTAATTTAGTTTATTATTGGTAAACTGAATAAAATTAGTAATTATAATATTCTGCTGAAATTTTTTATATGTAAGATGCCGTTCTGTATAGAAATACATTTGTCTCAATAAATTATTTTAACAATAATTAATTAGAACCTACAATATTTGAATAAAAACTTAGAAGTGACATATATCCAAGAAATCTGAATATTTAATTAGAAGAATTTAATATTTCTATGACTCTTTTAGATAAAAAATAACAACAAAATTTAGTAAGGGAATGGATTTAGGATGTTAAGGATTCTAATAATTTTAAGAAATTAATACCGTTCTTTTTTAATATTATAAAAAGAGGGGAATCATCTAAAACATTCTTATCAATTATTAATTAGCAAATAAAATATAATAAGGAACTTTCAATAAAATATGGATATTTCAATTAAAAATCTATATTTTAAATATTCTATAATAATGCTAATGATGAATTAAAAGTAATGCTTTTAAAACTTATGAGTAAATAATATCCAATTCCATTATTATATAGAACTCCTTATAATGCAGAAACTGGAGAATTAGAAAAATTAACATTTAATATCAATAACTTTTATGTTTTCTAAGAAAATTTTCCAATTATAAATTTAAGTCTAAATGAAAAACAAAAAAAAATTGGTAAAACAAAATTAATCAATAAAATCTTTTATTAATAAGATAAATTTGAAATATAGGACAGTAATTAATTAAATAATTAAACAATTGATATTATGTACGATTTTGAATTTTAAGGTTCAAGAAACCTGTCAGTAGCTGATGCTCATAATTTTATACCTTTTGATATTTTAGATGATATTTTACCAATGTTTAAATTATGGATTATTTAATTGGATACTGAAAAAGAAATTGAAATGACAATTTAAAACTTATAAAAATTACAATCTTTTTAAATTAAGGAAAAAGTAGTCTGCTTTTTAATTAGAAATTCATCATCTTAAGACTTGGATGAAAATTAGAAGGAATTATTATATTCCTTAAATATCAAATATAAATAAATAATTGATTTATCAGACAAAGATTTAAATAAATAAATGGAAGATGATGAAATCGAATAAGTATCTCAATTTTTGTATGATATAATAAATCAAAATAGTAAAGTATATACTGTAAATTAAGAGCAATATTTTAAACTTATTTGTTAAATGAAGTGTCAAAATTTTGAATAAACTAATGAAATTAAATTATCCTAAAAATTATTTTCTGATATTGAAAAAGAATTAGAAAAATAAATGAAGCATGAATAAGGTTTTTACAATAAGAATGCTTTTCCATTAAGAAGCATTGATTATTAAATCAAAGCAGAAAAAGATGAGTATATTCGAATTGAATAGAGTAAGGATGACCAAACTAAGCAATAAAAATTACAGCGAATTAATCAAAACATAAAAGAGTTATAATCATAAATGAAATCATAATAACCAACAAAAATAATCTCTAAATTTTGTAGTTTATTAAAAAAACCTAACTACTATATATTATATCTTCATTTTGTGGATATAATTAGAAAATTTAATGAAAAAAACACTTATGAATTATAGGGTTAAAATTAAAAACTAAATGAAGAAATTTAAGAATTAAAACAAGAAAGGGATGAGCTTAAATCAAAAGATAAAAATAAAGAAATTACAGTGGAATAAATGTAATTA